GGCTGTGAAGTTCTCAAATGTATGCTCGAAGGATCCATCAAATCGGGAGACATCAGTGCTTGTGCCTCCCATATCAAAGCCAATGATTGGTTGATTTTCCTCTGGATGATAGCTCGTTCGTGCATGGCCAACAACTCCTCCAGCAGGGCCGGAAAGGACAGCTCTTAGACCACTGAATCTACAGAAGCTGTTAGAAACGCTCCTCAACCACAAAAATCCTACTCACTTGTTAATGTCAACGAGACCGCCATCGCTCTGCATGAATTGACACTGTGTATTTGATGAACTCAGACCATCTGTGAACCCAGCTTGGAAACCTTTGATATATTCCTTTACAACAGGGGTGAGGTATGCATCTGCAGTAGCAGACATGCCTCGAGAGATCATTTTGATCATTGGAAGAGTAAGGCATGACAACGTGACTTGATCAAAGCCAATATCAGCAGCGAGTTTCTGAACTTCCAGCTCATGATCTGGAGCCGGGAATTAGTGACGGGGGCTAAATGAACACTCTTGGGGTGAGCTCACCTTGGAAAGTGTAGGAATGTGCCAAACAAATACAAATGCTCCTGAAGCCTTCCTCGTAGAGATTTTGGAGGTCACGCTTGACCTTGTTCTTGTCCAGTCTTTTTAGAATGCGAATTATTTGCCCATTGACACCTTTAACAAGGTCGGAATCATTCGGGGCTGCCTTCTGAATAGCTTCTATATCAGCATCGTAGGAGGGGCTCTGTTGGTAGCTTTCAATGGTAACCCGCTCAGAGACTTCCACTACTTTTTCATAAAGCACATCCGGCTTCCTGATGTTTAGTTCAAAAATCTTTGGTCTAGACTGTAGCCCGATTTTCAATGCATCAGAGAAACCCTCAGTGATAAGTAGCGCCACCCGGTCACCTTTTCGTTCCAAAAGCGCATTGGTAGCCACTGTTGTGCCCATTCGAATGCTGAGACTTCCGAAGAGAGAGGTGTCGATATTCTGATTCCGGGGAAATGACTTTCCGGTGGCCTCTTCTAAGATACGGCGAATACCTTCCCTGGGAGCATCTGGATAATTTGCGGGATCTTGTGACAAGATCTTAACCAGGATGTTTCTTTCCTCACTCCCTGGCTGACTCACTATGCCAAGACAATCCGTGAAGGTGCCACCTCTGTCTATGACCTTGTCAGTATATTTCAGATTTGGAATTTCAGGGTGGAGATATAGGTACCAATTGCAATTTTGATGTTCATCTTGGAGACGTCAGGCTCGTTGCCTACATCCATCATCGGCGACATTGTGATAGACTTGGAAACAGATGTGAAAGAAGTCTCGATGGTTCAGTTGAAGAAGAATCCTGTCTCCTATCGATGACCGAGACAGAGGTAGCCGGCCTTAATAAATATCGAAGTTAGGAGAGATTTCTGGTTGATAACCTCTTTTATTTTGCAAGACAGCACCCTGGATAGATTTATATTCCCTCAACTGCCCGTAAGTTTTTGTCATATTGAGATGTTGACAAAAATGAAGAACTGTGAATCAAATGGTTCGTGTTCTGTATTCGGCCCCGTGGTAGTACGCCGAAGCTAATCCCGTGTCTCTCACATGAGGGGGAAGAGAGGATGCTCAGCCGATAGCAGATAAGAGCATTTCAGGGCCAAATATCCACTGGCTCTTGAGAGGCACAAAGAGCCGGAAAATTGACTCCGAGAACTGAAGAGACGTCATTGTGATTATTGTCGAGGGGGGAGGGGGGCTCTCGGAGCTGGATTGAAACACCGAGACAATTTCTCCACGTTTTTTCTCTTGATATTCGGAGGGGGCAACTATCGCCGGGCAGTGGAGCGCAAATATAGCAGAGATAGGTAGTATCAATGCAGATTAGGCCGTATCTGCAAACTAGATGAGGCCGTTGGGATGAATACCCCAGATCACCAGACTAACCCCGCATCTACAGTCACTCTGACCAGGTATGCCCGATCGTAAGTATACTGTTGGATATTGAAGTACGTGCCTAGCTTGGTAATTGTGAAAGTGATTTGGCAATCCCCTGGAGTTGATCGCTGCGGTTGAGTCTAGAAATTTTCACAAGTTTACTGAACAAACCTTTTGATCCAAATCACTGTATCCTCCCTTGCCTCCCTCTCCAAGAAGTTTATCAGTGGATCACCATGTGCGCCTGCTTCAAGCCCAGTTACTTGGTACCCACACACACACTTCTTTTCCCCGGACTGTGAGATAGCCAACCATGAAGCATCTTGCCCTTGTCCCAACTGTGGATCTCTCCTCGAGATATGAGTCGTGCGTGGCTCTTAAAGTTCAGTGGCGTGCCTATTTTGTGCAAGACCCTCCTGAGGTTACTCAATATGATTGGTGGCTCACCCAAACTTGCACTTGAGGCAGGTCGAGGCGACGAGGATCGACCAATGATTGGGATGACTACTGGGGACCCCCCTGTGCTGGATATCCATACATTGATCTGTATATCCTAGTATTGCTCGTTATCTTCAGAATAAAGCTTATCACCAAGATTACCCCAAGGGAGGGTGACGACTCTTAGGGCGAAAAGTACCCCCCCCATGTCCAGTAGATTAGGCTCGGCAAACCTCTTCATCACCGACTTGTCGCAAGTGATTGTTTTCCATGGACTGCCTAGCCCAAGGTTAATCCATATCCTTCTCCAGATCAAGAACATGCATATGGGTAGAAACTATGATGCGACCCCAGAGACTGATATTCCATTTCTATTGATTGTATAAATCCGGTGCTTCTTCCCGCCCCCAATCCGAGATTGTTGCAAGCAAGACTCAGGGTCAAATTTCTTAATTACATTTGAAAGAGTTTTCGTGTTCTTACCAAACTACTTTACCTTCACGATCTGCACGATGGCACAAGAGCCTGAGAAGATGACCGCTACAGAGAAAGTCAACAATGATACTGAGAGCCAGATTCAAGGTGAAGTTGCTTCTATCGCTGGCGGCAAGCTGGATGTAGCTGCCAAGTTTCTCGCGGGCCTCGGGCCGGAGGTCACAGAGGAGCCGATTTCGACAAAAGAGTCCCGGAAACTCCTTTGGAAAATTGATCTGATTATTATACCCATCCTTACATTCTCTGTCATCATAGCGGCGGTGGATAAAATCATTATTTCCAACGCAGCTATCTACGGCATGAAAGAGGACACCCACTTAGTTGGTGATCAGTTTTCCTGGGTCGGCTCTATCTTCTACTTCGGTTTTCTGATTGCAGAATGGCCTGCCAATCTTCTCATCCAAAGGTTGCCAGTTCGCACGTTCTACGGGGCCACTGTTTTGGCCTGGGCAATAATGACCTTCATCACGGCCTGCACCAGTAACTTTGCCGGTCTGGCTACTGTCCGATTTATTAGTAAGTTGGCATACTCCCAAAATTTCGATCAAGCCTTTACTTCAAATAAAAAAGAAATGGTTTTCTGACTTGTGCCAACCAGTGGGTATTTTTGAGTCGGTTGTTTTTCCTGTCTGCACTCTTATAACTGCCATGTGGTGGACAGTTTCGGAACAGCCAATTCGTGTCGCTATTTGGTTCAACACCCTCTCCTCAATCATAACTGGTCTTCTGTCTTACGGAATTGGGCACGCAAAAACGAATATAGCCCCTTGGAGGTTATTGTTCATCGTCCTCGGAGCAATTACCACTGTCTGGGCGGTTATCGTTTATATCTTCCTTCCCAGCTCCCCGGTTGAGGCATGGTGGCTCACCGACCGTGAAAAATACATCTGTCTGGAACGAGTCAGAAAAAGCAACACGGGAATTGAAGATAAAACCGTCAAGTGGTATCAAGTCAAAGAATGCCTGCTGGACCCTAAATCTTGGCTTATCTCGATCTTCGCCTGTGCAATCAACATTCCAAACGGTATGAACTGATCGGACGATGAAACCTGGAAATTATACTAATAAGTGGACTTTTTAGGAGGTCTTGTGACTTTCGCGGCACTTATTGTGAACGGATTAGGATTCGAGCCTTTAATCACAACTCTTCTTGGTGTCCCAACTGGGGTCGTTGGCACGGTATGGTCATTGATTTTTAACATTGCAGCAAGTCGCCTGCCTGGATATCGCTGTATCCTCATTGTCGTTTCCATCATCTTTCCAATCATTTCAGCCGTCCTTCTCTGGCAACTTCCCAGTGCGAACAAAGTCAATCTTTTGGGTGCCTACTACGCCTTTTACTCTTACTGGGCTCCTTATACCATGTCTACCTCGCTTCCCATGGCAAATACCTCAGGTCACTCCAAAAAGGTTACTTTGAATGCCATGTTCTTTTTGGGTTATTGCATTGGCAATATCTTAGGACCTCAAGTTTTCCGCGCAAACGATGCCCCGAAGTATCACCGTGGCTATATTGGACTGGTGGCATGTCTGATCACGGGAGCTGTGACAATCTCTATATACGGCCTGCTGTGCAAGCTAGAGAATTCAAGGCGAGACAAGCTACAAGGAGGAGGTCCAGTGCCACAGACAGAAGAGGAACTCCGCGAAGAGGCATTCTCTGACAAAACGGACAAGGAGAAACCCAACTTCCGCTACGTCTTCTAATCACGCTTCATCTAGCCGCTTTTGAAGCTCGTTAGCAGCTCTGGCATTATAGTGACTAGATAATTAATCTCTTATCTCTTAGATAGCCGCTGTCATATTTAATAATGCTTTATATATACATCTTGATCACAATCATTCGAAATGAGTGTTACCACAGTAAAATAAAAAAAGTTAAGGCAGTAATCCGATATGAATTTTATAGCCTAGGTATTATTACGAAATATCCAAGCCAGAGGTACGTGCTTGGTCATAAAAATAACTGCGACAATAGATTTTGTGTAAAATCTGGATGACCAGTAGAGTACACTTCTAGACAGACATTCACCATGCTCATAACTTTTCAGTCTCTGATTACGCTTGTGCAAATATGTTACTATTAGGCTATCTTCTTGAAGAAATGGTCGTTTATGGTATAGGAGCAGTGACTAACGGCCTCTTATTTGCATCCCTAGATTCTTGCTACCCCTTTCATCTCCACAAGCGTTCTCTCATCAGGCGGCATTCCACTGACCTGGACACATGTCCTTGCAGGCAAGGCAGCTCGCAGTTCTCTAAATTTCTGACCAACCATTACATCGTAAACGTCATTTATGGCACCATAGTCGTTGTGCAAATCTTTGACGAAGATTGTTAACTCTACAAGATTTTCCAAACCACCAGATCCATTTGAAGCATTTGATATAATATGAGAGATCTTTTCCAGAATAATTTTGGCCTGCACTGCTGCGGGTCTTGGCCCTTCGGGTTCTGTGAACTTCATGTCGTTGCTAAACGAAAAACCAAATGGAGGTATTTGTCCATCTGCCTGGCGTGCAGTGGTTCCCGAGATATAGAGTAGTGCCAGATCTGGGCTTATTCTGACGACATGCCCTGGGGAATAAGCAGCGAGAGGCTTCGCAACCTCTTTTTCCATAACTGGCGTTGGGCTCATTGTGAATGCTTCGCTGGTACGGCAATGAAGGGCTTTCTCGTGTTGGGTAGATAAGAGCGCTGGGAGAAATGTCGACCTTGGAGCTTCCTCGGGAGTAAATGACTCAATATTTGACAAACGCGATATCTTTACAGGGCCGATGAACAAGCCTCTGTCGCGTTGGCTGTATAGGTGGGACGATGCCTACAACCCCCAGATAAGGTTCGGCAGTCTGGGAAACTCGTGATCTAGCCTGTCGGCGTTTGTCCAGACACCGATGGAGGAAGATGGCTCCGCCGAAATGCCTTATCGTCATGAAAAGGACGGGTGGAGTAACTTCGCTTCGACCTTCCTCACATGTGTTCGTACAAGCCCCCGCAATAGTAAATCCCGTTGGGTTTAGCTTCTCGGTGCATATCAAAACTTCCAAGCCACTAATAATCCTTGTTCAGCAACGGTAGAACAACGAATACCCGAGATGTTTGGCTGAAGAAGCTTCCCAAGCCAGTCATAGAAATAACCACGACGAACCCTGAGCTGAGAGACGTAATAGTCTCATTTTCGAGGTATCATTGCTACTCCACATACTCGAAGAATGAGCCATCGATTCTACGTCATACGCGATCTCTTACATGATGGCAGATATCAGCACATGCCCAAGTCTGACAAGAACCTCTGTGCAAGAAGCAGCACACAGAATCAAAGGAAAAGTACACCGAACTCCAGTACTCTCGAGCAGCTATGTCGACAGCATTGCTAGTAGTCCTCAGACAACCGCAGCCCTGAAAGGGACGCCGTGGGAAGGACAGAAACCATCCAGGCCTCGAATTCATATACTCTTTAAGTGCGAGAACTTGCAAAAGATTGGAGCGTTCAAGCCTAGGGGGGCATTCAATGCCATGCTTCGATATTTGGAGGAGCAAAAGGCCCAAGGAAACGATTCAACAAGACAAGAGATACCAGTGCGTTTCATAAGCCACTCTTCTGGTGTAGGTATCACTTCATTCTATGTCATCCTGAGGATTCATACTGACTCGTATTTCCACATGGTAGAACCACGCTCAAGGGCTCTCTCGCTGCCAAAGAACTTGGATGTCCAGCTCACGTGGTGATGCCATCTATCTCCATGCCGGCCAAAATCGCTGCAACTAAGGGATATGGGGCAACGGTACACTTCAGCGGCCCAACACCCCCAGAAAGGCTTGCAGTTGTGGACAGATTGATGAGTGAGCCAGGCTACAGAAACGTGTTTATTCCACCATACGATCACCCTGATACTCTCCTTGGCCAAGGAACGCTAGGGCTGGAACTTCAAGAACAAGCTGTTGAACTCCTTCCTGATAACAGAAGGTTACATGGAATTATCGCACCCTGTGGCGGCGGTGGTATGCTGAGTGGTGTGGCATTAAGTTGCCAGGGAACAGGAATTAAAGTCTTTGGTGCGGAACCATCATTTGAGGGGGCTGATGACTGCCGCCGCGGACTTCTCGCTGGCCACCGAGTCAAACAGGTCAGAAGCCTGACCATCGCTGATGGACTACGGACGCCTGTGGGGGAAATTCCATGGAAGATTATCAGCAACCCAGACAATGTCCAGGGTGTATTTTCAGTAACCGAAGACCAGATACGCTCCGCTCTGGAAATAGTGCTACAGCGCATGAAGATCGTCATCGAGCCAAGTTCGGCCGTTCCGCTCGCCGTGGTGCTTTATAACGAAGATTTCCGACGACTTATAGAAACTCAGTGTGATGACAACACCTTCAATCTGGGCCTGGTAATCAGTGGCGGAAACGTAGATGTGAGAAAGCTGGCCGAGTTGGTCGGGTGAGATGATGCTTCATAGGGGTCCCCAAGTCGAGAGCCAGGTACAGATGCATAAAGGCCTATCCAATAGGGTATATACTATCCCAAAATCCCATTGTCATCTGAAATGGTGTTCCACACGAAGAAGAAAAAAGTCCCGATTTCACAGTGAAACCGGGTTATTGTCGCTGCAACGATGGGCGACTACAAATCCAGTATATATTAACGCCCCATGTATTCGTTGTGTTGAGATTTTGGGTCTAGCCTCTTCCATTGCTGTTTAACTTTATACTCAAACTCCCCCATAATAAGCGCCCCTTTTCGGTCATGACTCCCAACATCTGGCGAGTACAAGTATCCAATCCTCTCGCTTCGATCAGGATGTTCTTAATAAAAAGAAACGATATACGAGTTGGAGCCTTTATCAGGAGTGAATTCTTGCTCCGCTCTTCTGTGGCAGTTCAGTCTCTTAGTTAGAGCAAAACCGAGGTTATGGAATTGCATATTAGAAGCACGCCCTGGATAAATTGTGGCTAATAAGCCTCACGTGAACGTATACCAACGTCGAGTCAGTTGAGTTTGGCTAGCAGGGGAGGGGGACAGTCCTTATCTCTTGGAGCAGGCCCACTTGTCTTCCCCGCCGAATTGCTTTCTTCCAACCCGTATAATAATAAGACGTGGATCGCGCCGGTCGGCGATTGAAGTTTTGACCGAGACGTGTCAAACATCGAGCTCAATTACCAACCATTAGAGAAGCAACACCATGTCTGACGACTCCGCCTCTTACACTTTAGACCAAGAGTTGAATGATAGTGTAGTGCAAGGGGATGCCGAGCTCACCTTAACCTCCCTACTCCAGAGGCGAACCTCCCCCACCGCGTGCGTTCTCCCCTCCAGCCCCAAGACTCTGTTCAATCTAATTCTTACGATATACTTAGCTGCCGAAAATGTCACTTACGCAAGGTCAAGTGCTCTGGGGGTCAGCCTTGTAATGCCTGTCTGGCCAACAAAGAGGACGAATGCGTATATCCCCGCCGTCAACGAGTGATAAAGGTTACGCAGGAGTAAGTGGCCTTTTGTTGAGAAACATCTCCTTGCAAGCTTACAAGAGATTTAACAAGGGACCTCGAGGGCCTTCTCCGGGAAGTCCAACAGCTTCGCACGAAGAATGCAACCATAGCTCCGACAGAGACTCCAAAATCACAATCGCCCCTGAGACTCGGCTCTCCTGTGCTAGAGCTAAGTGCACAGTATCCGCCATGGTTCCTCAACTCTATCGTTCCACACACTCCAATATTGATCGGCGAAGGTTCAGATGCTGGTTTTGCAACTCGTTGCCGTAATGCCATTTCCGACACCCCTTATAATCATGTTCCGAGATTGAACTACCCCACGGACGAATACCTCGCCATGTTGTCGGAAGCGGAAGCACCCTGGCCGTCCCATCCAAAGGCTCGGATGCTGGTGAACATTGCCCTTTGGCATGTAAGCGATCGGTATCATGTTGTGTTGAAAAGTCAAGTCTTGCAAAATCTCGGACAGAACCCCAGCTTAATGAACGTCATGACTCGGAGCAAGATGATGGCTCTTTTCGCCATTGGTGAGCTTTACTCATCCCGGACGATTTGTAAAAATAGAGGATATCCTGGCTTGCCTTTCTTTGCAAAGGCGACTGGGGTGCTAAGTATAATGAGTGAGCGGCCGCACCTTGATGCCATAGAGATCCGCCTCCTTCTTGTAAGTACCAACTCAGACAATCTATCAATTGCCACTTCCAGAGTTAACAACCCACCCAGTCGTTCTACTCTCTTGCGATTAATCGGCGGTACTCTGCATATGCGCTGGCAGGCTCTGCTACTCGCTTAGCTGTTCTCATGGGCCTTCATCTGAACGTCCCTGAAAACGAACTGACTGATCCTGCTCTCCGTGAGCACCGAAACAGAGTGTGGTGGACATGCTATAGTTTCGATCGCATGTGGGGGGTCAATCTTGGGAACCCAGTTGGTGTGTTTGACAACGTGATTGACGTGGATCTCCCTTCTGACAGAGAAGCGCTGAGCGGGGATGACTTCTCTGATGCTGCCTATTATATCGCCCGCACACGCTTGGCCCAAGTCGCAGGCCAGGTCCTCCAAGTGATGTATCTGCGAAATGATCGACCGGACTCTCGAGAAGGATCCCAAGCCCAACGTGTGCAGGATTCGCTCAAGAACCTACTTCGGTGGAGAGAGAATTTATCCAATCATCTATGTGTCAACGCGAACGATCTCCCACAAATTCTCAGCAACGCCGTTTCTCTCTACCTCTCTTTTAATCAGGTGAGATTATCCCTTACTCTATATTCCAAGACTCGCTTCCCGTTCTGACAATTCTACAGTGTATTGTCATGACTACTAGGCCCATATTCCTCAATATTCTTCGCCAGACCATTGCATTCAAGAAGGGACACGGTCCTGAGCCCCAGATCCCTCAATCTGCGATATCTCTTGCAGACGCTTGCTACAGATGTGCACGCCACAACGTCCGGTTACTAACTGATTCCTGGGCCGATGGCTCATTCCCAACATTTGATTGGCTCTACCCGCAATATCTCTTCTCTTCTTCGATCATAATCCAGATTTCAACCTTGGTCAAGGGAAAAGACTGGCCTCACAACGGCCAGGAACAAATAGAGTCCGCTTTCGAGATCCTTTGCCAGCTCAGAGACACCGGCCACCTTGCCGCAAAAGAATTTTTACGTCATTTGGAAGCCATAAAGACTGCCATCACTGAATTGGTTACCAGCGGTGTCATCCCTAGCTCACCAGACTATGTCTGGCCCTCGCCATCAGACGAGATAGGTGCGAGTGTCGCTGCCATTCGTGGCCACCCAAATCTGGATATGTCTGGGCCATTACTCCAGGACTTGTTGATGCAGCCCAGTCTTGATTTACAGTTCATTGATAATAGTCTGTCGGAAAACATGTCTCAGGGTCTTTATTGGTCAACTATTACGCCTGACAATTGCATGGACCAACCTTGGGGAGGGACTTGATTTAACAGAACTTATTGATTTCGACGTCGTATTGGGGTATTGAACACCTCTTTGGGTCAGTGATTCTAGTAGTCTATCTAAATCCCAACGCTCCATCTTCAACTTGGGTAGTCTCGGCCTGTCAATACTGTGCCCTAAACGCTAGAAGGGTAGAAATTAACGGCGATAGAAGGTGGAGGTCATAAGAAAAAAGTGGTTTTAGAGAATTGTGAAGCTAGAGGGGGTTTATCAGATTCCAACCCAAATCAATCAAACACACAAATCGATTTTCAGTTTACATATTTCTATTTATGAATTACCCCCGCCGTATTTCACAGACCTATGATAGCTCCCAGCCCTCTGGCGGATGCAGAGACGTCCAATGGCTTGGAACAGCTTTCATGGCCAGCTATAGCACCCTCGCTATGTCCCAATTGCTCGTGATTTTCAATCTCGCTTGAGTGTTGCCGTCTCATTATTTTATGGGCCTCCTTTAATTATGCTGTTGCTGGGTGAAGATCATTGCCCTCACGCAACCGATCCAGATCCATCCAGGCTCAGCAGCTGATCTGCCCCAACCACCTCACTTCGCCAGAAAAGGCGCAGCGCATGTTGTGGTTGCAGTTTGGGACAAGCTGAAAGATGGAGAAAAAAGCAATATCTGTCTCAGCCTGACCTGTCTTAGCCGAACCAAGCCGTGTCGGTTTTCCAGGGCATAATATGTCTTTGGTCCGCTGGACTAACTGTAGTACTTGCGCTGGCACATATACATTTCCTGCGCAACCCGTTATCTCGACTAGGTTGCAAATCTGCACCGTCACACTTAGACCTTGTTTTATCGCTGATATAGTACTTTGGGCACCATTTCATTGCAAGCTTTGGTCGAATCCTGCGCTGGCATTCGAAATTAACGGTGGATCAGACATGAATGAGTACTCGCTTGCCTTCTCATGTGCCTGTACGCTATGACCTGAGACATGCATATAAGGCATGCAAAATGTGCGTCCCGCATCTGGTGGAAGAAACTAACACGCTTGTCTTATGCTTATAGTGCCGAAGCCTATGCCGAGTCAAGCCATTTGCAGCATTGGGCACGCTACATGGCCACATTCAGGCTGTACTACTGTCGTCAAAACCAGCCACTGGAATGGTCGGGCAGGACATCTCTTGGCAATGCTCTTGCCGAGTGGAAAGGAATGACCAGTCAACTTTGCACATGGCTCGTTACTTTTTCCTTCATTTCCAACGAGTCTCTTAGGTTCTGTCATAATTATAAAAGGGACGAGGTCTACCATCAAGACTAACCACCTCCTTCATCTTGTTTCTTCCTGTTCCGAACAAAGCCATTTCAGACAACTTCTCCCCCTCTTACGCCAGGCCATCCATACATCATGAAGTTTGTTGGTCCCCTTTTCCTATCGTTCCTCTTGGGGCTCGCCTCTTCCTATCCTGTGGAATACACCACACCTGTGCCCATTTGCGACTGCGCAGGAACGAAGGCCGATCCTAATGCTACGCTTCCATACATCTGCGGTGATCCCCGTTTAGGGCCCGCAGATTTACCCGAGATCATGCCTCTGGTGAACTATGTCTCGAACTACGACCGCTTCGGTGGCTTGAGTCCAGGAGAGTTTATCGCCAAGTGGACCGACACCGAAGGTAACTACGTTTACCCACCGCAAAATGGCTTTCAATTGGATGCAAATGGCAATGCCATCAATGGTTCCATGATCCTAGAAGCAGGTACACTTGTCGATCGATTCGGCAGTGAGTTCGGTAAGTCTCAAAACATGCTAGCCCCAATGCGTTGAGACAATTGCTTTTTATCATGTGCATTCTGCTAAATATTATTATCTTCCGTGCCAGGGACCTACATCTCAGCCGCGTCTGCACCGTATCCGCAGAGGGCGCTTCCCCCTTCCAGCCTCAATACTCAGCCATCTGCACCAAACTTCCCCTACGGCTACCATGTTTATCAGGTAGCCAAGCCCCTCAAGGTTCTTGGAGGCCCAATCGCCCCTTGGTTTGGACAACCTGGGTTAGGTGCTCAGTTTTACACCGGAGACGTCGGCAATGTCATGGCCTTGATTGAGGGCGGTTACTTGCAGAGGGCAGATGCATCAATCCTAAATGGCGACAAACAAGGATGCGGGCAGTAAATACTGTTGCAGGTGTAACGAATTGGATTAATTTATTGATTTTATCCCTATCTAGCACTATTCTAAATTAATTTTATCCTCACTACTCTCTTAACCCATTGGTATTAGATTCAATCAAAGAAAAATCCTATAATAAGGAAAGAAGTTTTAAACATTGGACTTTTTTGGAGGGGCCATATCCTCTACATAAGTAACTAACAAAAAGAAATTCTAGACTTTAGATAACTTGATTCTCTGAAGCTATTAGGCAGAGGTAGGAGTTGCTTTTTTAACAAGCCTAGCCATTGCTTTTATCATCCTGGTCAAGTTGGCTCTCGCATCCTATGTATACCTACACGCCACCTAAATAGCTCCGCTGGATTAGAGCTTTCATCTATATTAAAAGCAGCATTACTATCCTTTTCAGGGGCATGTCGGAATGGTTAAACTGGAAAGCAAATGTGCTTAGGCTATATAGCAGATTCCTTGGCAGCCTTGGGAGCGTGTACGGAGTCGAAACCTTCGCTGGGTTGCTTCTCCTCGTCAGAAGTCATGCTCTCCATGGCCAGTGCCTCTGGACGCAGCTTCTCCCATTTGTGCATCAGGGCAATGAGAGCGCTAACAGCTAACAGCGCAGTAGCCAGAGCGAAAGCGCCTTTGAGACCATCCATGTACGCCTCAAGGACTCCAGGAAGTTGGTCTGGTGTGAACACGGTTCGCAATTCAGACGCGCCAACGCCAAGGATCACTGAGCTGGAAACACCTGGCGCAGTCTCCTTGATCCGTCTTAGAAGCACGTTGCCAAAGACCGACTGCGCAGCCGAGACGGAGAAGGAACCGCCGATGAGTTGGAAGAAGAGTGTCATGGCGGAGATCGTACTCATGTCCGTCATATCAACAGCCGAGGTGTTTGACATGATGGGAATCTGGGAGAGAAAGCCGGTTGCACTACCTGCGAGAATCTGGTAGCCAACCCACTTGTCCATGGGCGTATCGGGGGCAAAGGTGTAGATAAGACCGGATCCGACAGCACTCAAAGCTGCACTGGCGACTAGGAAAGGGACCCATCGGTTGGTGGCACTGAGAACAACACCCGATATCATGGAAAAAACACCGCCGACCAAGAAAGGGAGGTTGTGAACTCCTGACTGTAGGGGGCCATCGTTTTTGATAGACTGAAAGTAGAGAGGGATGTAATAGATGAGGACGAAGAGACCGCCCGAGTTGAGGAAGACGACTGCCTGATTCAGGAAGATCCGGCGCTTCTTGAGCAGCCGAGGAACTATAGATGCTCGCTCGCCCATGTAGACCTCGTTGACTGCGCAGAGGCCTGAAAGAAGGACGAAGCCGACCAGTGTGCCGATCACAGTGCTGTTAGACCACGACTTTTCTAGCCCTCCCCATTGAAGGGCTAGGAGGTAGCACACAACTGCACACAATATAAGGGCACACCCGCTTGGGTCAAGCTGCAAGAGCTTTTCCTTCATTGTCGCATCCACGGGTACAGCATGGGAGGGTACACGGAAGCAAAAAACGATGAGGACTGCGGTCAGGCCGCCAATGGGCAGGTTGATCCAGAAGCACCAGCGCCAGGTGACACTCTGGGCAAAGGCGCCACCGACGATGGGGCCGATAAACGATGCTAGAGAATATGTGGCTCCCATAACGCCCATGAAGGCTGGACGACGCTCGGGGCGGACAGAGTAGCCGATGATGACGAAGGTTCCTGTGCAGAGACCGGCACCGCCAATGCCCGCAACAGATCGGCCAACAATAAGTGTGACGGAGTTAGGAGCCAGAGCGCAGATGAGGCTTCCGAGTTCGAAAATGAAGAGGGAGGCCAGATAGGTCCATTTGATATGAAAGTATTTGAATGCTTTTCCCCAACTTGTCTGGAATGCGGCGTAGGTAAGGAATCCAGACGAGCCATACCATCCAATATCACCAAGGCTCTTGAACTCAGCCGTGATCTTTGGGATGGCGGTTGCAAGAATGGTCGCGTCGAGGTTGGCTGTGAACATGGCCATGAATAAAGCAAGCATGGTGAAACCCAGCTGGACATTGCCAGGGTATGATATAGAACCCGGGCTGTCCATGGTGTGAAGTTGGTCGATTGCGAGTGTCGATAGAGAGAATAACGGTTGAACTCAGTGATGGTCACTCAGGGCGATGAATAGAACAGAGCTTGATATCAATTGAATTCAATATAAGCTTTTATCTTGGACCCTCGAGCTATTTGACTACTGCAGTTGGGCATGAGCTGTTCATCAAGCATAGCCTCACCCGGCGTCTTGAGAGTCTCTGACCAGGGTAGCGGTCCGTAACTACGGCCCGCTGCCCCTGCTGCTTACCCAGTTTGGATTACACATCTAGAGTCTTGATCTCGGACACTTTTATATGTGACCAACGAGATGTCTCCGAGATTGGAAATTGCATTCCCTTGCCTTTGCATGCCCTTTAGCTTAAAAATGGTAAAAAAAACCACCCATCCTGTAGTAGACCTAAGGAATAGCAAACCATGGTTGATCGCCAGTGCCTGCATCTAAAGTCCACACTCGTCGCTATCCTGGCCATACTTGTTGTTCTAATTTGGGCCCCTTCTCTTTTCAACGCCTCCAAAACCTCGAGAAATATGACGGAGACAATCGCTGAGAAGAATCAGAAGTACTGGGAGTCTGTAGCCCCCATTGCCCCCTCCCACAAAGACGCAGACTGACCCAGCCCGTCTCGATAGCCACGCTGCCGAGTCTGTCTTTAAGGACAAATGGGTTCATGACCTTCAAGCGCAGTTTTCAGATTTTCTTACAACAAATGTTGAATGGCTCGCCTTGCCAAAAGATACTCAGGAATCATCCACCGCTAAATTGATGGACTACGCGTGCGGAAACGGAATCGTCTCACGTGTAAGCTCCCCGTCACCCCCCCCACGCTTTGATAGTCGCATATGTCCTCCAGTCACATTTTCAATCCTCTCCTTAGCCAAATGTTGCCCGCTTACAATATGTGGCTAGTCACTGCACCCTCACTTTGCACAATGCCTAGGGATCGATCTCGCCGAAGGCATGCTTGCCAAATATCGAGCCACGGCTGAAGATCTCGGGCTCCCTGAGTCTCGCATGATGGCTGTCCAAGGCAACCTCCTAACACACACAGTCGAGGCAACAAATCCTCCCCTGAGTCAGGAGCAGCTGGGTAGCTTCGACCTGGTCGCTATCTGCATGGCCCTGCATCACGTTGATGACATTGAACTAGCAATCAAACGACTTGCAGAGAGGCTGCGACCTGGTGGTGTTCTTCTTGTCATTGACTGGGCTACGCGAGACAGCTCGGCCCAGGGCGGCGGATCAGCCTCTCCTCCCAGTGAATCAGGGAAACATCACGAGCACAAGCCACACCCTGCTTCGCACACAATTACTCACGATAGTTTCACAAGAGAACAAATCGTCGGACTATTTGAGGAAAGCGGATGTGGAGATTCCAGCTTCGTTTTGGCCGACAGGCTGTCCGAGGTTCCTGGTGCTCGCACTGGTAAGATGCAACTATTCTTCGCTCGGGCTTCGAAACTGTAGGACATGAAGCTGTCAAAATAGCTGGAGCTTTAGAAATCTGTAGATTATAGAACTGAATGGACGAAGAAATGCCGTTGACCTTTCTCTTTACCGGGAGCATGGTTCATGTGACAATTTGAAATGCCTGAGCCCTATGTGAATTTCGTTAAGTTCTCTTCATGTTCACTCAGTATGTCAGGCAACGAAAATTAAATTCATCACTAAGTCTCAGTGTTGATGAACGACTAATGCCTTGATTAAGAAGGCGGAAGCCTCATCATATAAGCGCGCTCCTTCGTATGAATTAGTGAACAAAACCAAGAGTATCTAGAAATAAATACAGGCATAGATGTAGAAGTTGATCCAGAATATATGAACCTCTCAATCCCCTCCTGGCCTGTTTTGCGTGGCTAGCAGAAGTTGGAGTAACTCTTCAGCCTTTTCCTCTATCTCACCGTACCATGCATCTTGTGCTCTGGAGCTCGAGACAATAGAGACATTCCTCGCCGTCCCACGGGGATTGCCCTGAGATCCCTCCCACCGCTTCTGCATCTCACGGCGGAAAGACTGGATAATTTCTAGACACTTGCGTAGATCCCTTTTGAGCACCAAGTTTAGGAGGATAGCTTGCTCCTCCAGCTCTAGCTCTAGGCAGCCGAACGCAAATGCGGGCTGGGAGGCAGCACTTGACGCTTCCGGGGCGGAGGTTGTGATATTTCCTATATCTGTGAGAGCTGGCTGAGAGAGGGACTGCACTGAGGGCGAGTAGGACCCCAGTGGAAGCCCACCAACCGGATATGCGCTCCCCGTGACTGAAACCTCTCCCTCTTGAGCAGTAGCCTGTACGGGCGAGATTGCCATGCTATACATGCCAACAATAAGATCCAGGACGGTGGCAGCCAGGATGGGACAGCTGTTGCAGGCCTTGAATCCTTCCATCTCCATGACGGAGGGCAGCTTAGCCATCGCTGTGCGGTTAAGATTTAGAACTTGATCTACTGGCGCTGTCTGCTGGAGGCACGACTCGAGGTCGTCAATAATGCCCATTAGCATCGCAGCGTGTGGATAGCGCGCCACTGCGTTCGTATCTCGATACGCGGTTGGGACCATGCGCGAAGACCTAGCCAACGGGGCAAGCTGTCCAAAGGCGGCATCGCCGCCGGGCGTGGTAGACAAAGGAAGCACCTCCTCGTCGGCGAGCCCAGACCATGAAAAACTGTCGATGGACGAAATACAACCATTTTCGCTGCAAGTCAAGTGCAGGCAAGGCTGTGTGGTATCACCATCCCCGCCCAGATGATGGGCCTGGACACTTGGTATGCTATGGTCCGTGGCTGCACTCGTTGAGGTCGCATCTCTGGGACTCTGCAGTACTGACGAGACCATGTATGGGTCGCCGGTATCAGGAATTTGAAAGGGCGCGTTCATTTCAATACTTGTAGATGCCACTGGGGGTGTCCAGCTCGCCATGGATACGTCCACAGCGTCGCTCGAGTTGTCCAACCGGGTGGAAATAGGAGTCGCTTGGTGAATATCGAGCTGCTGTGAAGGTTGTATCGTGGCATCAAGCGATGCGGGAGGCCGGTCTTTCGGTTGGAAGACGGCTGCATGCTGAGTTCCTCCAGACCGGCGCAGCTTCGGGGTACGTCCTACCATGGATGTCTGGTACTCACATTTAAGATTGTACGTGCTGCAGCGTAAGCACCCATACTTCTCGCCGGAGCAACGAACCTGGTAGACGGTGGATCAGTTTCGGCCATGGAATATAGAACACTAACTCCAGCGTTGGTATCTAAATGGCCAAGGCTATGTACATGTATGTTGCTTGTGGTACGAAACCGGCGGGTTAAGGGGCAGAGAGAGAATCCTTACTCACTTTAGCACCATGACACTGGTTACACGCTGTGCGCAGACGAAGTGGCTTCGCTGAGGCACGCAAACAAGGGGCTACGCCTGGCATCCTTGCATCGACAACCCGCTGGTCTGCGCCAGATAGCCGCGAGCTGTGTGTCAGCTACAAGCCCGGCAGACACGAGAGGAAATCGGGACAGAAAGACAATGTAGAGGGTGGATTATTTTCTTCGTGCCGAACAGGGGTAGAATTGAAATGGTTCTACGGAGTAGTGGTGATCAAGAAGGGGTGGCACCTGTTGCGTTGCAAATATCAAATGTCTCCGAGAACATGGGTTGTGGATCACGTGATACCCATACACGTACATGGAGAAGAGTCAGATTGGACACTCAAAATGAAACTTTGTTGAATTGATCTTCCTGCTCGGGCTACTACGTGGCAATATATGACAAAATCACCCTTCGTCTCATAGTAGCTTTTCTTTTCATTAACGGTTGTGTGCCATTAGAAAATGCAGGTGCTGTATTGGGCATTCACAGACCATCCGCATATAAGTAATATGGACGAGGAGGTTCGTCGGGTAAGGCTCCCTCAGTTCTTTTTCGTTCCCAGTGGGATTAGGCCTTGTTGTACCACCTGTTTCTCTCAATAGCGTTTGCAATACGGCGATCCGTGACCTAGACACCCTTTCTGATCCCCCTTATATTTAAATGCCAATTATGACACAAAAAGACAACCGTCCCTCCCAAGACCAGTATTTCGCCCCTATATTGCCACACCATATCTGCGGGTCCATTGTCTGGGTGTCTCGTCGACCTCGGTGGCAGCTTTCGCCCGTGAATCTGCCACCGTATTGTACTCTCTTGGAATATGCCACATCTGAATCAACAAGCCGTCGTCGTTGTGCCGTTCTACCTCACCTAATAGCTTTTCCCACAAGTCCTTATTTTTCACAGCGGCCCCGCTGCTAGTCCTCCAGCCATTGCTAATCCAGTTTCTAGCCCACTGTGTAGAACCCTTCACGACATAATCAGAGTCTGTAGCAATGACAAGATGTCGAAATCCTTCCCCCACCCAAGCTCGAAACTCAAGAGCCGCGATGACAGCTCGAAGCTCGGCCCTGTTGCTGCTTTGGATTCCTGGATCGCCAAAAGGGCCTTCGGTTTCTAGCCGGGCACTGATAACTTGCCCTGGACCGGCGACAAATGCCCAGCCGGCCTTGGGGTTGGGTGCGCCATTATTCGCACAAGCACCATCTGTCATTATCAGACACTTGCCAGAATCATTTCTATGGACGTATCTGGGCCATTGTGTCAATGTCTTTCAAGTGTCACGTAGATAGAGGCTATTACCTGGTTATTCCAAGGCCAACACGACGAGACTCGGCGTGAAATATTTCGAGAGGGGCGGCGACATCCGTAAATTCGGTGGGGAATACATGGCCATATTCCCTTCGGGTAGCAAGATGCAGGGAGACCTCACCGATGTCCTGGTCAGCATCCACCTCGGGGAAATCGTCGTCGTCGTCGTCATCGTCGTCGGCCTCATCCCTTACTTCATCCATGAAGCTGAAGTCCATACAGCATTTGCCACAGATAACAAGGCCATGCGGGCCGCAGACGATGCGCCCGTCTGGAAGCTCGCAAGGACCTTCGTCGTCATCGCTGCTGTGTTCACCAAGTGGGATCAGGCCCTGTCCGAGATAGTAGCCGCGTGGCATCTTGTGATCCAGTCGTAGGGCTGAAATGTGATCACGAAAACAATCCTAGCGAGGTAATTCGATGAAAGCGTTCACAAGCCTCGAGAGACGTGGTTTATGGGTTGATGGCTTTCGCTTGAATCTGATGCTCGGGGTAAGGGGCGGGGGAGGGGAGGGGAAAATGTCATTTGATGCCCAGTGATCCATCAGGCACCCAGCGGGTACTTGTGTACCTTCTTGTCATGTGACAACTTATCGCGCAGTAACTGTTTTATCCTCCTATAGGAGGTGTTTTCCTACGTGGCACGACGCCGCTCAGTCGGTCCTTGGCTACCGGTTACGAAAGAAAGCATATTTCCATGAACAAACACAGGTCTCCATCGTGTTTATTTCGATTGGATATGGGAATATCCGGAATTAGAAGTACCTACGCCCCAGGGCCATTACCTTCAGCCCTATGCCTCTAATTAAAGATTTAAGTAGATTGTAGGGAAGCCTAGGAAAATTAGCCAACAAGGCCCAGTTCGCCCATTAAAGATAACCAGACTGAGAATACCAATAATTAATTCTTGGATGGTGGTGTCTCTATTAACCCTTTTAAACCTTCATGTTGATTATAGAAAAGCCAGTCTAACCTTCCCTTCTCAGCCAAATCTTTCTTCGCCAAACACAAGCAACTCATTATATAAGACAGACGTAATGAGAAGCTGTTAACGTGATGCTCCTAAGGAGAATTGTGCCTGAAATTGGCCTTTTTTTAGGCCTAAGAGCTCAAGGACTTCATCGACGGCCTGGGCTAAGCCTTTTGTATAAACAAGGCATCTAACGTGGGCTGTTTATATCTACAATTACCACTGGCCCCACAAAGATTATGCTAGAAAAACACATGTCAGAGACGCCGAGAGTGTTGTCATTTTAATACATTATTTTGGCAATGTCATTCTCAGCATTCTACATCCAAAATGCTAATTGTGAGTCTTCTGCTGTCTCAGACATCAAAAGGTACTAAATTTGGGAACGAACTACCCTAGCAGATTGAAAAATCCCAAGTAACTCTAGAGTACATCGCATCTTAGACGGTAGATGCTTCTGCCAGGTGGGTCGCATTGGAGGCTAATAAGGCTGGTTGCCTGGATAGCTTCTCCCGTTCTTCCTTCTCGAATTGTGCCGAGCACAACTCAAGCACTCGGGCTTGATAATCTTTGGTACTGGTTAGTACGTCATCCAAGCTGATTTTCTTGAGCTGTTTCAACTTACAAGTGACACCATTCTCCTTGTTAGGATTGAGTATCCCCGCTGAATAAATGTCAAGCTTTAGGTTGAGCTGAACTTGCTCGCACAGTTCGTGGTCCTCTACACCAACTCGCCGGGCAAACTTGTAGTAAGCTTCAAATTCTTCAGAACCAGCAGGCTCATCATGGTAGTAGTCGAATTCCATCATGGTCGTTGAAGGGTCTTCGAGGGGGCACGCGCGGATAGCACTCATACCTCCGCCGTACAGGTTGAACATCGTGTTGGGAAAGAAATAGATGAATAGACCATCCTCAGGACTGTGGCCCGGCTTCGCAAGGTGCTGCGAGTAGTTACTGTTGTTCAGCACCTTGTAGGTGGTTGGGGTGTACCGTTTGGAGAACTCCTTGTGGGCGTATGCGCAGTGGAGGCACTCCTGGAAGCCGTCGATAAATGTCTTCCAGTTGTATTTACCTACATATCTGAGGCTTCTTCGGACCTCACGTTTTGTGAAATCCACGTGCCCCATTAGATCTTCCAGTCCTGGGAGGGAGTCTTCAAAGCTGGCTGTCTCGTTCGACAGCGTAACGAAGAGCAGACCTGTGGGGGTCAAGTGGCTTCGTACCTCAGAACCCTAAAATGATGTATTAGTAGTTGATCCGATTTTTTCCCTTACTAAAGGAAGAGATGCATACATCTTTGGCAAGAACTCTGAGGCTTGTCCAGTCCTCGGAGGCGCGTCGAACGATAAGGTCCACTTGCACCATTTCGTGGGGATAGTCGCCGACAGTTGGCCATTTGGTTACCGCGCCTAGAAGAAACCATGACTATAAACGGTCAACACTGCGATGATGCCTCGACATCTTGAATGAGAGGGCAAACGCTACCTTGAGAAAAACAGCACGCCTCTCAAGGCCGTAAATTGTCTTGCTAGTGAACCATGATGCGGGAAGCGTAGTTTCTAATTCAGCCATCGTTTGTTTGTTTTGGAATGCTGCGTGTGCTTTCTTCTTAACGACCACTCTCAGGTATTTCCATTTATATAAAGGATCGAGTATTCTTTACAAACGGCGGTCCGAGAACTGACCAGGGCAGCCTGGCGTGGACCAGCCCCGGATAGCCGTTCCGAAAATGGAGTTGCAATACGCAAATGCACGCACTTGCCGTAGTAGGCAATCCAATCCCCAACAAGGTATCCAATGAAATTGCATCAGAGGTTTAGAGGGGATACAATTCGCCCATTGTTATCTTTGATGGAGTCTCTGAGAACCGCTCGTATCGTAGCCTGTGATCTCATATGCGGAGAAACAGTCATAATGAAACGCTTAAAGTGATCGACAGGTTTCAATTTCCCAACAGGGCAAACAAGTCCTCAACTTGTCAGGCGGACAGCAGGCTGTGGAACCCTTTAGGCCTGTGAGGATTGCAAGCGTGGCAAACACGAATCAGTGGTTGTGAATCTCCGCTATGCGCAGGAACTGACTTCCTTTCCCGGAATACATGAGAGTAAATTAGCAGCCATGATGAACCAACTCCCATCAGGAACTGTGCAATACTTTATAAGGGCGTTTTATTTAGGAGTTTGCCTGACATGCTTATGACTTGCTAGAGCCCTTATATCTGCTAACACCACGTCTCTCTTTCCAACAACTCGACGTATTCGGATTAGGCAGCGAGCCGTCCCCTTTCATATAACAGATGACAACATCCTCCCCTCTAGAACAGTCCTCCAGTACATTGCTTTACACCAATCTTACTTTGCTGATAATCATATGTCTTAATATTTAGCTCTATGTATAGCTGGTCAATCCTACATTAAATCCTCTTCTCGAACCTTCCCAATCATCACAAAGAATCCTCACAGCAAGGGGCGCAGACGCCCCCTCAAGATAGTAGACCAACGCCGCGGAATTTGAACTTAAGCGGCGTGCTATATTTAGCGAGGTAAGTCTCTAGCTAACCCCATCCTTAATAGTAGTTGACCCATGTGCAATGGAGTTTACGTCAACCCCTACGATCGCTTTATGAAATCTTGAGACTATGTCGCCTGCTGTGAGAGAGTTTGAGTATAAAGTAAAAAACAGCAATGGAAGAGGCCAGACCCCACATCTTAACACAATGAACAATGTCACCTACTGGATTACCACACTCCAAGTCTTATGTAAGAACGGTACCATACGAGCCTTTCACAGCAGATATCACTATGAGGGCCTTCCCTAAAACTTTATTCTGAGGGGCTATATACTTAGAAAAAGTATTATATTCATCGATTTCCAGAGACCATAAACCTTGCATCATTCCGCTCATCAGCGCGCGCACACCAAGTTAAACCGTGACTGGAGTCTCATAAAGGCATGGGAAAATGATACCACGATTCTGAACAAGCCTTTCAAATGACCGTGCTTCGATCGCCTGCTGTGATTTCCTCTCGAATGTTTCAACCAAATCAAACTCGTCCTTCTCCTCCTCATCCAAATGGGTGTTGCCGTTCAGTTGCCTTCTGTGAGTTGCAAACCTCACCGGCGTCGAACTGGGCTTTACCTTGCGCACAAAAGCAAAGCGGCGGTTGTGGTAGCGCGACGCCCTCAGGCTCCAAAAGTCCTTTGCCATCTCAGCCAACTCAGCTACGCGCACCCGTGTCAGCGCTGTGAGAGAGAAGTCAACGCCTACTTTCCACTTGGGAGAAGCAATCGCATTCAACTCTAGCAGCTCTACGACTTTGTTCCGCACACCTTCAGTGAGCTTTGCACCACGACCAGGCACCACATGGTCCACCAAGCCAATTCGCTCGCCATCATATGCCGACAAAGGTAACATGTCACGTACTAGTGACGTCGCGACAGCAGAGCCGCACCGCTTGTAGTACGATAGCGTGTGATACTCGGACCCGTGGAGTCCAAGGGCGCGATACGCCGGGTTCAAGACCACCTCGGAGCCGGCGATGACCTTGTCGAAGGCAGCAGCGTATGCAACGCCGCCAGCGGCGCAATTGCCTCGCACACCGGCCACTGTGAGGATGTTCCGTTTCGGGAACTCGTGAAGAATGTAGAAGACAACGTCGTTGATTGCGTTGATGTTAAGCCAAGACTCGAGGGCCGGGTCGGCCGCAGTCTCAATCACATTCAGATGGATTCCGTTGCTGAAGTACGAAGTACCACCCATCATCACCACAGCTGCAAGGGGGTTCGCCTCTGTGTGTTTTGATAGGACGAACTCGAAAGCTTCAATCAGCCGCGAGCACTGCGTAGTGCTCATTGCCCCGTTGTAGAACTCTGAGTAGACGTATGCAAGTCTCGAGTTGCCAACAGTGGCAAACTCCACCCAGATCTCTTGCAATGTAGGATAGGTCGCCGCAGACCAATCATCAGGGGTAGGGACATTGAGTTGCTGGAGCTTCTCATGGCTCATTATCTTGAGATCCCGCAAGCAAGCCGTCGCTGGCACCTTGGGCCACAAGGCAGGGTCATTTCTTCCTTTCAGGCGTCTCAAGTGCGTGATCCACACGCCCTTTTTGTCGCAGGTCGCGATACAGACTGCCTCATTCCGAGAAGCGATAATAGTGCCGGGAACGGCGTCCACTTCTTGAACCCACGGGCCTTCTTCGATGATACCTCCATAAACATAGAGGCTAGGTCCAAACACTGTGCTAAGACATCCCGGCTGGGAGTCGGAGCATCTGATCCTTCGAGAGATCTCTTTTGCCGTGTGGTCATTGACATTGAAAGCGCGCTGGGCTGCTTTGAGGAGCGGTCTGTGGCGCGTTGTTCCACCTTGGAAAGGCTTCTTATCAGTGACTGAGAGTTCCCGATACGAAGGGTCGGCGGCCATGGATGGGGAAACAGCCGACTTTGTTAAATCCGAAGGACTTAGATTGGCTGTGATTCTCCCCATGGCGGTTACTGTGGCTGTAACCGCAGCTTGAGTGACAGAACTCCGGTAGAGAGTAGACTTTGTCACGTGAGGGTCGTCGATATCGATTGGAAACTGCTCAAATGCCCAGACGGGACCCGCATCGAACTCTTCGATGGCTTGCAAGATGGTTACGCCCCAGTACTTTCGGCCCGAGTCGCTCAATGACTGCGCCTTGAGCAGTTTGTTGGATTCAGTCTCGGACCCGTCGTCCCCCATCAACACCCAGTCCAGAGCACTCGGCCCAACATCTCCTGGTGGCCCTGGGTGGACAATAATGGTCAAGTAATGTGAGTAGACCTCGCGAGGGATGCGAGCCGTCAGGAAGGGACAGATGATCAGATCTGGCTGGTACAGCCCAACAGCCTCGATGATGACACTATCGGATAGTGCATACTCAACAGAGACATCATGATCCTTGGCGAGCGCGAGAAAAAGTCGTTGAGAAAGCGAATTATGAGCTGTGCAAATAAATTGAATCTTCATTGTAACAGCACAATTGGAAAATAGCAAGGAGCTTCAGATTGCCGTCGATTTCCTGGACGATATGAACTATATAGTTCCTTGGAGATGTAGCAGGGAAGCAGTGCTTTTGAAGTGTTATCCCATCATCTAGTCTATCTGCTCTTAACCAAGCTTTGCTCTTATACCCAATTTTCAAACTGACCTTCAAGGATTTTTGTTTCTGCCTAGACGTTGCTGGCATTCTGTAACAGATTACAAGCATCATGTTGCAGTAGGATCCGTCCATTATCATATTATCAGGCCATGGCCTGCAAGAATCAGAAGATGATCCAGGGCCTTAGAAGCGAGCAGGATCACAAGTGTCCTCGAGGAGTTGCATTCGCTAGTTATGCGATATAGAAAATGCTTCCGATTGCTACACAAGCTCGACCTATGAGGAATTTTCCGGAGCATTTGGTCAGCAATCAGCGCACCATGACGTTACTCTCGGGATGTTCACGGCAACATTAGACCCCCACGTCGCTTACAAGATTGCGGACCGCCGCATACTGTGGAGAACGACAGCGTATAGCTGCAGGTTTGCATATTTTTTTTTCATGCCGATGGGACTTTCTAGATTTGTCAATCGAATCGAGTTAGTGGAATCTGTGGTCCAGCGGCAAAAGCTTTGATGTTTACTGCAAAAAGGGGTAGCGTGAGGTGAGAGTGGCAAAGAATAAGCGCCTTACCGGGTGGTGCCAGTCTAAGTCTTGCTGTAAGGAGTCGTTGTGTACTATCTTCCAAGACTCTGCCACTACCTTTAACTTGATTGGACACTTCAAAGCTGCGGGATATTATCTCAAGAGGTCCTCTTTTTGACTCCGTAGAACATGTCCCGAGAAGTTGTGAAGACATCATCTCAGCATGGAAAGAAGAACCCAATTATTCTGCAAGACCTGTTTCTTTGACACACTTTCTTGATGGCCCGACAAAACACTTTGACATTTTGTAATATCTACCAGTCTGTTAGCTAGCTTTTGGTATTTGCGTCCTAGTAATTAGCAATGGATAAAGGTTCCCTCTGATCGTGCCTCACCATGGTGGTAGCCCCGTCTGCTTAAAGCTCTGGACCTTCAAAGCTAAGAAGTGGCGAATTAACATCTCTGTAACACTGTTTCTTACAAAAGAAGCCACAATAGCTTATGAGATGAATATTCATCCTCAATGCCTGTCTCCCCAGCAGGATAGCACCGTGTGTCTTACATACCATAAAGAATTGACTTATCAGGTTATTCTGCGACAATTTATTGAAGCCATGGCATATATAAAGTAGAACTGTAGACGATATTGCAAAATCACTTCATCACGAACCGCCTCCTCCTCCTCCACAGCCACCTCCACCACCACCACATCCTCCTCCTCCACCGCCGCATCCTCCTCCTCCTCCTCCTCCTCCACACCCTCCTCCGCATCCCCCTCCTCCTCCTCCGTCGCCTCCGGCGCATCCTCCAGCATTGCCGCAGCCTCCTGCACCACCGCAAGCTCCGGCAGCGACTCCACCACCACAACTGCCCCCTGCACACGCTCCTGGGCAACCTGTACCATTGCAATTGACGACGTTGGGGTCGGCGCCATAGTATATACCGGGTGTAAAATACATCGGGTACATAAAAGGGCCATATGCCGCGTATGGGTATCCCCAGTGGCTGTAGTAAGTGTCCCTTGGCGGGAGCTCTCGCCCCTTCTTCTCAGCCCGCTTGCGCGCCTTCTCGTAATTCTCATCCAGGCGACGTTGATATGCCTTCTGAGCCTTGCTGCGGACGAACATGGAAGACCGCATGGACGGGTTATCTGGGTCCACCGCCCTGGACGTTACGGCGTTGTGGGAGCTGATGTGCGCAGAATTCTCGGTATCGCACGACTTGGCGGCACCCGACTCGTAGAACTCATCCGCAACTAGATTCATATTTAGCAAGCATCGCGGAGGGAAGACGAGGCGTCCGTGTAAGAGATAAAGTGACTATACCTTTTTCGCTAGACGAGAGCCCAAAGGCCTTGCCAATGGATGAAATATGAGAGGAACGAACAGTCTCGCAATACCAGCAAGTACATTCCGAATATACTTCATGGTATAACTTCTGATACGTCTTACTCGTCCATTCAAACCCTTGGCTGAGCTCATCTTCATTGATCTTGTCGTCGTGGTCGACAAATTTGGACTGGACAGATGAAGTGGTCATTGTGTAGTATGCTGAGGGCGAAAGTTGGTGGGTATGCCATCCTGTAATAGATGAAGTCAGTTTGAAGAAGCCCCATTGAATCAGTTTAACATGTAGGGCTTAGTTTGAGTACTTACCTAGATCCACGTCTAATGTCGGGACGCACAACTTGCCAAAATTATTATCCATCAGCTTGAGGAATCTCATGTATTTGGTGCAGATCCGAGCCATGGTCTGCGAAGCCACGGGCGAGTGCAACCAGTCGAGGCGGTACATCTTCTCCACGAAGATGCCCTGTCGCATCACGGCTCCGGACAGGTCAAGTGCGAACGGGGAGAAATTGTCCCAGTAACGGCTCATCATTTTTCGAATGGCAAGACGGGACTTGGGGACCAGTCTTGTGCCAAGCTTGTAGTGTCCCGAAGTCTTCATCACCAGGGCGTTCACTCTGGCACGATCTTGAAGGGCGCTTTCTATCTCTTGGCGAATCTTCTCCATGGAGGCTGGTCTGGAGCTTGCGATGATCTCATCGAGTTGGAAGCAAATCACTTGCTGAACTAACCGGTTGGGAAGCCTGATCGGATCATGATGTCTGTCGAATGCAGCTTGCGTGACCCTACTCCGGTAAGACTCTGGCTTGCCGGATTGAGGATCCAGGATAGTTCCAGGCATGGGAACTCCTTTTGTCAGTAGTCTTTTCGTGTCGTTCCTGAACTTGATGACGCTCAATAAGTTTTTGTCCATGTTTAGAGCGCAACCATGGCATGTGTAGTCGAGGGAGCCGTCGCCATAACCGGAGCCGACAAGGGAAGGTAGAGAGGACGCCTTGGCCGTCTCATCTGCCCCGCAAGTTGTCCATGGAATATCCAGATGCGTTTGACAACGAGGACATACCACCGTCTTGACAGGGCTATCGTCGACATTCTCCCACGGTCGCTCGGTTTTAGCAACCCAGACAGCCTTGACGTCGTCGGAAACGATATAATTAAAACTAGAATCGATCGCGGCGTTGACAAGATGCCAAGGCATGCCGTGAGACCAAAGATCTCGGAGACCTGCTCGCATGCAATCCTCGAGGTAGGCCCGTGGGTTGAGCATGTGTGCATGCCAGACAAGCAAAACATCTGCCGAATGAATTAGCTGCTGAGGATCATACAAGCCTGAGGTTCGTCTTGGGTCCCATACCTAAGGGTGGCAGTGACTCGTTCTTCCACAAGACGCCTTGCATTGGCATAGGAAAGAGGTCATATGCGACTGATCCATCATAGTCCATATCTGTCTCTTGAAGGGGAAGCCCATCCTTCATAGAACCCCACCAGCTTTCATACCGATCGACTGCGCGCGCGACAAACAATGCCCATCGTTTTTCCCTCACTTGACTGAGAGCCAGTTGCCGCTCTTGGTCATGGCTCAGTTGCTCATTGCTTGATGCGCCGTTCCCGGCGTCGGATAACTTGGCGTCGGGATTGGGTGTGAGGTCGACACCCTCTGCCCGAGTGTTCCACAGGCCCCAGAGCCCATCTGTGTATCCTATATCCTCTTTCAGCGTCTGGAAGGCGTACAGGAGCTTGAGATGTGCCAAGCATGTGTCGGTGTTGGGGTCCTGCGGGCCTGGGGAGAGCTTCAAGTTGGCGAATCCAGCGGTAATATCATCCAGTTCTGGTGGGGCCGCATTGGTACTGTCGTACGACGGTGGTGCCTCATTGGCATCAGCACTTCGGCCATTCTTCTCTACAGAATCCGCGGCCATGGCGGCAACGTTGACAAATGTAGGCAGGCAGTGGGTGCAAATGGTATCAAATGTGTTTGTTAGGGCAGCAAGACGGCGGAATGAATCGAGGGGGCGTGAAGTACCTCAACAATCAACAGATGGATGATGATTTAAGTATTTAGCCTTAGATCTCCAGGCTAAACCGGGCTGTGCTGGGCTAGTCCGATAAGCACTCTGTAGCTGGGCAAATAATCCTCGTTTGTGGCGCAAAGTAACCCCCGGATATGACGGCACCGGCCATCGTGGCACTCTCAGCTGCCAGTAGACAGAAGAGGCTCATCCAGTGAAAAGCCCAGCTCGGCACTTTGCGCCCGGGTTCGGTGGCGGGGGAGCAAATCAGTGCCTCATGACGGGGATGAGTGATGACGCATCTCACCAGGAATGGACTTTGGCAAGGCAATGACGCACAGCTGGCTGATTCACAGGACAGCTTTAAATAAAATGGTAATGATGTTCTATATGATCCAATACTCATAGTCCGATGCTAGTTGGGTATTCGGGCGGAACTAGCGCAGACTCTCCAATGCCGACATGAGCAATCTATTACCAATCCATTTTGAGATGGCGAACATGAGAAGCCATCACGTGGACCTGGCCTCGGATTTGGCTTCAATCAGACAGTAACCCAGACTCTATGGATTACCAAGACTCCGAGTGAGACATTGGCGAATTCTCGTTGTAGGATGCCTTGCTTGGCCACGTTTTTCACAATATCCACGTCACAACTCGCTTGACGGGCGAAAGGTACACACTCTGCCCGCAACTACTTGGTGGTGGCGATTGTATCTTTCGCACACAACCAGAGTAATGGATCTCGCAGTCAAAATTAGTTTTTATAAACTAGCAACTCCAACAGGCCTCCTGGCTATATCTCTCGCGCAATTTAACCAAGTATTGTTCGTATTGTTCCCTTCTTTGCAGAATAAAATCACAGTGCCAAAGACGGGTTGACTTTGCTCCTGAGTACATGTACCAAAAGATGTGCAGCCTCAAAGGGCAGGATGTAACAGTTATTAAGGTAAGATTTATGTCAGGAGGCCAACCCATGGCCTGATAAAGGCGTAGCGGATGCCTTTCTATTTCATAGAGCTCTGTCAACTTGTAAATAAATCATGAGCTGTAGGCAGCGGCAGTAGCTCAGAGTTGTAGCGCTTCAGAGTGTTGATTTCACCTGTCCGTTGCTGCTATGTTTGCCTCAATTTCCGCGTCGCGTATGAGACGCGTGAATCTACTCGAAGGCAGGTATGGCCAGTTGTTTACCAAGTGGAAGCTGCAGGACTTCATTTCTTACTACACCTTCAACAGCAGTTTTGCTCCCCAGCCATCTCCTCTTCCTCTCCCCCCCAGAGCTCAGACTGCAGAACTTGGTTCACCATTTCAGTGCTGCACCTCCATTACTTTTTGGTCCTTATTCATGGCTTCCCGTCCCATTAATACCTGGTTTCTCCGAGGAGAAGGTTCAGCTACCTTCCACGTCCCACCAGTTAGCCAGCGCACGGCGTCTTTCCCATGCAAACGAGAGTCTCCTAGTCACGACACGAAGCCTTCTTCTCACCCGCCGGGCGTAGGGTCCCTGAAGGATCAGAAGACTCTTTACCCCGATACCGAACAATCGACCTCCTCGGATATGGCGCCTCGGCCTGAAGCGACTGTGATCCTAGATTCGGACAACGAATCCACCGTTTCCACCCATGATGCCCCCGAAATCGAACTCGCTGCTGCAGGGTTCAAGCTTCCAAAAGGCCAGTCGAGCGAAACTCCGGTAGAGTCAAAGCCGTAAGTAGACTAGATTTCTCTCGCCGATCTCCATAGCTAACCAGAATCTCAGATTGGATTGTGACTGTCTTCGATGTGCTCGCGCTCTGGCAGATTATAAACCCAAAGATGGGCAGGGATTTGCTCCCCCCCTCTGCTGTTACAAAATTGGCTGTAAGTTACACTCGAGCCACCATGTCTACAGAGCTAATAACAGTTGAAGCATTCACGGGCAGCTGTACCCGCTGCGCTTCTAATAACAAGGATTGCTTGAAAATGCCTTACCGACACCACCGTTTGGTCCGCCGCTTCCGGAAGCTCGCGACAGATAAAGCTCTCCGCAAGACTGTGAGTTCCGGCCGTTGTCCGCCTGGGTGGGAGTGTAGCTAACCAGCTTCTAGCGAGAGTTCCGGATCCTACGTTGGCGGGTGCGCCAGACCTTGGAGTCACTCAAATCCAAATCAGAACATCTCAAATCCGAGGAGCATCAGAATGCGGAGGAGGATCTTCGCTATCGGCGCCAGCGCGAGGCCTGGCAAGACCGGGTCCAACTCGACATCGCCAACAGCCTTCAGCGTATTGCTCAATCTCTCGTGCGAGCCTCCGAACGCCGACTGAACCGTGTCCTTGATGAGGAGGAGGCAGCCGCGGTGCCCGATTTCGGGCCTGCGTAAGTTCCTTCGTGGCCGCTCAATCCTTTCGCTACTTCCGCGCTCTCAACACTGCTGTCTCTTTGGGGCTTGCAATTGGCTTTTCGGATGCAATGAAATGCAATTTGGGTTCAATGTTCTTGTGATCATCGATTTGGAGCTTTGATTAACGCTCTCGCGTGAGACTTCACCAAGACCAAGAGTCTATGGGAGGCATTGTAGGATAACGTTCGAGTGCGATCAAGTCATTCTCCAAGCTTCTATCATGAGACAATTGTGCTTTCTGATGTGCAGATTTCTCACATAGGTTTTAGAACTCGTTTCCTCGGTAGCTATCTTGCAATTAGTATATTACGATACCTTCTCTACCGATTCACTGGATATAAGTGGTCTTTGTGTTAGCCAGGCTGAGGTGCATCCTCTATCGAAAGGGGCTCTTGAGTAAGCTTCATGTAGCTGTACAGTACTCTCCTAGTCACCTGCATTGATAAATGATTTGGCCTCCATGTTTCATCAAAATAGAGATATATTATGTTCTACACACACTTTCCCATTCAATCAGCTGAGCAAAATGCGATCTCTTGTTTACATTCCCCTCAACATCGAGATGAGAACTCAGGAGCTAACCTATCCACTAGCTACCAAGGCCTTCACTTGCGAGCGCGAGTCCCTGTATGGCAGAGAGCCCGTACTGTGCGATATCGTTGGTTGAAATCCACGCAGCCTCTTCCACTCCCGGTAACAGAACCGCAGAGCCATTCAGCTTGGTTGTCACGCCCCACGTCTCATCTGCCCCAAGCCCATCCGTGTTGAAGAATTCATTCCAAGTTCGCGCCGCCAAGGTGCTATTTCCTGTCTGCTGGTAGTAGTAGGCTGAAAGTCGAGCATGGCCCTGCTTGAGACTTACACCCGAAAAGCTGGAGCCGTACCTCGCCTTCTGTTCCACACCACCAGCACCGTAGTAGTAGCAGTAGTCAAGCCAGGCTTGGGCAAGGCCCTCGGGGGCGTCGTCTCCCCAGTATTCAATGGCCTCCGAGAGAACCTCGGGTTCTCCAAACACGGCTGACAGATGGGATATGTCGACTACGCCTGCATTATCAGGATCGGTAGGTGGTGAGGATATGGACTTCCCCTCAATGTCATAAAGACCCTCTCCGGTAACGAAACCATTCTTAAGCTTCGCAATTCCAGCAGCCGTGTTGGTAAGCTTCTCTTTTGCCTCCTGCCAGCGGGATCCTCTTCGCTCCCACTCAATCAGCCATCCAGCAGCGAGTGCTGCCCAGTCGGTTCCCAGCGAAATGGAAACTGGCTCTCCTGGTGATGGCTTCCAACCATCGGTTCGCACCTTGCGATGGGCATCCAGGATCCCGTATGTTTTATCAGCGTCCAAGGTCTCCTCAAGCAGTTCTCCAACACGCTCATCACCGCCTGTGAGGAAGTAAAAGTATTTGCGGTATTGGGGCTGTGCAATCCGTGCCTGCTTGGCACTATCAGCGAAGTGAAGGACACCATGTCTGGTCCCCAGACCCTTCCAGTCACCGGTATGGTAAACGTCCACCTCGCCGGTGTGGCGTGTCAGGGCTTCTGCAAATCTGTAGACATCTGCACGGCCTGTCCTCAGGAAGTACAGCCAGAAGAAGAGGTCCGGCGATAATTCAGAATTGTCCCAAGCATAACCTCCGACATCATATCTCCACACATGCCTGTCCACATCATAACTATGCATGAAGTCGCCATAGTGGAGGAAACCATACCACCTTCGACCCTCGATTTGGCCTTTGTAGTATTCGATGATGAATTCAAGGTTCTTCTCAATCGTCGCAGCTTGTGAATTAGAGGTATGTGGAGCGGCCCAGTATGATCCCAACGCTCTTGTTTGTTGAATGTGTTCCGATTTAGCAAACAGTGCCGGAGGTTCCTCAAGATGCTTGCTCAGCAAACCAAGATGGTCGCTCGAGGGTGTTGAGTCAAAGGCATGCAAAAAGACCTCGTGAGTCTTAGCGATGCCAGTGGGCGTATCAAAACCCGGCTCGTAGTCCTCGTAGGTGATTTCCAAAGCGTCGAGTTGCTTCGCATACGTGTCTTGGCCCAACCCATCATGGTATGGACGGAGATCCAAAGGCCCTGCCTCCGGGCTGTAGAGCCACAATGTAATCTCGCCGTTGTCAGTCGCAGCATTGGAGATGTCCAGGCCAGTAGGGAATTGCTTCCAGAAATTCCTCAGCCCAATAGCCAGGCCACCTTTGGTAGATCCTCCAAGATATGCCAGGCCGTCGGAGCGTGGTCCTGTGGAGACGTCAAGCCAGCTCTGCCCTGCTTTCGTGCGCTTTTTGATCTGGAATCCATCTGATGTAAGCTGTCGCAAGCTGTAGTCATTCCAGGCTGGGATCCAATGCATTCTTGAAGATACCCTGGTGTCCCAGGTGCTTATATCTGGGGTCGATTTTCCTTCATATTGTGCCACCTTCACGGCGGTACCAGGATCCCGTCGCAATCCCGTGATACCCTTAACGGCCTCGGTCAAGAAGCCGCCATCTGGGCCTGAGATTCGAACATGTCTGTTATACAACTCTTCTCCTTCCAGTGGAACCTGGAATCGAATGCCAAGACCGGAGATGAAATCCTTCTTCCCATCTCCATTAAACACAATGCTGTGTACAATTCGAATGGAGTTCGAGTTGGAGTAGAGATAAAATCGAACGACGAACGGAAGCCAATCATTGTGTTCACCTCCGGCTGAGACGCGAAACTGGCCTCGCGTCGTAACCAAGGCTCGTACAGATGTATCTTGGCTTACCGAAACTTCTTCAATGCTGCTTTCAAAGTTGAAAAAATCAACTGAGGTGTTGAATCTTGACTCGACGTCGTTTGCCAGAGTAGACTGGGATGAGAGAACAAGCTTTCCGTTGGTCCCAACAACGTTCCCGCCTGCCGTTTCGATGCTGCTGACGAGGACACTTCCCGCCTTGGGGAATGTCACACTTATCTTTCCCGTATCGACGGTGATCCCATCACCAGATTCTTCCACCGACAACTCTCTTTTCTGTGGAACTGATCGTTTTGACACACCCTTGGGTGAGGCAGTGATCGTAAAGGAGTCAGGTACTGAATCAATTGCAGGTATGGCGTGCCCAGACCATTTGATTGACCCATCACGCCAGTAGCCTGTTATCCATGACTGAAGCGAGCTGTTTCCGCCACTTCCCGAAAGACTGAAGGTAGTGGAATTGGGATAAAGCGCTCCCTCCGACCAGGGGACACCGAAGCTTACGCCAGGCAAGTACCCCGGAGTATCCCCAATCCAGTTGATCTCAACACTGTTCGCGCTGTAGTTTGTAGGTTTTGCGGAAGCAATAGCAGCAAGTCCCAGGACTGCCGCAAGTCCGGGGGAGACATGCATCTTGGAGAGAAGATAACAAATTTTCAGCAACAAGCTCGTCGCTATTGGTAGGGGGGTATCTCCGAACCTCAACGCGCAAAGGACGGCTGAGAGGGCATATTATGAGTGATTCTACCTCATCTTATACAACCAATCCGATGTGGCCAGGACTAATTTCAAAACGCTTCCACCTTCCTATACTCGGCCTTCGGAGCAATGTCTTCGGTGTAATAGTAAAGCGAGTTAACACCAATATTGCTTAACTAAACCGCTGATCTCCCAAAGCGCTCCTATCGCCGGACACAATTGGGATTAGCTAGTTCTCGTCATTTACCCCTTGCATGCGGGGAAGATTTCGTGCCAACAAAAGGCGAGCAAGGGTCCACCTTAGTGCTGTGTCCTGCTTGAGCCATGCAGGAGATGCCCAAGTTGAAGGCTCGACTGCCGTCGATTGCGCGGCCATGATGGAAGAATACCACTCAATGGGCCCACCTTGAATTTACTCTGCATACTGCCGAAATTAACGGTGACCTTTCCACGCTGCAGTTCGTACTGCTTGGTAGCCTGATTCATCATCCTGTAGGCTTCTTATTGGTGGACTTACCCCGGACAAGGATTGACGCCAACATTGAGCAATGTTGCGCCAGAAGAAAGATGCAATGCCACTTTTACCCCTAGCCTTAGCCTAAAACACATGGACTTGGTATGAAGACATAAGTATCCAAATTATCTGAAAAGAAATCAATTGATCGAATGCTTGTGTTATAAGCTGAGCTTCGTTTACCCAACTCAACCGAGATAGCATTGGTTAAGGTGCTGACCAAACCTTACCAGATGCATCTGAGGTTAATGGCAGCAGCCACATAAGCTGTGCAGCAGACACTCTCGGAGGTACTGTTCCGCAGGATACTCTACGCGGAGGCAGTCTGAAAGGCAATCTTAGTGGCAATTACGTTGTGAATAGGAGCTTCTCATGTCACGCACTCTCCCAGCACTGGTTGACTTAAGCTTCCCGTTCCGCGACGATGAACCAATTGCCCGATTAATTTAAGGTGCACCAAGAAAAAACTACCGAAACACCGGCATATCTTCCCCAAATTAATTGATTTGCTAGTTGATTTGCCCAGCGGACGACCAGCGTTTGGAATGTCCGGGACCCGAGGATCACCCCAAGCCACGGTAGCGTAACACATTCCTGCATCACTAAACAAGGGATAAATGAGGAGCTTTAGGTTCAAAGAAAGACTGATCATTTGAATTGACTATCTGTATGCAGGTACCTATATCTAACTGAATAAATTCGTCCATAAAAAGAGATGAATTTTCTGTGCATCCAAATGAATTAAGGCAATGAGATCTTTTGACCCCATTTATCTATGCTCTGTGATTGGATAGTTCGCTTCAGTGCTGACAGGATCCCATCCGCCGTGTGAGTCACTGTGGCAGGCAGTAGCGTGCACTAATACAAAAGCATTACATCACGGACATTTCGGTATTTCGTTGTTTTCCAGAGAGTTCTTAGGCCAAGGTATATAACAATATTGAGTCTTCAACCATTGCTGACAAAAAAAATCCAACTAAGACTTATTCCATACCACATCGACACCATTTCAGCAATTCTCACGACAAATTATAGCCACCGCTAAGTAACTTCTGCTTCTGATACCACCGACCGACGGAGTTGTACCAATTCTTCAAACTCGAATAACACCCCAGAAACCCCTTCAAAATGGCCTCTGCTACATCAGCCCCCGCATTCTACCGGTTCTTCTTCAAGAATCTCGACCCTCTTGTTGCCATGTATGGGGTCTATCTCAATTTTTTCGCCCAGGAGATGGCTGTAACCGGGCCCGCACCCAACTCTCACTACGATCCTGACCAAGTGTTCATCTTCTTTCAATGCGGCGGATTGGCGCTTTCTATTGCCTTCATTACCGCCGCAATCCACCGAGCTACGGAAGACCTCAAGGTCTGGAGAATCATCCAATTTGCCATTTTACTGGCTGACCTAGCTGCTCTTGTGGGCATCTACCTTTCTCTGTCCACCCAAAACAGGCTCGCTCCCAGCACCTGGACCGACGATGACAAAGGACTTGCGGGAAGCTATACTGCGTTGACCCTGATTCGACTCGCATTTATTCTCAAAATCGGATTCCCTCAGGAGAGCGGTTCGGAAGAGAAGCAAAAGGTGTAATCCTGGGCTGGTTCCAGGACGAACTGATTTTTTGCACAATTCTGGCGGCAGCACTAGACTATTCACTACGTTAGTCGGTCTAAAACTTCTTCCAATTAGAATCATGCTCTGTATGAAGTGTTTGTAAGGCTTTGAGATATGGCAAGCGGTGATCATGGAGAGAAGTTATGGATCTGGGGACATGGCTTAGCAAAATAGAAACCAGAACGCTTTCGAGGTAGCTCGGGAGCCTAATGCCTAATAATAAAGTCAGTTATTGTGTGCCCGGGTTGAATAGTGTTGACAATAGCTATCGATTCATCCTACACGCGTGAAACAACATTTCTAGGAGGTAACATTCTGTGTTATCAACAGATGGAATCGGATCAATTCTACATCAATCTTAGAGAACCCCGCAAAGAAGCTGCCATTTAAGCAAACTGGTAGAGCAGTAATAACTGCAATTGTTGGTTTCATTAAACTTCGATCATCAATAGTCTAAGCAGCTTTATAACCAGCAGATGACCAGTCATTAAACCAAGCGGTTTATCGAAACGCAGAAATCTTGACACTTTCATCACAGACAATTGACACCGTCTATGCGTCACTTCTAACCTTGGATTTTCGCCCAATGCCAATCATGTGGCCCATCTCAGTCCAGAATCCGACCGGCGGTGTTTCAATCGAATTCTCATAGGTCTCAATAATAGGGCGCTCCCAGACAAGATCAACCTCGTGGGGCTTGATATACTTGGTCTTCTTGAAGAGCTTCCACCCGAAGAACAGAACCGGGGCCAATAGCTGCATGGTATAATTGGCAAAGAAATTCTCCACGCTCCACGGGGCGAAGGAGGTGTACCCATAGGCGAGGGCGATGACGAACTGAGCCGTCAACGCAATATAAGCCCCGTATGGCTGGAACCATCCGTAATAAGGCCTCGTCTTGCGATCGACTCCTTGTGCCTCGCACGCTCTGTAGTAGTTGATGAAGGTGATGGACATGATCATGAATGTGATCAAACCGCCACCGGTCACGATGGTCGTCAACCAGCCCAAGACTTTAGCTGAGCCATTACTAACTTGGAGGAAAGAGAGGAAGGGAAACAACATGACCACCATGAAACAGTAGACCGGCACACCCTTCTTATTGCAATAACGAAGAACCTTGGGGGCTCGGCCATCAAGTGCCAAACTATAGAGAGTTCTTGTTGCGCAATAGGTGTATGTATTTCCGGCTGAGAAAATCGACGTCAGAATGAGGAAGTTGACGATGTGTGGGAGAACGCCAATTCCCATGTTGCTCATGGCGATAACGTATGGCGAGGCTGCCGCGGAGCCGCCTGCACCATCTCCAAAATAAATGTTGTAAAGGACTGGGTCATTATACGGCACAACAACCGAAACGGCAAGAGCGCCAACGACGAAAAAGATGCAGAAGCGGAAGTAAACGGTTTTGAAGGCCGCCTTGATGTAGACACTGGGACGCTTTGCTTCGGCTGCCACCATGGAGATGTACTCAGGTCCGACGACGGTGAATGAAGCACTCCAGAGAGCAGCGAGGAAGCCCTCAAAGCGCCCCAGGTCTCCCTTTGTGATATACTCGGCAAAGGCCCCTGGACTTGACCAGTATCGGAAGCCGTAGGCATCGTGTAGTGGGTTGCCACCAACCATGGTCACAAACGTGAAAGCGAACAGAATGAAGATCAGGATGAGCTTGCCCCCGGAGAGCCAGAACTCGGCTTCACCATAAAATCTGACGGCAAGGATATTAATTGCACTAAGAAGCAGAGGCATTTGTTTAGCATTCATCACATCGACTTGTGTACACACGCATGCAAGCAGCAGGTATGAGAAGGAGTAGCCAAAAACATGGGCGGAACTCAGCAATCACACAAGGAGGAGAATTTCTTACCCATATAGCACAATAACAGCAGCACATATACCGGCGGTGGGTCCGGGAGTCGTGATGTCTTCACTCCAGAACGACATGGTGAAAGTCAATGCGGTAACCTCGAACGGGATGATGAGAGCTTCGTAGATGAAGAAGTTCCATCCTGCCAGGAAACCGAGCGCGTCATCAACCCAGTAGCCTGCAAGGCGGACGAAGCCGCCGGCCACGGGCATGTATGTATTCATTTCAGCGATTGAGTTATTGACGAGGGCGAGGATGATTGAGTAGGCAGTGTAGGCAATCACGAGACTAGCAGGTCCGCCCTTGGCAAGGCCGCCTCCGATGCTGATGAACAGGGCCGTGCCGATTGAGCCGCCGGCCGCAATGAGCTGGATCTGCCGATTGTTCAAGCGGCGATGAAGGCCTCCCACGAGCGCATTGCTTTGGCTTGGGTAGATGTCCTGGATGCTCCCGACGGTGTCCAAGTCGGGTTGACCGAGCTTGCCCGTCTGCTTTTCATCGTCAGACGCCATCATTCGGCGGATTTGGGGGGGATAATGAATGGGCAAGAAAGGATTGAAGTAAAAGATAGACGTTTAAGGAGTTGTCAAAGGCTTGAAAAGAGAAACTGTTCGCTCAATGGAGAAGTCAAGGAGGTATAGGGCCGAGGGAAGGCGGCATTTATAGTCTGGGAATATCTGGAACGTTGGGTGCACTTCCCCCGGCCTGTGAATGTAGGTCAAGGTAGTAAACGTCTAGACCGAAGTATCATTATCCGAGGAACAGGATGGCAAAAATGCTATCGGGCATCGCGAGAGCCCAATCAGCGAGAGCCATTAATGGCCCACCATCCTTCACGTCCATCCAAGAGCATGGCAATTATCAAATAGGCACCAGGTTAGCCCGGATGATCAAAGCCTCACACCCGGCTGTGGTCTCTTGTTTGGGCCTAGCTCAAACACCCAGGCTTATCAGCTGTTGCCCGGGCTCAATACCAGGCTCAGGCCATTGTGAGGATTAACCACGTTATGGAAGATGGTGGAGTGGGGATGAGCAGGACACCCCTCAGCAACAGGGCTTGGAATTGGTGGGGGTGTAGCAGCCGAGCTCGGTTGCTTGCTTGACTCAAGATTAGCCAGGTTGCTGGAGTTCTCCTATCTACATATGAGAGCAAGGTACACCAACAAACACGCAGCTATTGCGCTAGGTGGAAGTACTCATACATGGAGCTCACGATAAGAAGCGGCGTGATATGGTTTAACGGCGTCCAGTTGAAGTGGGTTACACTCAATACAAAGCTGGGGGCCTGGTTCAACTGGTGGCAAGGCCACTAGTCAGTTAGACTGGGGGATGTGTGGCATGACTCTGCCAATGACGTGCAAAGTCTGGAGTCGCCCAATGGTTCTAGTCCTAAATATCACCAGTGGGAAGGCGGCTGAGGGTACTGACTCGTGGCTACCGGCTCGTTCAATGAGAGATGCTGATGACTTGTAATAAGGGGTTGAGAACTACAGAAAGTTCTGCTCCCCTCGTTCATGCGGGTGCATGCGCATGCATATGTGCGTTTGTTTGCCCGGTTAGAGGGCCCTTGCATGATGGCAGTCCATTACTGGCTGACACTTGACAGACTGTTCAGCCATCCATTCTTATGTGTCAGAAAGCGTGTCGGACGGCGTGATAAGCCATCCACAACGCCCTGTCGTTATCAATCCAATGGCGCCACCGAGTCTTCGGCACAAGTGGACGATGATGCTCGGCCTCATTGTCGGGCAATCCCCCAGACTCTCTAATGGAATGGATGGGTCAGGCCAAGACACCAGAATCCGGGGTAACAAGATTGCATGCGGCTACGCTTGCCACGATTTGCCGCTCCTCAGCTCCATGGATCGGTGCTATATTGGGTCTAGAATTGGATGGGCCCCAGACGGCGGGCCCTTACTCTCTTTCAATTAACCCGATTCTTCTCTTGTCTCCGCAGCCTCTCTTTCGATTGACTGTATTTAACATGATAAGCTATCTATGGAGTTCGGGTCGGGCGCGCGGCTCGTTGGAACCCCATGACACCTACACCATGCGTATCAGCTCGTCGAGATCATCTAACTTTCATAACCTTACCCATTGCAGCCTGTTGAGTGAGATCCGTGAAGCCAACCTGGTTCAGATGCTCTCGCTCTGTCGATATGTCAGGGTGTAAGACAAGAAACCCCAGACACAATGCGAAGGTCTAGACTTGACGATTGTGGAAGTCGCCCTCGCTCGCTATTCCACACCCGTTGTCCCTGGTGACAATAGGCCAGTTTCATTGCTTCGCATCAAGCAGGCGAATCTGGTGGTCAGAATGTACATGTATTCGATGTCTCTGCGCAGACAAGGAACGTGCAACGAGGCGCAAGTTATGCGCGGCCATCTACAGCAGACGAACGCTGACCCACAGCTTCGCATGCCGAGATAATTAGAGGATGAGCATGGCGGTTGTTCACGAGCACCAGGCCATGATACCTGCCATGCACAGTGGCCTGGCGAAAGATGCAACTGAAGGCAAGATTGTCTCAGCTGCGCCACAATTCAATTGGTGGCTGCTGCATGCAGTGAGGTGGAATTGAAGGAAAGCTGAGAAACGAGGCGCAGCTGCAGCCTGATCGACGTGGCGGAAGGAGAGAGAGAGGCCTCTGCTCTGGGCCAGTGCGACTGCCGTGATTCACGCTTCAGCCTCTGCGCTCAGAATCATCTCACTTTCGACTGAGTCTCAAGGTGCAAAGCGCTCCGTGGAATCTTTCGGAAACACCTTCTCCCGTCATTTTCCTACCCTCCGTCGCAGGCTCACTTGGCCAAGACCCGGAGTGATGGTTCGCTTGGGGTTCGCGTAGGCAATCCAACGTCTGGTCGCACAGCTCAGCGCATCGGGGAAGAACAAAGCACTCTCCCAGGGAAGAAGGCAATCGACTCTCGTCCCTGCAGGCACGGGCATCTCACTCTTTCATCTGAGCTTCTCGCTTTGCGTTTCTTGGCCATTGTTCTGACCAATTCCCACTCCGACGGCCATTGTCCTTGACCTTGGCCCCCCCAAAGTTCACACCACGAACCTAACCGGACCTTCTCACCTGCACCTTCACCTTTTTCTTTCGTCACTCAGCTCAAATTTGCACATTCTCATGGGCAGCATCGAGCATCATTGAAGTCGTACCCGACTACACCGACACCTCTCCTCACTGCCTAAGCCTTGGGTCAGGTCAGCCTGGTCCAGTGAGGACTGACAAGATGGGCTACCGCAAGTTCAAGGCCGATTTGGCTGCCGCAAAGGAGGCAAAATACGATCGCATCTCGCGCCTCCGCGGTGGTGACTCGGAAGGCGAGATCACTTTCCTCTACGAGCATGATGAGCCATTTTGCCAAGTCGAGATCCAAATCTCCATTCAAGGTATGTGAACGTCCCCCACCCCAGGCAAAGACAACTCCTAACAGTGGACTTCTTCCAGACGTCGAAAACTACCCCGATAGTCGCCAAGTGTTGCTATTCACTGCCTCCGACGATGTTGACAAGGGTCTCATCGGCCGCCTTCAGAAAACGGCACCTCACCTCGTCAGAAAGTCTATCCATGGAGTCATTACGGAATTCTCGAGGCAGATGGCCACTTCCAAATGTGAACCACCCGCTGAAGGTCCCACTGAAGCTACATCTCCGGATTCGGAAGACGAGCACACCCCTTCATTGCAGTCAGAGCCCTGGGGAGAGTCTGATCTGGAGTCGGATGATGATGACGGGGCATTTGTCGACAGTCGCCGCCTCTCCACGAAGACGGAAGAGCATGCACCAGTAGACATCCAGCAGAGAGATGCTACGGAACAGCAGCGAAAAGACTTGCTTCAAGCAATGCGTCGTGGATTCGCCGTCGGCATCAATGACCACCGCGAGTACCAGCTCGGCGACATCTTATCCTTGGCCGTAAAGGTCTCGGAGTTGGGACTCACAGACAATGGCCTTGCCTGGGGCTTAAAGCCCACCGACTACGTTGTGATGCTCTTGAAATTCCCCCATGGTTACCCTTCGCCTTCAGAGTACCAGAACCTTCGTGGTAAGCAGTCAGTTGCCTGTGTTCGGTTTGGCAAATGCTGCTCCGCGAAACCGTCCAACGTCTCTGCCCAGGCAGCTTTTCACGACGACCCTATTGATATCGACCGCGCCAGTGATGCAAAAGCCAAGGCCTCAGCACGGCATACCGTACATGACTCGGCAGAATTCATCCCACTGTATCTCTTCAGCTCCATCACGAAGCTTCTCAACGAAGACTTCCCGACCCTGTTGCATACGCGGAGAGACCATGGGATCTCATGGAGCGCGGCGCGAATCTTGCTTCACCGTAAATCGGAAGGCGCACATATTCGAGACGACACATTCCGCTCCAGCACAGTAGACCACGTCGCCGAAGCCAAGTTGAAGGATGAACAACCATCATCAGCACCCACCCACTGGGTCCTATCCCAAGACGATGCTCTAGTGGAGGAAGAACAATTCAACATTCCCTTGGTGCTCATGCAGTTTGCACTACAGAGCATCATTAAGAGTGGCAAGTTCTGCATCAACTGCCACGAACATCTGGAGGAGGGTTTTGAGGCCATGAAGCCGTATGTCTGCTCACGCCCATTGTGTCTCCACCAGTACTTTTCATCGGGCCTTGGCCCAAGCATCGAACACGACATACTCACGGCCCCTTACGTCGTCGATCTGGTCGTCAGCTTCTTCTATGCGGCGGCCTTGGGTAATCGAATCCGCGAGTTGCCTACTGGACTCGGACTTAAGACATTCCGACCTGGCACTCCCACAGCCCCAAACCATGATCACGAGGCAGAGGTCTGTTTTGCGACAAGAGTCGCGAAATGTCATTTTGCTCATCCAAGGTTCCAGTCAGGAGAGAGACTTTTGATGGTTGTCAGGGATGGGAAATTCAATGCCGGCATGCCAATCTTATCAAGCCGTAAGAATTCCCGTACGCCTACTTACATTTGTACACCAGCTAATTGCGCAGCAGTTGCCGAGAGACACCTATGTGAGGTCAAAGATGTAGGTATGCATGGGTTCGATTTCAACATCCTCCAGACCTGGACATCAAATTTAGGAGACTTGGTCAAGTCCCCGGATGCGAAATCGGGAGCGTCATCACCGGAAAAAAAGTGGAAAAGTGTATACATTTTCCGCTGCACTCATGAGTTCGATGATCTCAGAGACAGTGAGCGTTATATCGCGTTGCTAATCATGGCCTGTGGCATCCCGCCTGTCACCAAAATGAGGGAGTTTCTGCAGGCGAATCCCGCGCAGAAGTTGTCTTCTTGGTCTCGCCTTGACCATCCGACTTACAAACTGCTGCATTGGATTGTTGCCTCCAACAGATCACTGATTGTGTACGATGATCACGGGAGCGGTATAGAAACCCTGGGCGGAACCAAAGTCATCGGAATGCCGGAAGGTTGGATGCAATTTCGATTCCTACAAGGCTCCCCGGAGAAGGAGCTCAGATTCATGGAGCAGATAGCATCGGCGTTTCCCGAAGATCCAGAATCTCCCTCCATGGTGATCCCGACCTTGTTCGCCTTCCATGGCAGCCCATTGGGGAACTGGCACAGCATTATTCGATCCAGTCTTGACCACACCAAGACAGAGCACGGGCGGTCCTACGGCAACGGTGTCTATCTCAGCAACAAGTTTGATACAAGTATCCTGTACTGCAAGCCCAAGACCAACATGGGTTCACCAGGTAGCCCCATGGTGGGTTTTTCGAAAATCTTCTCATCTGTTCATCTAGAAGACCCAGCTAACCCCTGCTTCCCTCTACAGATGGATGATCACTGGCCACGTTCGGTGCTGAAGGTTGCTTCCGCGATTGCCATTTGTGAAGTGATCAATCGGCCAGCTGATTTTGTGTCTGTGAACCCACATTACGTGGTCAAGGATATTGACTGGATCCAGTGCAGATATCTCTTCGTCAAGGTTGGGGAGGCCGTGCCCAAGATTGATACGCCAATCATGTCTCAGAATTCTCTGGGATATCTCAGACAAGATGCTAGCCGGAAGCTCCACGGCAAGTTGGAGATTCTAATCCCAACATCGGCAATCCCCGTTTCTCGGCTCAGGATGTTCCCGCACCTCACCGCTGGAGGTCTTGCAATTGAATGGGCAAATAAGTCAGGCTCCCAAGAGGAGAGTGAGACCTTCGAAGGGGAAGACTTGGACGGTATATTCGATTCCTCTGGTGAAAAGAGTGAATAGACGTGTGACTGGTGAACGCATATGCGACCAGCAGTGATGAAGATCAGTCAGAAGCTAAGTTTTGTTTGTGCTTAGGCATTTCAGTAATCTGAAATTTAGTGACCTGTAATGGTCAGTCGGCATGGTCAGGTTTCTCGTTAACGTAAAAAATGGCGCAGATTTTGTTTTTCGGCCCTCTGTCTAGCTACCGGATAATTTCAGATGGAGAGGGTGCGTCGCAAGGGTTTATTAAAACAAAAAGGAATCTTTTTTTGGAAGCTATAGAGCTATTACAACACAGAATAAACTGTTCATAGCCGAAAGCCAATACTACACTTCTCGTGGGAATAGAGTACTCCGTGTCACCTTTACCCAGGTTTATCCAATCATGATCTCCGGCCTACCTTCATCCAAAGACAGATGGAAGTAAATGAAAATACTCAGCATGGGGGAGCTTGGTTCTCCAATGCCCCCGAATTTGGGTTGCCAAACTTCTTTCCCAGCTTGGGGTGGATCACTCATGCTTGCTTGCTGGCTGGCACTTCGCTCAGGTACTCAACCTCGGTGGTCGTTTCCTCCGGCTCAGTCGTCGAGGACGTGAGCTCTCCTGTGCCAATCTTCCGGAGCACAAGCCAAGCAGGGAAAATGGCCACCCCCCAGAGGCCGAAATTGATGTATGCAGCCCCGCACTCGGCCATGACAGTCTGAGAGCCGATACCATAGCTGATGGCCTGCCAGGCTGACTCGGTTGCTCTCAGGATAGCGGAGTATCGAACAACTTCCTCTTCATTGCTGGATAGGTGTTGCATGATGAAGTAGCTACACATCAGGCGTGGTCAGAAATTTTCATCGCGGGCCGAGTCATGTGAAAATGATGGATACGCACAGAAACATGTAGTTGAGGTGGAAGGAGAGGTTGAGAAGGACAAAGACGCCAAACGCAGCACCGAAGCCAGGTGTCCCCCAGTCGTACATTGGCCGAGACACTCTGAAAACGGTCACGTTGTAGGTGCACCAGAGCCAGAAACCGCCGTGGAGTGCAGCAATGGTCCAGAATGCCCATCTGGCCCTTGTCTTCAAGGGGACGTTCGACCGATCAAGCCAATACTAAAAGAGAGGCAATCAGTGATTTAATCCTTCGTAGTCGGGGATTTACTCACTCCCAGGACGTTCCCGGAGGCAACGGCGACAATGCCAGAGAGAAAAGACCCGAGAGCTCTGGCTCGGACCGTAAACCATACTACAAAATTATCAAGTCAGCGAGTATAGTTAGACAAGAGGGGCAACAAATGAAGCATACGTGAAAGATATGTGAAATACACAGCCTCTCCAAAGACTGCCTGTCCGATCCATAAAATAAGCAGCAGGAAATTCTTGGTGAGAAATGTGTTCGTCGTTCGCTTGATCTCTGGCCAAGGGTTCCTCTCGTCGATACTAAGCTTGACCTTCTTGCCATCCTCTCGCTCAACTTTCCCAGGGCTGTTCAGAAGAAGCCCTACAAATGGAGCCAAGCATTCGATGGTAATGAATATTATGAAGACAGTTGCGGAAACCTTGCCCGCCTCGTCACGATCGGCGTTCAGGCCGAGGTTGATGGCACCACCCAAGACTTGGCCTGCCAACCTGTATGTCATCCAGTACTGCAGTAGATATCCAGTCAGTTCGATGATAGCAAATAGATGCGCGAGAAGACAAGTAGACTAGTCAGCTTACGCCTAATGCTTTGCCACGGTTCCAGGGCTCCGGGTAAGCGATCGCGATTGCGGCTTCGGCCATCCAGAAAACGCCCGCAGATATGCCACATAGCGCTGCTCCAAGGATAACGAGCCACGAAACACCGTGTTTGTTGTTCAGGAACAACCCCGCAGCCATGAAAGGAAATCCCAAGCTGCAAATCTTTCAGTTAATTGCCAAAACATACAGTTTCCGCCTTGCGACATTTAGAGCGACCGGCAGATGTGGGATGTGCAACGTACGTCCCGAAGACCAAAGCTCCCTTTATGCCGATGTAGTGGACAAAAGTTCCAGAGAACCAGCACGATAGAACCATCAGACAGAATGTCAAGGCATTGCTCGTATTCACAAGGTAGGGCTCTTGCTCTCCGCCGCCGCCAAGGCTATTGATCGCAACCCAGATTCCAGGGGCAGCAAAGTTGCATAAGCCAAGGATCGTCATGTTATAGAAGGTCGAGCGGTACCAGCGAACTACATGATTACTTTCGAGTCAACAGAGTGCAAATTCATCGTTGTGGGGGGCTTGCAGGATCCTACCGGGATGCCTTTCCTCTGGTGGCGGCGGCTCTTCATTCCCAGTGCTAATATCGGTCGATGCCATGGTCGTATATCAAAAGTTAACAGCAGATATTCTCTTTCTTCCCAAACTCAATAACTTAAATGGCAGGGCGTTCACATCCTCCTTTACTCTTCGAATCGAACAAGTCTTATACACTTATCAGAATGCCCATCCGGTCCTCCGACCGAGCTTGACGGCCCATTCTAGTCACGCAATAGGAACTGCATATGCAACAATATTGAGATTTATTCCAAAAGGGTGATTAGTCTGAAGTTAATCGTGAATAGAAATAGCTCAATTGCGACTTCAGTCAAACCATTCCACTGGGCCCCTATATCAGGCATGAGATAATAAGGTGATTACGGTGACCGGTGGTACCATGATAAGGAAGAGAATCATAGTAAACTCCAGCTGGCTGGACGATAAACGCGGTAGATCTCGGGATGGAAATTCCTCATGCAATACGTTATTGAGGGCTGGAATGGCGGAACCTCATCCCTGCAACTTGTAAAACATCAGTGGGCTGCCGTCTGTACATGCTTGAACACACTGATAACTCATGAGGGAAATTAGATCCTAACTGGAAATTCTCTTAAAAGTAAAATATTCTTTAAATTCCCTTAAATTTATGTATGTTTTCACTTACCTTTGAGAGTCCCTGTGGCAAATATTCCATGACGTATATCATCAGAGAGTCACCCTTCTCCCACAGACTAATATCCCAGGACAGTTTTCTGGGCTGCTCTCTTTATCAAAACTCAATGTGGTTCGATTAAATCCTATGGGCGGCTGTATTGTTTGTGCAGCCGTTCATACGTGTCCTTATTTAAAGGCATCCAATCCTCTTCCATCATATTTTCTTTTCACGAAGCCAGGCGCAGGGCAATTCCAGACCAGCCATCGAAATCACGGCTCATGAGCATGTTTATCTCTGGCCCGCTACATGATCAAGCTACTGGGCAGACGATCAGTTTCTAAAAGGCTTTGCAAACCTTCTTACTGGAGGATGATATTTTCAACAACCTTCCTGACGATACATCTTTGGATAAACCTAACCTTGGCTCGGCCCCTGTATTCTGATATAGCATCAGCCAGGAATGGTCTAGAAGACAGAGTTCAAAGACACAGGTAGTTGTATTACTTTCAGCCATAGCCTGGCCCTTGGCCTAGTAACCGTGTAGCGCCTTAGAGTGAACAATATTACGGTAGGCAGACCTCCCAGGCTAGATCAAAGGCACCGATAAATGATACGTACAGCAAATTACTAGATCGGACCAGCTCGGAGATCAGAAAATGGATTGTCAGTCTGCTCAGGCCTCACAGGTCCAACCTCTGAACTGCTCTTGATACTGAGACAAAGACGCCTCAGACCAGTTGGCCCAACTGGGAGTTTCTTCTCATCAAGTCTCTGGCTGTACAGGACTAGAGCTTATTTTAGATAATAAATATCGTGTCACGGAGAGAAATGACTTATGCAGTCTACCATCAAAGAGATGGGAATTTGTGGTTCGCCGCCTTGCGAGATTTCATACTTGATCCTTTTTGAAGAGAAAGGTAGAGAAATATGGATCTCTATATGGACTTCAAATCACGTCGTTTGGGGAAAATTGCCGTTCGGGAGAGGAACGTGAGGCGCTCAAGGTCGTGCTGGGTCTACAAGCGCATTTTCGATAGATGTTGCCGAAATAAATTATTGCAATAATTGTCAGTGTCCAAAACGGCGATGAATGTCGCAATTCTTCTAGCGGAGATGCATCGTCTGTGCACTCAGCCTGGCCTTGTTCCTGTCGAGTAAGCGAGCTGATCACAAGGTGTGACTCAGCGAATTACTGTATTACCCGTTGACCAAAACAGGCAGGGCAGGAGAACATCTTCAAAAGGGAAGAGATTTTGCGGGGTGAGAACCAACGGTGATTGCCAATGCAAGGTACAAAAATTCCCGATAGGCTGCTGGCATGACTTCTAGATCGCGCATCCAGCTGAATTGCATGCATGCATCGACACTGCATTCCCGACCCGCGGTTTAGCACAGGTGAAGAGAGATGGAAATCACTTGGAGTATAGCAGGTTGCGAGACTGAACAAGAAAGAGGAAGAGGAAGAGGAAAAGAAATTGGGGGACCAGCAAACATTCCAGGCAAAGGTAGCAGGCTGGAAGTCGGCACGCCGTTGGATGGGATGTCGTTTGAGATTGATTGAGCAATGACAGGCACAATCAATACCGTTGCGACCAAAAGACCAAAATATCATAGTGCTGGCCGGTATTGCACCGCCACCAAAGAGCAAATGAGGCGGCTTTCGGACTTGGCGTATTGATAAATTACCACGTAAGAAATAAACGGCGGGCTGCAGGAGACGGCCTGCACTTGGGACCGAAATGTGCTCCGCCATCAGACATAAGACACCCCACAGGCATTAAAAGATGACACGGGCAGAGGACATTTACAGACTCGCGCGCGCGAGGGCGGAAAGCACCAGTGTTAGCTGCCCAGCCCAGCGAATGCCAGGTTTCATCACGTAGCAGTCGGCAGGTATCAGATAGAAGAGAGAAGGGCCATGGAGTGATCCGCAAAGCGAGCCGAAACGAGCAAAGCCCGGGGCAAGGACACGGATTTAGCAACAGCAGCCGGTCAGTTGGGCTGGGGTCGATATGCAGTCATTCGCAGGGCTGGTGCGATCCCGGCAAGAGACGGCGGGATGCTCGCAGCTGAGATGGGTTTGATATCAAGTGGGAGTGAGCCGGTGCCGAGGCCCGTGAATTGAGGCTTGGGCCCTCCCTAGTGGGAAAGGAAAGGGGATATTACGAGGTACCACGCAAGATTAGTTGGTGAGGTATCCAGGTATGGTGAGCTTCGATCTCGAGGTTGCAAGTGGGAGGTCAGCGTCGGTAGGTGGCGGTCCCGTTGCTGTTGGCGACTGGCGAGGCCCTCAGCCGCCAAGCAGAGGAAAGGGAGGAAACCACATTGCAGGCCGGCCCTTGCTGAGCCCTGTAGGGGAGATGCCCTATCGTCGACCTAGCACGTAGCAGAGATGGAGCCAGGAGGATTCCGGCGGGGGAGTTGCTTTAATTAGGATGGGCGGCCAAAAATAGGGGCATCTTCTCAGCTGCCGGTGCTGACCAGCTAGCAGCGACAGTAGCTTGAGTAGCTCGCTGTAGAACGCCGCTACGGGTGGTGGGTGGCAGTCTCACGGGCCTCTCACCTCTCGGCTCGGGCTGTTAATAGAAGTAGGGCTGGTGCTTAGGGGCAATTAATAACGAGGTGTCAGAAGTACATACCTCAGGCCAGTGTTAGCGCGGGCGGCCGATCAGGTCTTTGGTGCTGCAGCTCAAGCCATCGCTGTCCGTCAGGGCTGTACAGTAATATCGACACTGTATCCCTGCTAGCCCAGCACTCGGTGGTGCCCAATCGGGCGATATTACCTACATCTGCCCACACTGTACTGCGCTGTCTGCTCGGAAGCGAAGCTTTACCGAAACGGCGACAACTTACAAGCCGGCCAGCCAAGGCAGATGACAAGTGGCGGATCGGTTGGTTCTCTCCGAATCTGCGTGGTGATCACGACCAAGGCTTCGTGAAAGTCCACTCTTTTTGACCGGATTTTTTCAAGAGGCATGTCAAAGCGATCATCAGGCACAGATCAACAAATAATCATGCAAGTTCCAACATCAATCCAGTTCCTGATCTATCTGGACTGAACAATACCTGGCAACAAACGTGTGATAGATAGATCAAAAGCAAGCATATAGGGTAGCATATTGGCAGTGAATGTCGCATCCAATCTCCCAGCTAGGCTCGATGTAGCGCCAGGCTTCACATCTCCATCTCCATCTCCACGATGGCGGTTTGAAATGGCAAGCCCCGGAGCCCGCGCTCCTTTCCCAGCCAGATGTGAGTGATGTGCTGCTACCGTGCCCTTGGCGGAGGATGCTCTCGCAGCAAAGCCAATTTCGTCAAGACCGGACTGGAATCCGCAATCCACCACCAGGCGGACCGTCAGCACGGCTAGAGGCCAATCATGCGTGATACACCATCCCCCCGGTTGCCAGCCCTCGAATCTGTTTTTAGACCGAGGGTGGACCTGGGCTGATGTACCTTGAGGCGGCGGAGTCTATGACCTACTGTATCAGGTGCCTTCTTGCTCTGCTTTGGCCGGTATGACAATCCCTGTCCGTAACTTTGGGGACTTGGGTCTCACGATCCCTGCACGTTAGATGGGGGACTTTGGTCCAACAATCCCTGTCACTACCTTGAACGTGGCATTCTGACCTGCGCATGCATGAATGACTACCAGAATCAGAGAGCAGTAGGACAGAAACCCGCCGCCGAAATGTATAAAGTATTCACATCTCCCGGGCCATCATCAGACTTCTTTCCTATCCATCCAACCCAACCCAACAAACAATCAAAAAAACAATCTTCTAGAGCTGGTCTCTATTCGCTTCTTTTCACCCCTATTTTTTATTATTTCTCTGTTTTTGCCGGTCAATTCCAGGAACTTTTTCAACCCCCATAAAAATCATAAAAAAAAATACTTGAATCTTCTCATTTATTTAATTAAATATATTCAAAATGGTCGCCATCAACAACATCGCTCTCCCCACCGCCGTCGTCCTCGGCCTTGTCAGCCAGGCCCTGGCCCTCCCCGTCCAGGCTACCCAGGACATTGTCGACTCCGGCCTTCTCGAGCGTGCCATCGAGGCCGAGATCCAGGAGCGTGACCTGGAGGAGCGCAAGTTCAGCATCGGCAAGGTCTTCAAGGGTGCCGCCAGCGTCGGCAAGAGCCTTCTCGGCTTCCGTGACGTCGCCGAGCTCGATGAGCGTGAGATCGAGGAATTGGTCCAGCGCTACTACGACGACTCCGAGCTCGACGCCCGCGACTTGGAGGAGCGCAAATTCAGCATCGGCAAGATCTTCAAGGGTGTCGCTAAGACTGCCGGCAAGATCCTCTTCCGAGACCTTGCCGAGCGCGACCTCGAGGAGATGAGCGAGCGTGACATCGACGAGCTTGTTGCCCGATACATCGATGACTCCGAGCTCGACACCCGTGACTTGGAGGAGCGCAAGTTCAGCATCGGCAAGATCTTCAAGGGTGTTGCCAAGACCGCCGGCAAGCTTCTGTTCCGTGACCTTGCCGAGCGTGACCTTGAGGAGATGAGCGAGCGCGACATTGACGAGCTCGTTGCCCGATATGCCGAAGATGCTGAGCTCGACGCTCGCGACTACGAGGAGGAGCTCGAGGAGCGTGACCTTGAGGAGCGCTTCTTCCTCACCAAGGCCATCGGCAAGGTCGCCAAGACCGCCGGCAAGCTGCTGTTCCGTGACCTTGCCGAGCGTGACATCGATGAGATGAGCGAGCGCGACGTCGACGAGCTCGTCGCCCGATACTTCGACGAGGAGGACCTCGAGATCCGCGACTTCGACGACGAGCTCGAGGAGCGTGACCTCGAGGAGCGCAAGTTCAGCATTGGCAAGATCTTCAAGGGCGTCGCCAAGACCGCCGGCAAGATCCTCTTCCGAGACCTTGCCGAGCGCGACCTTGACGAGCTGAGCGAGCGTGACATCGAGGAGATCTTCACCCGCTACGCCGAGGACGCCGACCTCGAGGCCCGCGAGTTCGACGAGGAGATGGAGGAGCGCGACTTTGACGACATGGAGGAGCGTGACATCGAGGAAATCGATGAGCGCGACCTCGAGGAGCGCTTCTTCCTCACCAAGGCCATTGGAAAGGTCGCCAAGACCGCCGGAAAGCTCCTCTTCCGTGACCTTTCCGAGCGCGACGTCGACGAGCTCGACGAGCGAGACATCGAGGAGCTCGTCACCCGCGCCTTCGAGGAGTCCAGCGATCTCGAGACCCGTGACTTCGACGACATGATCGAGGAGCGCGACCTCGAGGAGCGCAAGTTCAGCATTGGCAAGATCTTCAAGGGTGTCGCCAAGACTGCCGGCAAGATCCTCTTCCGTGACCTCGGCGACGAGGAGCTCAGCGAGCGTGACATTGAGGACATTGTCACCCGCGCTTTCGAGGAGTACGATGACCTCGAGTAAGATGGATTGGGGCTTAATTTGTTGTACATTATTTAGACACCATTTTGATTAATACAGTAGATTTCAAGAATGTTTTTCTTTTTTTTTTTTTGTTGGGTACTTTCAACTTCTGTTCACGTCCATCAATGCCAGTGATACCATCATGTTTCCATCATCAGTAACATGCGCAGCAATTGAGCAACTCAGTAATGGTTCTCTGGCTCAATCATAGAGCCCAATTCATAGAGCCAAGAACTAACCAGAATAACATAAGCGGACTACCTTCCAGAATGCCGTAGTCCCCGAAAGCGTCTGACGTGAGAAACGGAGGCGATGCTACGACCGTATCTCGCTACCAAGCTGCGCCCCTCCCCTACCTCTGCTCCATATTCTTTGCTACTGAAATGCGCGTATACGTCCGTACAGCCATCCTCCATGAAGCTGTGGGTGCCTCCTCCCTTGATCCCTGCCCGCCGTTGTGTCAGCTTCGTGCCTCTTGTGGTAATAATCTTCGACAGAGCATCCGCGAACCCTCTTTTGCCCCTTGAGGATGGAGAGTGTAAGCTCGAGGCACTTTTGGTACAGCCAGACCTGGATGAATGCTCATTCACCGCCGTCAGTGACCTGTGGCTCAAGAGTTGAATAACAGAATAATGGGTCGAATGGTGGCCTGGCAGGATGGATGGCACGCCGGCCAAGATCTCATCTTCCGACCGTGATCAACATGGTACAACCCACAAAATCAATAAATTGTGAATAAATTATGCAGCTTGTAGAATTGTCAGGTCCTTTCATTGCGGTCATCGTTATCAGTTAAAGAATGCTACTGTTATACCACAGGTACACAGCATACATGTTCGAAGCTCAGCCTACATTGGGACCCGTGATGTTTGAATGCGAAGCCATTGTTCTATAACCACAACCCTAGCAGAGTGGTCTTTTCTTAATTTCCCCTCAAGACAAGAGATACCCGAACAAATGTTGCTCATACGTGATCGCGCGGACCGCCAGCCATGCCTAGGTCTAGGGTATGTGGTTGTGTGTTGCCGTTGGTATAAACACGATCTGCACTTGCCCTGTTGGTTCTATTTGGGGCTCTCCCCTGCGCACATCTCTCCATACCTCAACCCATCGGCTGGATGGTGATAGGCAGCGGGAATTGATTCAAAGGCTGCCCTAATAGGGGTTTAGTTTTTAGCTCTTGCAATATTGGGCATAGAAGAAGAAAACAAGGACAGGAAAAAGCCACTTGGAGGGGAAAACCCACATCTCGGCAGAAAACCCACTTCCCCAGGCCGGATAGATATAGCGGCATCTCGGAAGAAACCCACCCTCCATCATCACCCTGCCTCCCATCTCTACCGACAGCCTGCCTGGCCCAGACACCGGTTGCAGCAGATTGTAGTTGGCGACGCTGCTCTCGTGTCGATCACACGCAATGTCTGCCCCTGCAGAAGACAAGCCGCCAGCTGCACGCCTCAATTGCGCCCAGTGTGATAAATCATACACGAGGATCAGCCACCTTCGACGCCATGAGGCGACCCGTATGTTATCCTCCACCATGAAATAGAATGTGACTTTATGCTGAGTCATGCTTGAAATAGACAGCGACTCGGGTCGCATTTCGTGCCCTTCCTGCTCCAAGAGCTTTGTCAGGCTGTAATGACTTCCCTTGATAGGCTTTCACGTAGTTTTGATCTGGCTGGCTGGCTAACAACTTCACCCCTGCCGGTAGCGATGTAGCACGCCGGCATATAGGGCGATGCATGGGGAATGAAGACGCACGTGTCATATTACCCACTGCCAAGCGCGGGAAGAAGTCCAAGGCTTGTGACAGGTGTTCGCAGAGTAAAGTTTCCTGTGACTTGGAACTTCCGTGCTCGCGGTGCCGGGCCGGCAGTGTCCCCTGCTCATACTCGAGAGCCGAGACTGATGCGACTGCTATTCAGCATTCCGTCACCAAAGTCACTGCGGATGAGATACCCTGGCTGCTGAAGATGACGAATCCATCCGCCGTCGCTGGCGGAGAAGACGGGGCGGCACGAGACATTTTCGCTGATCATGACCAGTACGATGCCTTCTGGACCTTGCCAATCCCACAGGTATCTGACGAGGAACACTCTACTCCCTCCACTGAGGAGGACTTCTTCGGTCATGGCCTTGCTGCGTGGATTGCAGATTCGAGCGATAGTTCAGACTTTAACTTTGACGACTTCATGGACATTGAGCATGATGCTTCATTCGTGTCCTCCATCGTCTTGAGTCGGATGGACGAGATGGTATCTAACCTCAGTGTAACCCACGAAAGGATGAGACAACTCGGGGTCATCGACCACGACGCCATCTTTGACACGAACCTCGCCCAGATGGTTTTCACCACGAGCAACCTGCAGTATTTCGTCTGGCTCTATTTCCAACGCGTCCACCGCTACCATCCAATCCTCCACCCCCCGTCCTTCGACTGCGAGACGACCTCGCTGCCCCTCGTCATGTCCGTCTTCCTCTTCGGCTCCCTGTTCTCCGCCCCATTCGACAGCGCAATCTCCGCCCGAGGCTTCTTCGACGTCGCCGAGGAATTCATCTTCAGCCACCCTGATCTGAGGCGGATCCTTCGCCCAGTGGGCAACGACACGTCTCATGCGTCCTCCGCAAAGGCAATCGAGATCCTCCAGGCAGCCTTGACAATCGGCATGATACAGAACAGCCGCAACGACCAAGCTACTCGGCGTCGTATGCGAATCGAACGGTATCCCGTGTTCACGTCGGCGGTCCGGTTATCCGGCGCCTTCGAGACTCGACATCGGCGCGAGGTGGCAGCCAACACAGCCCTCACGTGGGATGATTTCGTGCATGATGAGCTCAGAGTCAGGTAAATTACAATTGTAGAAAATCATAATAACGACGTACAGGATTCTGATTCTAGTACAACAGGTTGTCTCACTGGACGCAGCTGAACAGCAACTTCATCGTCGGTTGCTTCAACGGGCACACGCAGGCCTACATGTGCGAGATGACGGGCGACATGCCCTGCAGAACGGCCCTCTTTGAAGCGGAGACTTCTGACCTGTTCGAGTACCAGGTCTCCCTGGAGCCGGGCGGCCCTCGGCCCCAATCACTTGCAGGCTCGATTTCGCTTCTCCTCCAGGATTCGTGGCCTGGGCCGGACGATGAATCGTACCGTCGCGTCACACCTGAAATCCTGGCACTCATCATCAGTTGTAAGTATTTGACTCCTCTCGTAGTCTTTTTCTGCGAAACACCGGTTGATTGACTGGAGTTTTATTCTGTTAGCCCTCGGAGTGGTTGGTGTAGTAGCAAGAACCAACTGCCTCTTCCCCCTATCGTACAGAGCCCTCCTGCGCGCGTTCATGAGGTGGAAGTCGCTCTGGGACGCCAAGATGAAGGAGAGTGAAGCGGCGAATAGATCGGTCGGCTTTTCGAAGCACGCAATGGAGATGTGGTGGCTCTGCGTGGCCGTCGTCAAAGCGCAGCAATCCGGGGACAAGTCCAAGTATATTTCCAATATGGCCATTGACTCCTTCAACAGCGTCAATGAATTTCTGACCCGATATGTCACGACGCTGTCTTCTCATGAAGGTCCTGCATGATAGGCTGTGTAGTCCTGAGGAATAAGGGTATAGAGACGGGTCACACGATTTACGATCACTTATGTTCTATAGAGTATGTATTGATATAGCTGTGTTTTCAGAATAAAGAAAATCGTCACCTTTCCAAATGTAAACTAGATTATGCGTATGCAAGTTTGCTGTGAGAATGTGAATAGTCTCATCTTCCCATGATTTTCATCCGAGGCAAAGGATATTCCCAACCCAGTCTGTCGAAGCACGCCAAACTCCAGGATCTACAGCTTTGAGCTCTTTGACTCCTTCTTCGTCCCTTTAACTCCTGTGATCTTCTCCCCAGAAAGCTATGAAAACGGTCAGAACAAAACATCAAATCAATCTTGTTCATTGTGTAAAGAATGCCCATCACTTACCAGGAAATCCGGATATTGGAACGAAGACCCGGAAGGTGACGCAGTGCGCCATGCACCGCCGTCAACGACGGTAGTCTGGCCAGTCACGTAGTTTGCCGCATCGCTGAACAACCAGATGGTCGCGTCCGCAATCTCCTTGACCAGCCCCCATCGGCCGAGAGGGATGATCTTGGCCCGAGTCTTGGCCGCCGACGCTGAATCGGCCACCAGCCGCTGCACGCCCTCCGTGTCGGCGATGGGACCGGGCGAGATGATGTTGGAGGTGATGCCCAGAGGCCCATACTCTATGGCGATGTTGTTCGAGAGAGTGTCCACCCCGGCCTTTGCGACTGCGGCGTGCGTCTGATATGGAACTCCCGAGTAGTGGAGGGTCGCCGAGACGTAGATGATCCGGCCACCAGGCCCGGCCTCTGTAGATTTGGGGATCGCACCCTGAGAGTTGTACTTCTTGGCGCTTTCCAGGAGATGGGGCAGGCAGGCCTTGGTGGCGTTGAACGAGCCGATGAGGTCAATCTCAATCACCGAGCGGAATGCATTCGGGCTGAGGTGGGAAACAGGGGAGAGGAAGTTGCCTGCTGCTCCGGCACTGCTTCGTGTTAGCCGACGCTCGAGGAGAGACGAGAAAGAGGGACACCACTCCGGCAAAGACGGTAATTTAAAGGAACAGACAGGGCACTCACATCAAGAAATCAATCCCACCGAGCTCCTCCACACACCTGTCCACAGCTGCCTGCAGAGACTCGACACGCCGGACATCAACGGCGCCAATCCCAATCACCTTGCTTCCCGGCCTGGCGGTCGAGATGTCCTTTGCGACGGACAGGGCCTTCTCCGTGTCCCGCCCGACAATGCAGGCATCGGCGCCGAGATGGACGAGCGCGCGGACCTGGGCGCTGCAGATGGATCCGCTGCCGCCGGTGCAGAATACGACCTTGCCGGCAAAGAGGTTGTCCTTCCAGACGGATGAAACATAATCAGGTTTGTCGAGCGGCATGTTGGGGTTGCTTTCGTATGATGATACTTGGATGGGTGTAAAGAGAAACCAAAGAGGCGGTAGACCCCCGGCTCTTTCTATTCAACGGGACGTCTTTTGGATCGGGTTTCGCGTAAGATTGACACGGTTTTCGCGAGGTTCGTTTCCGAGGTTGGCTGTGCTGATGTTGTCGTTGTTGTGCCGAGGCCAATCTGACTGTCGCACAGACGTGCGGGGAAATAGGCTTTCCTGAACAATGGACGAGGGTCCACGGAATTGGCTGATGACTTCATGATTGTAGATCTACATTCATTTCATTTGGGTACACTTGATAAGCACCTAGTTTGAGGAGAATATTATTATCGGCCCTGGGTGAGGCCGCTGGTAGTAAAAGAATGGTCTATTCTGTAAGGACACTTCTCTAACACGCTGCTCGCTATTATCTATTAAATGAATGAATTGAAAACCCTGACCAATTGATCAAAAATGAACGCTGCCATCCCAAATTGCCATTGATAATCACATGAATTTAGTGTATGCATGGACCAATACACAACCGATACTTCCTGTAAAACGGACCGAGGCAGTGGCGAGGGAGTAGGAAGAGCCAGCTAGTTGTATTCAGCAATGAACGAGCCAATTGTTGGTGCAATGAATAACCATGTTGAAACCGCAGCATTGTCGTCCGCTGGTGTTTCGCAAGACTTGGGATGAGCAGACAAATGCAAGGTCGTGAACACGTGCGGCGTGCCTTGTCTAGGCGAATGTGAACGTCTTTTCCTTCGCTCTATCCACATTTGGGATGTTTTCCATGAATTTAACAAGCAAGTGGCTCGCTTCCCGAGCACTCATACACCGAAGCACGTCGTGAAGATTCGGGTAGAGGAGGTGGCTCCTCCCAGACATTTCCCGTAGTGGCCGGAGAAAACTTTCGAAATCCACAGGGTCGGCAAACTGGCAGGTTTCTCGCAGAAATCCTTCAAAGCTAAAGACATCCAAATCCGCCTCGTCGATTTCAATCGGCTCTCCGGGCGGTGTTCTCGCAGGAATTACCGATCTGCAACGCAAGAAGGCATACATGAAGCCCCGATCAAAACTGGCACCCGGGCTGCCATACCCCATTCTAGGGAGGTTTCTGACCATGAGGATAGTCCACTGTCCGGGCCTGAGGTCTCTCATGTCTGAATAGCAGCCCACGGCTGTGGAGGAGTGGTGGCTATGCTTGCCGTATATGTAAGTTTGTGCTGGGATTACCCCGATCTCACCTGTTTCCGAGCTGCCCGGCGTTGAGGAGGCGGTTGCAATGCACACGGCGAGTTGGTATCCGGTGCCACCCCCCATCTGGAATCTATTGGCTATCAGAATTTGGCAGTAGCGCAAAATAATGTTCACAAGCCGGGCTGGGTTGAGAAGTGCATCACCCAGGGAAAAGTGTTCGTATGGTGCCACTCGCTCTTGAATAGCTTCGCTTCTGTGGTAGACTAGAAGCTGGACACTTGGAAATCCCGGAAGTGCGCTGGAGGCGTGGCTCATATCTGGAATCCAGGGGATGCCACGGAAGGGAATTGAGAACAGACCGGAGATTAGAATCTTGTTGAGCCTTAGATGCGGGTTCAATGATGTAAGCTGGGCGATGGCTCTCGAAGCTAGAGTATCATCGGGCCGGCCTGGCTTGTCTAGCACACAGAGCGTTTTCAAAGCGGGTAGATGTGACAGGACTGTTGATAGCTTTGAGATGCACCAGGGGGTAAGCAAACCGGACAAATTTATGGTTTTCACAGAAGAGAATGAACCACTCTTCAGCATATACTCGATATCAGGCAGTATGAGCCTGGTGAAGGGCGCCAAATCCAGAGTGTGCTCACCCTGGTAGGCGAGGGCCAGGAGTAAAAGGGAAGGTGTCGTTTTGACGTCCTTAGCTCGCCTGAGTAGAGGCTCTTTTAAGAGGAGCTGAATGTTGGGGAGCACTTCAAGTGTATTTCTGACTGCTATGAAGTCTCTGACGAACTCCGATGATATGATGGCATCGACGACCTTCTCCACACTCATTTCCAACAAACTCCTTGGCATTTGACGAAGACTTGGTGGGCTTGCGGCCCGCAAGGCTGGCCTATCATCGGACCAAGTGCCCCATGGCCATGTCTCTAGAAAAGTCACATGAGTGGGCGTACTGGATTAAAAATGTAGAAACCGGGAAGGGAAGGGAATGATAGCTCACCAGCCAGAACTTGGACATCAATAAGAGACTTCTCCTCAAGGGGGTTAGCAAGGTCCATGGATCTTTCGGTGTTCATATCGTCCTCCGGGTAGTAGCTCTTAATATATTGCCAGCCTGTGAGTGGTTGAAAAGGGGTGCATGGAAGGCCTGACTCCGGATTGGTAGCTTTGAGGCGTTGAAAGACATGGGGTCAGTAACTGGAGGAACGCAACTGATCCTGACAAGAATAAGTGCAGGTGGGGAGACGGCTTCTTACCTGCCAAGTGGACGAAGCAATATTTGACATTGTCCAAATCAGTGATATCGAGGATGGTTATGCCGTGACGAGACTGCCCCATATCAAAGGGGTAGCCGAAAGGCTCCTCAGTGACGATGTATGCATGCAATGTATCCGGGTTGAGAGAAGCACCCATCATCAGACAGGTGGTGATGAAGGGGAAAGGACATGGTCCAAATCTGGTGTACCAACTGGATTCGCGTGGGGTCGGCTCCGGGGGAGGTCTGTCACCAAAGTACTCTTTGGCGAAGCGAAGCTCTTGCTGCAGCGCAAGGCGGTTCTCGCTGTGTGAGAAGATGTGGAGGACGTGCAGACACTGTCGAAGTGTGGTGATGCCCCAAAGGCACGAGTGACGAACTGCGGCGAGCGAACGGTAGTATTGGCCAGCTTTGGCAATGACGAAAAACTGGTGACGGTCATCCATGGCTAAGACTATAATTTAGGACGCTGTGTGGAAGAGGTCTTGTTTTGTTTGTTTTGTTTTGTTTTGCAGCTCAGAATGAGGGAGATGTGGTGAAGAGCTAATGGGGGGGAGAGAAGAGTCACTCGGGAGAATCGGTAGAAGGTGCGACACGCGGTGGTTCATGGCAACTACAGAGTCAGTACCTGTTTCCCAGCTGGCATCTGCCATCTTACTGTCGAAAGACAATCGTTGGATGGCTAAGAAAGCATAAGCTAAGCTCAAGATGAGTGATATCGGTGCATGGAATGAGCTGAGCTTGCCCAGATATTGTGGTGTTGAGGCGTAGGAAGAGCTTTCAGGCAGATCACCCAGGCGACAAGTCCGAGCTAGCCAAAGCCATTATTGCTGAGGTATCACATTAGCAGCCGACACAACTGTTCTCACGCAAACCGCGTTCGCTGCACGCCTGCATTGTCGAGCACAACAGGTCGAAACAGGAAGATCTGGATCAAAGTTGAAGGTTCCTGTTGGTTCTGTACGGCAGCATCATGCTATAATTACAGGGCTCAGGACGCTGTAGTGATGGATTCAATTCCTATTGGTCAGGCAGCTGCTACAGAATTGCTGAGTCAGCAACTGCAGACGGACTTGATTTGTCGCTTTGCTTCGCTTCCTCAATCTTCGTCGCCTTCGAAATGCCTGATGCTCATGTTTGTTCTCGACACTCCTGACGACAGGATTTCGCACTCCGCCGGTTGGTATGCCGTATGAGAATGCGTGGCTAGTGCTTGAGCTAACAACTTCTCACCTAGGCTGCCCTAATACCGAATGCGACGACTCGTACCCCTGAACCGACTCCGCAATCCGATAGCGCCCAGACGAAAGACGTAACGGAACACGATCGAGAAACAGATGTGAATTGGAATGGGAGCGTGCTCGGAAACCTGGGCTACCGCTCGTGGTCCTGGCCGCGCACCTCGCAACGTGGGGATCGTCTCTCTGTGGCCACGCCTTCGTTGTCGAAGCTACTCCTGTGTATATTGAAACCCGGGTGCTTTGGTGCCTTTTGACGTCCCCATCGTAGGCTAGGTAGATCCTGGGGCCCTGCCGCAAATACACCTGGCAGGGGAGTCCAACCTAGATCGTAGTTTCTTCGACACGGGTAGAGATAGATACCTACTTGGCAACGTGCTCTCACAAGGACAACTGGCAGATCGTTCGAGCACGGTGGGCTGGAACTCAACCAAGCACGTGGGGAAGGGACCCAGATCTTTATCTCTCGTCTCTCGCTCGACTAGGTGGAGCAGACTGACTTGGCAATTGATGGGGGGAGGGGGACGAACGGGTAGCCTAACCGTTCAGTTGGAGAAGTCAATCCAAAACCCAATTGACCGCGCGTTTAGCTCCAGCCATCGCCATTCCACAATCCGAGCATGGTGCACCAAACTTTTGCTGCCCAGGACCTCTCAGAGGCTGCGGTAGGCGGCCCAATTGCGATCCATGACGGCCGCTTCGTCGATGCCTTTGGCCGCACGCTGTCGCTGCGTGGCCTCAACATCTCAGGCTCCAGCAAGCTGCCCACCACCCCCAATGGCCTGTCACACCTCACCGATGGCTTCTACGAGCACCGCACCGTGACCTTCGCCGGCAGGCCCTTCCCCCTGGACGAGGCGCCTCTTCACTTCCGCCGTCTGCAGGCGTGGGGATTGCCGCTTGTCCGCCTGCTGGTGACGTGGGAGTCGATTGGCCATTCCGGCCCCGACCCTTCTGCCGATCTGGACCTGGAGTACATCGCCTATCTGCGTCAGCTCATCCAGATGATGCCCCAGTACGGCATCAAGTGCTTCATCTGCGCCCATCAGGATGTCTGGAGCCGGTTCAGCGGTGGCAGCGGCGCGCCCGGCTGGACGTTCGAGGCGGCAGGTCTGGATATCGAGGCTTTCCCCGACACCGGCGCTGCCTATGTGCATGGCCAGGACGAGATGCGGCGGGCCAACGCGCCCGTCAACGAGAAGGAGCCCAGCGGCCCCTTTGTATGGCCCTCGGGGTACCAGAAGCTCGCAGCATCCACCATGGCCACCCTCTTCTGGGCAGGCGATGCTCTTGCACCAAAGCTCCAATGCCGTCGGCGCCCAGTGTCGACGTCTGCAGAGACGGCAGAGGAAACGGTGTCGATCAAGGATTATCTCCAGGATGCCTTCATCGAGGCGTTTGGAGCGCTGGCCGATGAGCTCAGTGATCTGGAATCTTGCCTCGGCTTCGAGCCCATCAATGAGCCACATCGGGGTCTGATAAACCTGCATGATTTCCACAGCTGGAACTACAACACCGATCTTCACATTGGCCATTATCCCAGTTTTGCCCAGGCCCTCGCGCTCGGTAGCGGATATGCCCAGACAATCAAATACTACGTCAAGTCCTGGCCCTTTCCGACACGCGTCTCTCACCGCTCGTACCTGGATCCCAAGGGCCGATCTGCTTGGTTGCCTGTCGATGAAGATAAGCCGGCAAACCAGCAGCACGGCCTGGGCGAATGCGTCTGGAAGGCCCACGGCGTCTGGGGCTGGGATGAGAAGAAGAAGACAGCCAAGATCCTGCACAGGGATTATTTCGAGGTCGACCATCGGCCCGGCCGCGAGGGCACCAAGCTTGAATGGTATCACGACTTTTATGCACCGTTCCTGAAGAAATTCTGCGACCGCGTATCCCGGAAGAACAAGGGATTCATGTCTTTCTTCGAACCGATCCCAAACGAGTTCATCCCACCATGGGTCGCGGAGAAGGACCAACGCACAAAGCAATCCTACGCTGTCGATACCGTCCTGGATGTCCAGCGACCGCAGAACCTGGTCTACGCGCCGCATTTCTACGACCTGAACGTCTTGTTCAGTAAGCACCATGCGTGGATGAGTGTGAATGTTCAGGGGCTTTCAAGAGGCATGTTCCTCCCCTTGGCACTGTATTTCGGGGCGTCCGGCTTGCGCAAGAATTACCGCAAGCAACTCGGGAATGTTGCCAAGCACGGGTCAAAGTCCCTTGGCAGCCACGTTCCGACGATTATTGGCGAGATAGGCATCCCCTTTGACGTGAATGGCTCCAGCGCCTTGAAGACTGGCCAGTACGATGTCCTGCGTGATCTGATGAACGCCCTGATTGCGGGCATGGAGGATAACCACATTGGGTTTACCCTCTGGAACTACAACCCTCACAACCGGGTAGAGTACGGCGACGGCTGGAACATGGAGGACTTCTCCGTCATCAATGGCGATGAGCCTCTGGAGCACGATCTCATTCGACAGGATTACCGCAACAAACCTCACGAGGACGATGAGCTGTACCGCGGCGGCCGCGTGCTGGACGTCATCATCCGCCCCTACGCCGCCAAGATTGCCGGCAGGCCTCTCCGCTCCAACTGGGACGAGCGCACCCTGCGGTACGAATTCGAGTGGCAGAGTTCCGGCCAGCCCGCTGCCGGTGTCGACGACAGAGCCCACCTCACAGAGGTGTTCATCCCCGCCTACCACTACGCGAAGCACAAGTTGATCATCACTGTCAGCGATGGCGAGTGGACACACGACCAAGCCCAGCAGACGCTTCGGATTCGGCAGTCTCCTGGCTCTACGAGCTCCCGTCACCGCCTCGTTGTAGAGATCAGCGACTTGCAGGAGCACCTGGCCCAGCGCGTGGCATTGCGACGCCAGGCGAATCTGCCCGCCAGCATTCTGGATTCCCTCCCCGCAGACGTAGAGGTCTGGGCCGAGGGCGTAGACTGGAGCAAGGTGATCGGAACAGTATTCTTTTTCTTACTCGCCATGGCCGCGGCTCTTCTGGCAGTGATTCTTCAGAAAGAATGATGATTTAGAGAGGAAACTGGCAATTGCCGTCCTGTTTGCAACACAGATCATGTTTTCTCAAGAACATTTCGTTTAGTCTCTTCCCTTGCGTACAACTAGAGCGAAGCCCATAGAATCAAGATAACACGCTAAATACAAGTAATCCATCTGACATTCCCCTTTTGCTCATACATCCTCCCGCTTTTACTCCGCATCCAGAGGTGCTCTGGGCGCAGTGTTGTCCACCTGGACGCCACCCCGCTTCTTCTCGAAGCTGTCGTGGAAAGGCAGAGCCCAGCCGCCCTCGCCTTGGGGCGTGGAGAGCCAGAGCCTGAGCAGGTGCCGCCGAGGAGATGGCGGAGGGTAATCTAAATATTAACCATTAGAAACATTTACTTTGAACGAGACTGCGGGGGGTCTCAACATACCCTTGTAGGCCGTCCTGGCGTGGAGCAGATGCGTGTTGCTCACGAACTGGATGTCGCCCACCTCGAGGACCATGTGCAGGGCCAGCCTCTGGCACGTATCCTCCAGGACCTGCATCGCGTGCCTCTGCGCGTCGCTCAGCGCCGGCACGAGCCCCCTGTCCGAGAACCGGGTGAGCGAGCGCACGTAGTACGGATCCCACTTGCAGTACACGCGCCCCTCCCCGCCGTCCTCGATGTAGAAGACGGGCTGGCGCACCCACTCGTCCTGGCCCTCGGACGTCTCGCCCTTGCGGTCAAAGTACCACACGGGCTGGGCGAGGAGCTCGGCGACGTCCGGGTGCTCGCGCTGGAGGGTGTTCCAGACGTTGTGGATGCTGACGATGTCGCTCTCGCCCCCCTCGGCGGCGCGGTGGACGCAGAGGAGGCCAACCACATCGCCGTCGTCGGCGTGGAAGAACTGGCGGGCGGTGGTGCGGTAGATGCGCACCTTGTCGATCTGGGTGGCGTCGTCGCCGACGTCCTTGACGTGGCCCAGGACGTGGCCGAGGCCGTTCTGCGAGAGGAAGTAGCCGATGTAGGTGCCCAGGCCCATGTAGGCCACGGCGTTCTTGCGCGGGCCCCACTGCTGTGCCGGGAAGCGCTTGAAGAGGATGAAGCCCTTGCCGTTGATGAGGTCCTCGCGGAGGGTGTCGAGGACCTTGCTGAGCTTGGGGAGCGGGAAGTTGTCCTACGTCATGGAGGTCAGCCACATTGTGAAACTGGAGTATTGAGGTGAGAGCAAACGAACCTTGGATATCCCCTCCAGCGGGGTGCCGCTCGCGATGAAGGCATCGGCGGTGTCGCTCAGCTCCTGGACTTCCTCGTCGGTGAAGGGGTGCGTCCAGCGCTCGGGGTTGTTCTCGTACGTCTCCCTCTTCCACAGGGTCGGGCCGGAGATCTCCTTGGGGAAGTCTGCATAGGGCCTGAGGCGGTCGTACAGCGGCGGATGCTGGCCAGACGTGCGGATTCCATCGGGGAAGATGGAGCGAGGGGCTTCTGTCCTCTTGACAGTGGGCAGTCCGTCGTGGAGGGAGTCAGCGACCAATGCTCCGGGAGCCATGATTTCTAGTAGACTGGATTGAAGAGTGAGTTCGGTAAGAGTGAGTTCGGTAAGAGGGATTCGTGAGAGGGATTCGGTGAGAGAGGATGTTGGTACGTGGATGGATGAACTGTCAATTCCAGCACCAATTAGGTTATATAGCTATATACACACTTCTATTGTCCCCATTGACGCTCCGAAGGTCGGTATTTAACCTCTGGCACACGTCAACCTGATTAGAGTTGCATATTGCGTATTCAGTCAATCGGATCGGGCTCGGTCGGATCCAGAGATTGCGTGATCCAAGTCCAAATCACGACTCCTGTGCTGTAGCGCCATTCCAGCCAACCAAATCCCCAAGTCCCACAATGGTTATCAATCCAAAATGTCGTCACCGCGTCGTCGGTAAGAGAAAAAGCAACGATCTGTCGCGCGACGACGCCAGAAGCCAGAGACCCGAGTCTGCCGAGCCTGCCGACGTCTCGTGTTCCTCCCGATCCTCGTGATGAGGTTTAGCGAGTGTGCAAGGACCAATGCCGTCGACTGGAGGGCATCATGTCGGTCTCATTCCCCCGCATTGTCACACCGGTCAGCAATGGTGGTGTGCCCGTAATATGAGAAGTGACACACCAAGATATTGCCCGTATGTTGCTTCAACGGTTGTTTATTATCATCATAACCTGAGGAGGAAACAAATACTGAACCTAAAGATGCCACCTTGTTCCTTGCTATTAATTATTCTTGAAAACGTCACCAACGCGATGAATAACTTCCAGTTCAGCATGCCGAACCTCAGTGTGAGATTGGGTGGGTGGGTCAGCATATGTGATCAATCAACTTTCCCACTGCACCTTGGCTCACGATATGGCAGAAACACGTGAAAGATCATTGATTCAAGAAGATTGTTTAAAAGTATGAAATTTTTATAAAATTGAGATAAAATATGTAAATGCCATTGCGCCTAGCAAAAGGATCAAATAGACAATGATGAAAGATGGAAAAGTAAAAAAGGAAATAAAAGGAAAGGGAAAGGGAAAAATAGAAAACACCCTGAACTTGTCCCCCATACCAAGCAATGCATCGTTTCTGCTTTTCTCATAAAATAACCGCTGGGTATTCGTCGCTGGTACAAAGGAAAAAGAAAAGGAAAAAAGCAAAAGTAAGAGGGGATAAAATGCAGCCAATCATCACAATTGTGGTGATGGCCGCTGCCTCGGAACCAGCGAGGCTCATGAATTAGATAGGATAAAAAGGTGACTGGATCAGTCTGGTTGAAGAGAAGATAAAATGAGGAAGACCAAGCAGGTCAAGCCCTCAGATTGGAGAGTTGCCTGGCGGTGCTACCAGAGCCCGCGATCGGCGAAGACGCGACTCATTGCCGGTCCCGTTTAGATGGAGGGGTTAGGCGAGTTGGTCACTGAGCTAGATGCGCTCCTGGGCTGGGGGACCTCCCCGGAGAGGATGCTGTTGAGAGACTGGAAGAGGTACTGGTCGTCGAGGACACCAGCAGCCATGGGGTTCTCGGAGAATCGGGTGTCATCGCTGGACTCCTCGCGGATGTCCCAGATGGAGGACTTCTCGATGTACTCCTCCTCAATGAAGTCGTTCATGAGAGTGACGTAGCTGCGGCGGGAGCTGCGAGATGAGGCACGGGAGTGAGAGCGCGAGTTGTAGCCGGAGCTGACGCTGGAGGAGCGGCCTGTGCGAGCGAACTTGTTGCTGTTGTTGGCTGCGGAAGTGGCGGTCCAGACGTTCTCGCCCAATCCCAAGCGAACGGTGGCCATTGTGAATGTGTGGTGAAAAGGGGGTTTGATATAAACAAGAAGTGGTTTGTTGATGATGCTGTTGATGGAGCAGTGGTGAGCTAATGATGCTTTGCTGGGTGGTAGTAGAGAAGACTGTTTGATTGATTGTTTGTTAGATTGTTTGATGTCTGGAAAAAAAAACCTCTTCAACCAGCCGTGACGAGAGGCTCTATTATACTCTGCTGGACGACATCTGAGAGTCGCTTGTCTGACATCTTTGATCTCATTCTCCTCCACGAGCCGGGGCGGAGAGGCAGAAAGTGGGGCACACCCGTTGCCGTTGGGGTTCGGAAAGATCCCAGCGCACCATTTTTAGCTGAGCTAGCCCTGTAGACAGGCTGCTTACGCACTAACATGCACAAGATTATCCACTGGAAGCGAGCATCGTCGCTGATCCAGACGCACGCACACACATCACACAGCACAGCACAAACGAAGTGAAACTGCACAAGAAGAGACGAAGTGGCAAATCGTTTCAAGTCATGCCCGTCCTCTCTAGCGATCGCGCATCTGACCTCCAGTCTGCACAAACCGCTCCGGATTGTGAAGGAGAGAAAATCAATCCGACAGCAAACAGACACCCACCTCCGAGAATTGTGGCGACTTATGCACGTCAAGTCTTGCTTGAGACGTGATTCACATTTCCACACATACATACTCCCGCTCACCGTATTTCGCGTGCGAGGCAGCCCATGAACCAACAAACGGAAATTGACACTACGTACTTCCCCAGTTGCAGATCCCGTCGCGTGTAAGCACCAGCTGAATGGATCGATATTATCTAATTCAGCCCATTGCCCAGCGATAAAAAAAGATGCGATCCCCGTTTGTTTACCGTGGAGCAGGTTTAATTACCATGTCTGTCCGCACGCTTATTCACGATGCCGGCCCTTGAAGCCTATTTTTAGCTGTGCCCTAAATGCGCAGCTGGTTACCCTATAGCTCGCTCTCCACGCGTGCCTGGACGAGGAGACAAATCGTGCTATTTCAGGCAACGGCCCATTATCCCCAGGAATGAAGAAGGCCATAGGGCTAGGGACTCGTTCCAGGGCCCGTGTTCGTCACAATGCACTCGCTGTCTTCGCGTGTGCGTTTATCCATGGGGGCACTTATTTTTGTCTGGACCCTGACGACCCACAAGCTGAGTGTAGCTTTTTGCCATGTTGGGATCAAGTAAACACTGAACTTCAGCATTATTAAATGTTGGATGAATCTAATCATGTAAATGACTAGAATGCTAAATTAAGCACACGATGAAATTTTCGTTTTTATTGTATGCCGACATCTGATGTATAGCCCCTGATCTGACGAAGGAGGCAGATGTCGTTGAGAAACAGCATCCATAGCATCCCTGTCCATTATTACCTTTTGAATTGGAGATGTTTTCCAGTCTCATGCACCGGCTGAGATAATACACTGTAGACTTGATTTAGGCAGGCTTTCTAGTAACACAGGTGCTACAATGACTGGTGTCATGAGTGGATTCCTCCGTTCATAATCGCATATCTTTTAATAAACCACCCTAGTGGGAAGAAAATCAACAATCCGAGTCTGCCTGTGGTGGGAGGCCATGGAGAGCGAAGTTATTCCGCTCTTGATCGTGAGCCTTGTGCAGGGACCCCTTCCTCATCAGAGCCAATTCACTGGATTCTTCCTGGTAATCAGTCGAAATTCCACGGTCTAGAAGCGCTGATCGTCGCCGAATGACCCTGGCTCGCTGCTCGCCCAACGGCATCCGCCATTTCAAAGTCGACGCGTTGAATTTGGGCTCCTACCCCAACCAACACCTTCACAATGTCAGAGTAGACGTTGGCCGAAGTGATTGTTAGAGCGTCCCGCCTTTTGGCCTTTTGGCGTTTGAAGACGACGCGTCTGCGCCCTTGCCATGGAATGAGCACTCTTTCGTGTCCAAGCGGCCACCTCTACAAGCTCACATTAGCGCAATCCAGTAGCCGAGATCTTCCTCATCGATCGCATGCGGCATCTCTTCACTCGGAATCGCCATGTTCTGGATCGATGAGAAGGGCTTCTACGAGCTCGGCAACGCTGAGTGGCCGAAGAGCAAGAATTAGCCCTTCCTTGCAGAGGGCAAGCCCGTCCCCGCTCTCGATCTGGGACGCGAGACATCATCGCCTAGTCGCGGTCGTAGAGGAATTTCCAGACTAGACGGGGCCCTTTTAATAATTTACTCAATTTGCTTCTTGTTCTTCTAATTGTGTAGGGAATTTTCCTGCTGTCTGAGCTGATGAAGCTAACTCTTTAGAACATTAGTTTTTCGCGAACGAAAGGCGCGTTGAGCATACGCAGCCTCTTTAGGCAGAACGCGAGGCATCCTCTAGGCAAAATTGTCGCTTTCGTGTATCGGTTCTTCTGATCTGGGAATTTATTGAATAGCGTAAGAATTGGATTACTCACCACATGGCGTTTGAAATTTAGTTGTTCTCGCCGCAAAGCAGATGTGAATCGACGTCTTGATGATCATTTCGCTCGCTGGTTGACGACTCCCGCGAAGTGGGTAATAATATCCGAATCCTGTTCTTTCATGCCCTCCAAATTCCCAAGCGAAGAAAACAAGAGAAAATCATACATTATCATGGAGAAATATTAGAGCCGAGAATATACTGCGATTTTCCTATCCTAGCTCCAAACATGACGTGACAAATACAAAGAAGTGTACGAAGACCCCGGTATACGCATGCGCTATGAGCATGAGATTTAGGAGTGGAAAATCAAGGCTAATACATACAAACATTAAAAAGAATATGATATTAGCTGAAAAATGTATGTCATATTAATTTCAAGGCCAAAAAAAAGCTACAATGGCTATCTTATTCCGATGTTGTGGAGTTGAACGATTTGAGAGTCAAAGGCAAATGATAGCCGTTTGTTGGTCGGTTCCAGTCAAAGAAAAGGCCATCGCTCCTTTTATTAAGTTGAAATATTTCGAAAATTACTTGAACCATCTTTTGAATCCTGATTAGCCTTCAGAACTTATTTCCCTATAATCTGCTCACTCGACATCACACCATGGCTACACCGTCACCATCACTAGCGGGGAAGGGCATACTTTTTGTCACATCGAAGATTTCGAGACCTGATGTCCTTGATGTACCAACTTATATAAAATGGTACGAAGAGGACCATATCGCCGAAGTTGTTGAAACGAGCGGCATCAACTCGGCGCGACGATTCGTTCACGTGGACCCCAAGGCGGAAAAGCCGTATCTGGCCATGTACGCCCTAGATGACCTTGCTTTCCTTCTAAGCGAAGAATTTCGTAAAATCCGCGTCCAGAGCGATATCCTCCCCAGTCCCGGCATCATTTACGATTTGGCTGATGTAGACGTCCGCTACGACAACCTGGTCCATGTATATGACAAGACTCAAAAGGGGAGAGGAGCCGCCAAAGCCCTAGTAGTTGTTGCTTCCCGGCTGAAGGAAGGTGTCTCGCCGCAGGACCTGGACCGATGGTACCGTGAAGAGGTTCGTTCATTTTGCTCATCGGTGTCTTACAGCCTTGCATGAATCAGTCGGAACATTTGGTTAATCATTCGTCCCATTTCGCAGCACTGCAATTTACTCTCCAAGAGTAAGAGTTATCTGCGGACTACCCGCTTCAAGCTGGCCTACGCGCGGACAAACGCACAGTCAAGGGTGCTCAAGGGCCTGGCGGCTTCTACGGACGAGCTCCCGCCAGATCCTCCAACTTGGCTCGCGCTCCACGAGTTCGAATGCGACCCGGACGAGTTGGACGTGCCGGGGCTGCGACAGCTTACGGCAAGCCCGTTGACGGAAAAAGTTCTTTCTGAATTGGACGTGCATGAAGTGAATACATACCGTCTTGCAAATGAATTCGGGAGCAAGGATTGGTTTCATGGCGTGGATATGTAGAAAATAAAGACTCCAGCATAGAAGAACATACATAGTGATGGTTGAGATACTATTACTGTAGATCTAAACACTTTACGGTGCTTGTATTCAAATAATAGTGAATTCTATTGATGGCCTATATGAATAGGCAGGTATCATTCGTTATTTCCGTCTATAAGACACCCAATGCCCTTCCCATTTTGTATAATGTAACCCCAACGCCCGTTTACCGCACCCAGAGAGAAAATGCTTCTAAGACAAAAGAAATTCTAGACAAAGAGAGGAAGATAGAAGAAAAAGTAGAAGAGAAGAGGAGACATAGGGGCCCCTAAAGAAGAAGGACAGGGAAAAAAAAGAAAAAAGAAGAAGAAAAAAAGGAAGAGGAAGAAGAAAGAAACCCAAACTCCGCGCTATGCAGGAAAGCAAATTTTAATCCATATCCATGGAAAGATCAAGCCTTGACGTAGTGGCGGTATATCTCGCTCGCCCAGAGCCCCTCGTGCTTCTTCGTCGCGATGCCATATGCGATCCCCAGGCTGATGGTAGACAGGAGGTGCGTGGCGATGACTCGAACGAAGGGCGCGGCGTCGGATTGGCCTTTCCAGAGACCGTCAATGTAGCCGCCACTCACACCTGTGAGGACTACTATGCAGATGTGCCGGGCAACGGTTATGGAATTGAGAGAAATAAGATAATATCGAAGCTGGAGAAGGGTTAGATTTCTTGACTTGATGCAGACGCCGTTTAAATCACTGCTGACGATTTACTCACCTCTTTATGACCGTAAGGGAAATCCCGGGATTGAAGGATGGTGAAAGCGAGAGAGGCGATTGCAGCGAGCGCTAGAGCGATATACACTACTAGAACAAAGGCGTTCATCACGTTGGCCGACATACTGTTCCCCGTTACATAAACCTCTTGAACAGCAAAGAGAGCGGCGGCGAGAACCATGATGGTGATAAACGGGGCTAGGCTCCAGACGCGGGGCTTCATCTTGAAGAAGCTCGTACTCGAGGATACGGTCGTATCCACGGAAGAGGCGGACGTGTCCAGAGAGGAGGCTGTTTCGGAAAGAGCTTGCAGGCCGAGGGTGAACTCGAACTGGGTAGCGATAAACAAAGCAGAGGCAACAACCTCAAACAGGAGAGCAAAGCATTGGACTTGGCCTATCGCTATCGGGCTGATGATTGATTTACTGAACAAGTCGGTATTTTCGGGTTTCCGGAAAAAAGAGGCCAGGTTGTTAAGGTAGGCGAGCCTGAGCTGCAGGGCTGCGCTCGACGAGAGAGAAGAAGGCGAAGAGGTAAAGGCGTAGTAGATCATAAGAAGGCCGCTGCCGATGAGCCAGAAAAGCTGAGAGAGAATTGTAATGCTGGCTGTTGCCTTGAGCCAGGGCAGGGCGGATCGGGCGAGGTCGTCACGGCGGCGGGCTCTGCAGCAGGTGAGAATGCCGATGACTCCGGCGGTGATGATGGCGATGCCCAGGATGGTGAGCAGCGCCATGTTGTACCAGAAGAAGCCGGCGATATCCATTTGTGCAACTTTTCTTGGAAGTAAACGAGAGATTCGCAGAAAAGCCTACCAGTCTCTCGGGTTTGGAACCCATCCCATTGGGGGCTGGTTGGGTTATATTTGTTTTCTTCCAGTGTTCTCGGCACAAGCGCTCGCAGTTACTCAATTGAGCATTCATGTTGGCTGATTGACTGATGTGCATGTACCTGTCTAATAATAGGACGATGTTCAAAGGAGACATGGATACAGGTGCAATGGCAGAGCCGCCAGACTGGGTAACTTGGGTCGAGGGCGGACGCTGACAGGACAAAGTCGAGAGCTGCGCCTCGCCCTCCCTCAGACTGGGCCATTTCATTCGACTGGGTGATTCACTGACGAGCTTCCAGCGAAGGGAGAGCCCCAGCTTGCAGCGTAGGGTCCAGTTTTAGGCGGCCCCGGCGCGCGTATAAAGGGAACGTCGGCGCGTCCCAGGACAAAGTCCCAACCAATCGGGCTTCCACCCCGCGGCGGCAAGGAGTCCATATCATATTGATTGGCTTTCAGTTGATTCATTCATGCGTCTTCTAGAGCATGTATTGGCTTCCAGGCGCTCTCGTGTATGCACATGGGCCGAACTTTGGACGACAATCAGCTGTCTGCCCGTGCGCTGCAGGTAATTGGAGTGTTACGCGGCGTTTGAGGGCAGTTTCAGCCATTGCAGACGTGAGCCAGTAAACACCAACAAGCGCCCTGGTGGGAGGCCCTTTGTTTTGGATCACCAACGTGCTTTGTCTTGGCTGGACGTTATGATTCTTAGGCCCTGAATTGATGGCCAAGCTCAACAAAAAGATGAGTTCATCGGATTCTTTCTCTGATTTTTTAATTTATTTCCCTTTGTCCCACTAAACTTCATCTTTATTCAATTGCAGATTGGAGCAGCATCCAAAATCATCTCTATTTCCGACAAGTGAAGCCGCACATCATAAACACATGTAATCCACTAGAATGGTATAATTTCCTCCCCATCCAGATTCAAATACTGGGCAAGAAACTCGTCCCAGAGCGAGTCGGCCGTGTCCTGAGGCCCCATATCCCAATCCATCCGGAAGTCATCCGACGTAGAAGGCATCACCTTGTCGGGCAACGGATCCGACGCCTGCAGCTGCTGGAGCGTGCTCTCAATCACCTGCCGGACATGCCCCGTCTCCGCCCCCCTCGTAGGCTCGAGCCTGGCCGTGATGTCCCGGCTCCTCTCCAGCAGGCCCGTCGCGACGGCCCTGTCCACGGTGTACGAGGCGCCGGCCCGCGAGCTCGCCAGGGTCACGAGCGACAGCGCCACGGCCCCGAGCAAAAAGTCGTGGACCGTCAGGCTGGACATGAACCACCTCTCGCTCTCCACCTGCCCGCCGGGCGCGAACTCGTCGTAGGAGTCGCAGAAGTGCCGGACGAGCATCCCGGAGGCCTCGTAGCACGTCTTGAGGCTCCCCGGGCGGTTGGTCAGGACGTGCTGGCGGTGGAGCACGATGAGGCACTTGCAGTACAGGAACGTGACGCAGAGCCGAGTCACGATGATGTTTGGTGAGTCGAAGACGGAGTCCTTCATGGCGAGCGGCTTCAGGGCTGGCGGGAGCTCGCTGTGGACTCTCCTCATCTCCGAGTCTAGCTCGACGAGCTCCTCCTCCACGTCGTGTGGAGGACGTGACCTGGCTGACAGTGCGTGATGCTGAATTTTATCAAAGACGACCATGAAATTGTGCTTCTCGATGATGAAGACCGTCCCCGTAGGATTCGTTCTCGGTCTCGAAGGCGGCAGCTCCAGGCTGGACTCGTCAAAGTCAGAATCGCTGAGATTTCTCGGAGGCTCGCACGGCCAGCTGGAGAACCTCATCGCGCTGGGTAAGCCCAGGTGGAACGAGACCAGCAGGTCGAGCTGCATGCAGAGTGACCACGTCCGCCGGCGCATCTCCGATTCGAAAGGGGTGAGGATGTCTGGACGCGTTGGCGGCTGGTGGTAGCCCATGGCTGTTGCGACGCGTATTAGGGTTCCGATCACGGGCGCGGTGTCCGGTGGGAGTATCAGGCTCGTGAGGCAGTGTGATTGTATGAAAAGGAGGAGAGCCTCGACTGCAAAGGGTTTGGGGCGGTAATACTCCCCGAGAGCCAGGCAGTATGCAGCTGCCTGAGAGAACCTGAAATTCTTGGTTGGTGGGCTGTCGTCAACCTGGAGCTTGAGGGCGTTGATTGAGATGTGACAGATAGAGAAGAGAAGGGAGATCCAGCTTGGCGAAGTCCTCAATGGGTGAGCCCAGAACGAGGCATACAGCCTTCTGAAGTGATGGGAATGGATGAATGGTGCAGCGATCGACTGGGCTCTGAAGTAGGCGGATATGAGACGGTCGACATCTTGCCTCGAGGGGAGATATGTAGCCAGTATTTTCTGAAGGGTCATTGGCGAGGATGATCCAAATAAAATGCCCACGGGTTCAAGACTTTGATGCTGATGAACGCTGACCACAGGTTGTTCATCGTCTTCACCGTTGGCTGCAATGGCCGACCTCAACTCTTGGATATCTTCCAGAGCCGAGCTCAGATGGGTCGATCCTGGCTGCTGGCTGGAGCTCGACGAAGACGAGGCCACGTGCACTGTATCCTCCCAGGCCGACGATGGTGCTGCCGAGACATCATTGGGGCTCTCACTGATGAGATTCTTGACAATCTTCTCCAGCTGCTCGAGCCTCTCCTCGGCGCGTACTTTGGGCTCGCCCTCACCGCTAGGAGCACGCTGGTAGACACAGGAATCACTGGCGCCGCGCCGAGTGCAGGCACTGCAGGGGAGAGAGCGATTGCACTTGAGTTTCCGGCGACGGCATTCCGTGCAGGCCAGGCGCTCTCTGTTCCGAGTGATGCCGCGACCGATGGTTTGAGAGGTCATGGCCGCTTGCTGTGCCACCTGCTGTGGGTCGTGGAGGCAGGTTGACGCTTATGTTCTGATTACAGAGGCCCCACGCGTTCCGGTGACGGCATGAAGGAAACCGTATCATCGAGATATGAGAGTTTGAATCTAACTCCGATCCCATCCTCAAGCGCGAGGTCGAGCGAGCTAAACATTCCGTCAGTGGGGTTTGGCGACGGAGATGTCGGCCGAGAAGTGGCTTCCCTCGACGGAGTTTAGCGCCCAGACGGACGATACTGATGATGGGCTTGACGTATAAGAGAGCCGTCTGGTTCTACGTTCCAATCGTTTCTCAGTCAGTATCGAGAATCTAATACCTACTATTCATCCTCAAGCAATCAACTCTGCACCATGGACAAGAAGATCGTCCTCATCACCGGCGCCAACACCGGGCTGGGCTACCAGATGGTCCGCGCTCTCTGCGACTCTGCTCAAGCCTATGAGATTCTCGTGGGCGGGCGCTCAATTGAAAAGGCCAGACAGGCAGCCAATGATGTCCTCGTTGAGTTCCCCTCGACAAAGAGCACTCCCGTCGCCATCCAGGTCGATGTGGAGAGCGACGACTCAATCCAGGCCGCCTTTGAGACCGTGCAGTCCAAGTACGGTCGCCTTGATGCTCTGGTGAACAACGCAGGTATGTTACTTCACCCAGCCCCATGTCTATACTTCTCAAGACGTGGCTAACACCTTCCACGTCCACGACCAGGCGCCATGTTTGAGCAACAGTTCGCAGAAGGCGCCCTGTCTCTCCGCCAGGCTTGGGCCAAGAGCTGGGACGTCAACACCGCCGGCACCCACATCATGACACTGACATTCGTCCCCCTCCTGCTCAAGTCCTCGGACCCTAGGCTCCTCTTCATGGCGAGCGGGACATCTTCTCTTGAGAACGCCGAGAAGCAGATCCTGCCAATCGACGAATTCCCGCCCAAGGGCTGGCCTAAGCATGCTCCCAACATGGCTGCCTATCGATCATCCAAGGCTGGCATGAACATGATGATGAGGTAGGTTTTTTTCACCTTTATATGCTATAAGTAAGCACGCCCTTGAGAAATTTGTTGACCATCTTCCGTGTGCTCCGTAGGGATTGGGCGAGGTTGCTGCGCAACGATGGCGTCAAAGTCTGGGCGCTGTCACCGGGATATCTGGCGTCTGGGCTGGGCAAAGGCAGCGAGCATAACAAGAGCCAGGGCGCTCAAGATCCGGTTGTTGCTGGGCCGTTTGTGCGGGAGGTGCTGGAGGGTGAACGAGATGGCCAAGTTGGAAAGGTGATTCTGAGGGACGGCAAGATCCAGCCATGGTAATTTGGCAGGCTTTTATAGGTAGTGAGAATTAATGTCCGTTCCACTCGCTCGATAATACTCTATCCGTGAGCAGCGAATCCAATTTGGGTCGTCTTATCTTACTCACAAAGGAACGTTTGGCTGCATTTGAACTCTGTTGGTGTGTCCTCCCATTGATCTTATGCTGTTGGTTGTTGGTGGGGCTATGCAACGCTTCAGAGGGGCCGTTGCCTAAAAGACCCTCCAAAGCTCCCAACAGCCTCCTTCGCACTTCGCCTCATCACCTACCTGCAGGTAGGTATATGTCCCTCGTCCTCCCCAAAGCGATTGATTGCCAGACATCGCCAGCTCACTCGCGCTTCATCGCTGCGGGCCGACACAATGGGCATCCATGATATGCCCACTGAGCTGCTCGTGCAGGTCGGCTCCTACCTCGGGGACGACGCCGACGTAAACACTCTCGCGCTCGCCAGCTGCCAACTGTACACCCTGCTGAACCCGTATCTCTATGCCCGCAACGTGGAGAGATATGAACATCGCAGGCATGGCTATGGCGAGGTCTACCGCCGCCTCGCCTTGATCCGCGCAGCTAGGTCCGGCGGCCCTCTGGAAACCTTCAGGAAGGCCATGGAGGCCAACAATGCCAAGAAGTCGGAAAATAGTAGGACGCTCGCCGACATGGCATTCAAGGAGGCCGTCTTCTATGGCCACGCCGGCCTGGTTCACCTCCAGCTGGCCATCGACGAGGATCTCGACATTACCAAGACGGGGCAATTCGGACGCAGCATGCTCTATTCCCCTCAAGTTCTCAGAAACGCGGCCGTTTTCCGCGTGCTCCTCGATTCGGGTCGATTCGATCCCTTTGCCAAGGATGCCCAAGGAACCACCCTTCTCTTCCAGGCCGCCGCACAAGGAAAGCTGCCAGTCTGTCTCATCCTACTCGCCCTCGAGGGCATCGACCCCGACGCAACGGACTCGGGTGGCTCAACGCCCCTGTCAAAGGCGGCTGAAGGCGGTCACCTGGACATAATGAGGGCACTCATCAGCACGGGAAAGGTCAATGTCAATTCGATCGATGTGGCTGGGTTTACGCCATTGAGACGAGCAGTCAAATTCAGCCAGACGGAGTCGGTGAAGCTCCTGCTTGGCACTGAAGGGATTGATCCTGACGCGGGATCACCACGCGACCTCACCCTTCTCCAGCAGGCTGCCACCAATGGAATGACTGAAGTGGTACAGATCTTATTATCAAGGGGGACTGACGTGAATGAGGTCTACTGTAGCAACACCGCCCTTACTTTTGCTGCGTCAGCCGGACAGGAAGAAGCCGCCAAAGCGCTGCTGGCCACAGAGGGTGTCTGGATAAACGCAAACCCTCCCCATGCCATCGGCTCACCTATCGCCCTTGCCGCTCGTAGGGGGCACGTAGGCATCGTTCGAGCCTTGATCGAGAAGGAAGGCATCGAGCTGGACAAACCAGACCGCAATAACCTCACCCCATTCCTCCACGCTGCGACGTATTCTTACCGCAGTGTTATGGGAGAGCTAGCCCAGACCGGCCTGGTTGACGTGAATTTCTTCGGCCCTGGCTCAATACCGGCACTGTCGATTGCATGCAAGAAGGGGGACCTTGAGATGGTGAAGGACCTGCTCACCTTGCCGGCCATCAACGCAGATCTGCTAGATGCGTCCGGCAAGACTCCGCTGGACTATGCTGCGCTACAGGGAGGAGAGCTGATTATAGAGGAGCTACTCAAGCGAGAGGAGGTTACGACTGGGTCTGCACTACGCGAAGAGAACCACCCGTATGAGCTCATTCAGAATCGAGATCATCCGGGAGCGGTTGCTGCGTTGCGCCCCTGGTATGACCGACGGAGGACTCCTGGCCGGGAACTAGATGACGCTGTACATTCCGGCGCGGACAGCCCTTAGATATCTCGTCGCGGATGGTTTTCTGGGTTGATATTGAGGAGGCAACGATGGATATTGATCCGGGGATATGATTTAACTCATGCCATATTGATTAGCCCTTGATTTGAAATGTTAGCGATAGCGATAGCGATGGAAGCGAAAAACCTGGCTCAATTGAGGAGCAATTCACAGAGCCAGGAAACTGCCTTGACTGCCCACTCTCATCGCCCTCCCTTGTAGCTATCCAAGACCACTTGAGCCCTGGAAATAACCAGCGTGAATCTGAAACAATGGGCCTGCAGGGCTGATCCACTCGGGCATTGGGGAATCTCGGCACCGCAACCGAAAGAAAAGACCCGGTTGAAGGTTGTTGTGTTGACCCAGATGGCTGGATGGAATAACTGGTGATAGATTAGAAGCCTTGTGTCCGCCTTCAGCACAAGCTACTCGGTAACGCTCTCGTTTTCTGCTGGCTTTTTACGATTTGCGATCCAACGCGAATTGAATCCCAAGGGCTGAAGGTGGTGACATTTCGCTTGTCAGCAAATTACGTGCTGGATTTAGCGCCCGCCAGAGCATGTGGCCATGTGCTGGATCCTTGAGAAATTCAGCGGAAAGACAGACCTGAGCGCTGAGGGCCGTCCAGACCACAGGCTAAAATAAATGCCTAACCGTGTGTCGTTCTCACACGCGGGTACATGTTGACACTGCCTGGGGTTTTGGTCAGGTTAAGGGCATTATCATTGTAAACATTCGCGAGAAAAAGACGTGTTTCTCTATGGCTACCATTTCGCGGCTGGCAGGGTTTTCCATCGCCTCTTATTTCGTCAGGGCTTTTCCTTGAACTAGCCTAGCAGGCGAACATGTTAAGCAGCCCAGCTGGAGCAGACAGTCAAGTGAGCAGAATATGCAGAGCTTGCAACCAGCTCACAGGAAAGAGCACCCTCTCGAGCAAAAGCCAATCATTCAACAGGGCTGATATCCCTACTAGCGTGGTCTGTGCCTCTGAGGAAGCATGGGCCTGCGGAAGGATGAATAGGGTCAAGTAACAAAGGCCCATTGTCTGAGCCGTTTGATGGTGTGGATATCGGATGTTAGTGAATAAATCCAAGTTATAAATATACCTGGACAGGAGAGCCGTTATTCCCCATTTCTCCGCGTGACGGGCTTGTGTATGGTCGACCGTTGCTGGAAGGGGGCAATGCTAACGAGCCAAGCCCGTCGGGGTGGCTGCATAGATGAATCAAGTTGGATTCGACCCTGGACCTCTTGGGCGAGCTAAGCCTTGGTCTCCGCATCATGCTAGAAGCTTATTTGCTGGATGTATCAGACTATCATTTCCATATGCACGCCAGGCTCAGCTTTCCTCCCAAACCAATAAGCACTTCTTCGACCCCATGCATCTTTTAAAATGAATGGGTTAGATCGGCTCCCAAGGCGCCGGTCTAGAGCAGATCCCAGCCCGGAATGCTTTTCATTTATGCCCATCAAGCCCCTCATGTCTTGCTTTCCCTCCAAGCCTCCGTAATCCTCGCAGGTTTCCGGCAGCTGTCCACGCTCAGCCGAATCATGGTGGCCATGCTTCCTCTCGCCGGCTTGCTTGGCCTCGTCTTGCTACCTAATGTCAGTGGCCAGCCCACGGAGCCGCAGATCACACAGGCTCCAGAACACAATGAGTTGGATCTGCGCCAGGCAGATGATCTCTTGGGTTGGACGAGCGTCGGCTCCTCATGTGAGAACTCTCCTTGCTTGACAGGACATTAGAACCCAAGGCTTATTTTTGATGTTTTCCAGATGCATCTGTAGGATGCTCGCCAAACTCTTACTCTACTTTGGGGAACTGGGCGGCCTGCGCTGACCAGCGAGGCATCCCCACGGGATGCTCTGGCGTGGGCACCGTCCTCTATTCTTCGACTACCGTTGTGTGGTAAGTGTAGTACTGTCTCACGGATAGAGGTCCGCGCCGACCTGACCATGTTCCAATATCTAACCTGAAGGGTCCAGCACGTCGCCGTATCCGGTTTGCGACACTGCTACCGTAATGGAGAGCCCGGGCGCCTCCTCCTACCTTGGAATCATTCGATGTTTCCAGGGTACGTCCACGACGCCTCGGTTGACGTACTTCAGGACTCCCGGAGGAAGTGTCTCAACCTCCTCCTCATCCGCGAGGACCACCACGAGGACCACGACCGTTACCTCGACCTCGACCTCGACCTCAACCTCAACCACAACAAGTTCGTCGTCGGCAGGGGACGAGTCGACGAGCACGGACGGCACAAGGATAATCGTTTTTGGATCGTCGACGACAAGCACGGGCGTGGCGACTGGGACTGCCATCGGAGGCAGCGGGGGAAGTGATCAGTCAGGCGGCGGACAGAATCTTGCATGGATCGCGGGTCCCATCATCGGTGGACTGGCCGCCATTGCCATCGTGATCCTCCTCATCTGGATCGTCAAGCTCCTACGGAAACGCAACGCCGAGCAGCAGAATCCGCAGCAACCATCACCCGGCGCTCCCCAAATGGCTCAGCCCAACATGGGCCAGCCTCATACCTTCACCGAGGCATACGCGCCACAAAAGACGACCCCGACCCCTTCCACTCAAGTAGGGTCCGTGTACGTGCCAGAACTGCATTCGTCGAGTGTCGTATCATCCGAGCTGCCCGGATACGCTAACCAGGTACAACCCGCCGAGCTGCAAGGGGCGTACTATCCTCAACAGCCTTATCCTCAGCAACAACCATACCCTCAACAACAACCCTACCCCCAGCAGCAGCCATACGCCCAGCCTCAATACCACCAGCAACAGTACGCCCAACAACCATATCCTCAGCAGTCTCCCCCTCCTCAGCAGTCATCGCCACCGCTTCATCAGTCTCACCCGCAGGCTCCGCACCAACAGTGAACCCCCGACATTGATACCACGCATAGACGACAGGGAGGTTCATCTGGGGGGATTTGTTTTTGGACTCGAGCGATTTAATGTTTTGTTTGGTTTAAGAAGCAACTTATTTAGGGAAAAAATTGCAATGTAATGCGGTCGAGGCCGTTTTTCTGGATGGAATCTTAAGCAGCCGTGACAGTTTCGCACTCTTCTCCTTGTCTATTCCCTTGGAATGGGATGCCATAGAAGATGCCTGCGTTTGAATGTGACCACTAGCCATAATGTTCATCCAATACCATGAGAGTGGATGGAGGTTCGAATATGCCATGGTTTGTGAGGCCTATGACATGTGTGCGCACTTCTCTCTATAGAAGGTAGCCCCCTGTCTAGGTGTGTCTATTCGAATGAGCAACACGATGAGCATGCACGTCATCATTGAATTGCTCTCATTGAGGTGTATTTCCTCCAAAGACGCGACTCGTATCTTTTTTGCCGAGGCGATCTTCGTATACTTTCAATGCTTTCTGAATTCACTAGTTCAAGTACGTTAAGCTTGTCGCAAATCTCTAGTCAAGTGTCTATTATTAAACTGTCAGGCTATGATCATACAATATTATAAACTATAATTATATTAACAAGAGAGAATCATTCCTTCAACGCCATTTTTTCCCCTCATTCAGTCGTTTCATTAGGATGTTGCTTTGATCACCTCGTCTATTTCCTTTTTGAATCTTGCACAGATAGCCTTTCTGTTGAGTTTGTGTGTTGCCGTAACAAGACCCTGTGAACACTGTTAGCCGCTGCCGTGTCTATTGGCTTCATACAGATGACGAGCTGGTACTTACGGTTGGGGGAGTCCACTCGGCGTCAATCACCGCAACTCCAGCAATGGTTTCTAGGCCGGTCAAACCACCCGTCTTGCCAACGTGCTGAAGATCCTTCAGAACGGCCTCGACAATCTGGGGGCTCGAATGGATGCTATCTTCATCGACCCCAAGGGCCTTTGCGACCTCCAAAAGCGCCTTGTCGTTGGGTGTAACGACCGCAATGGGGCGCGATCGCTCCGGGTCGGCGTATATCATTACGTTTGTCACCATCTGCGACCCTCGATATACGGACTCGAGCTTTTCCAGAGATATATATTCGCCGCCGAGAAGTTTGACGAGGTTCTTCACCCGGTCGATGACGCGCATGTGACCTTGAGGGTTCAACTCGCCAACATCCCCCGTCTTGAACCAACCATCCACTGTGAAAGCCTTGATCGTCTCCTCGGGATCGTTGTAGTACTCCTGCATAACAGAAGGACCCTTTATCCAGATTTCTCCAGTCGGGTTCGGGGCATCCGTCAAGTACCCGAGCTCAGGCAGCGACACGAGCTTGATCTCGACAGAGCCCCCCACAGGCCCGATGAAATCCGACGAGTACTCCAAGGGGCAGCCCAGCAGACCGTTGGCCGTCGTCTCGGTGAGCCCGTACCCCACGATCATGGGGGCGAGGACCATGCTCAGAAAGTGCCTCGTGCCGTCAGAGACGGGGCTGGCGCCGCTGACCGTGATCCGCAGGGCGCCGCCTGCCTGCTCGCGGACCTTGCTGAACACGCCGTCCAGCATGCCGGCGCCCGCGAGCCCGTTCCTGACCATGAAGTCCTTGAAGCCGTACGCGGCCCAGAAGATGCCCCGCACGACGGGGCTCGCGGCGTCGAGCCTCGCCAGTATGCCCTTCTTGATCGTCTCCCAGACCTGCGGCACCCCGATCATCAGCGTCGGCCTGAACTCGCGCATGTCCCCCGGGCAGTCCCGCACGGACGTGTCGGAGAGGGTCCGCGGGCTGCCGTAGCCGAGCGTGCCGCCGCCGAAGATGGCCACGTTCTCGATGGTGAGCTCCAGGATGTGCGCGAGGGGGAGGTATGCTATAACCCTGTCCTTCTCGGTGAGCACCTCGTCAACGCACGCGTACAGGCCCGCGACTAGATTTTAGAGCGGCCGGGTCAGCAAAATGGACAATCCTCAAATCACAACGTTTGCATCTGTCTTACCTCCAGCGAGAAGCGCCTCGTGCGTGATGACGGCGCCCTTTGGGTGGCCTGTCGTCCCGGAGGTGTACATGATGCAGTACGTGTCCTTGGGCTGCGGCGGCACGGGCTTGACCATGTTGCGCTCGCCGATTATGCGCAGCTCCTCCAGAGTGAGCACGCGGAAGTCGGGGTTGGCCTCCTTGAAGGCCTGCGCCTCGCCGCCCGCGGCGAAGATGCACTCGTCGTTGATGATGACGGTCTTGATGTTGGACCGCTTGAGGGGCACCAGCGCCGTCTTGAGCAGATGGGGGTCGATGAAGATGGCGCTGGACTGCGTCTGGACGAGGGAGTGCTGGACGCCGCTCTCGCCGAGGGAGTCGTACGCCGTGACCATGGTGACGGACTGCGAGGCGCACGCATGGGAGAGGGCGAGCCAGTGGTGGCTACGGCTGTCAGCAAAGTTCACACCAATCTGCCTCGCAAAGAAGGAATTACCTCGTGGTGGCGAAGAAGTGCAGCTTGTGCTCGGGCGTCAGGCCGATCTTGCGCAGGCCCGAGCCGAGCTGGAGGACGAGCTTCTCGTACTGGGTGTAGTTGAGGTACGAGGCGGGCTCGAGCTCGAAGAACTGCCAGTCCTTGGTGGCCTCGTGGACCCTGCCGGCGACGTTCTTGCGCACCGTCTTGGTCTCGGTGTGCACCTTGACCAGCCGGCGGTACCCGACGGCCTTGTTGTCTGCGTAGAGGCGGGCGCTGCGGCGGACGACGTCGTAGATGGTGTCGACGCCGTCGCAGGGACGCGTCAGCAGCCCGTCCTTGGCCTTGGGATGGCGCCTGGGGACCGTCTCGCCGGGCATTTGCTTGTAGCCGGGCGATTCGATCGTGAACGGCGGCTCATGCACCGGCAGCATGGGCATGATGCCTGATGTGTAGGCCATGGTGATTACGAAGCTCTAGGTAGGGTAGAAAGCAGAACAAATGAAATGGAAGAGGGGTTGATCGAATGAAGGGATTGAGTCTGTAGGAGAAGAGCGGGAGAAGAAAAAAACAGAAAGCGGTGGAAAGAGTGAAGAAGGTTTTGAAGGGAAAAAAAGGTCGACGGGGCAATGAGAGAAAAACAATCAATAAACGCAAAAAGCAAGTTGTCATAATGACATACATGCACGATCTTAATTCACGATGCTGCTATTTTGATCTTGGTGGGCTGGTGGAAACGCCCGTTGCCAGCCGCCAAGCTTCGGTCGGCTTTCTTTTCTTTTCCTTCCGTCTTTCAGGGACTCGGGAACAGCAGGGATAATTGATGATTGCGCTGATCATTTTCAGCTCCCAGATTCGCTCTTCCATCTCAAGGGAAGCTGCCTGTTCCCATACCGCCATTCCGCATAGATGATTAACATTTGACCCAGCTCCCTGTACATGGCCTGTAGGGGTTGTCTATAGCAGTTCAGTGGCAGCCTGTAGAAGTCACACCTTCTGGCTGACCGCTGTGTGTTTTTTCCAGTGGAGATTGATCGGGCATGCACGGACATTTGAAGACAGCCGTTGCTTTTTCGAATCGGTCTTCCGATCAGTGTCTTGGCATGTGATAACATGTGATCTGGTGCTTCTGTCGTATGAGCATTCTTTCTGCATGCGAGATCCATCTCCAACAACATGCGCGGGCCACGGTTGTTTGTCGCTTGTGACGATGCATGGCCTCCGAGCTTGACACTTGACATTTGCCGATCGAGCGACATAACCTTTGCATTTCCCAATCTCTCCCCCTTGCTGCCTGTCGTACGACACAGCTGAAGAGTGGAGCTCACCATTTTTCAATCAAACGCAGCCGTACGATACGATCGTGCCAAAGCTTGATTGGCCACCATCCCTGGATCTCATCTCCCCCGATCGTGGCTTATATCAGCCATGGCATTGCGAATCATCATGCAAGCCATGCTCGGATCAGCTGAACTCTGGGACTAGATGAAATTGATAACACTCATCTTATATAAGGTGCGCAATCTCATCTAACAGGGTTACTAGTTCTTCCTCATAATGTAACCTTACTTTCCAATACTTTCTTAATGGTGGGAACTACAAAGGCTTGAAAAGGGTCAGGTAGAGACTCGCATCGGAAGACGCGGCTTGGGCAGCTCCTGCAGCCGTACCCGATCATGAAATCATTGGGACCGGGTTGATTGTAGGCCCCGGAGAGTCTCTCAAGAGCAAAGAGTTCGGGGTTATAGTAATTCTCCGGTCATCACAAAAACACCGAACGTTAGCCTTGTCATCAATCCTTTATGGACCAGGCAACCATGACAAATCTGGTCCTCAGCACAAGTGTGTGCTGCACCATTAGAGGCCAACGGTAAGCCTCCTCGATGATCGCCTCGATTTAGGGTCGTTTTTTACGGTCTGGGACCGAGGGAAGACAGCCGATTCCCACCACACGATCGATATCTTCTTGTGCATTAATTTGGAATACTTAAGCATGCCCAAGGATAGGAAAACTGGAGAGGGCAGTGTCTCATCAAGACCGACGTTAAAACGGTTGGTCGCTCAAAACTTCATGGCGTGGTTGTATCTAGAGTCTATGTGAGTAAAGAAAAGGGAAAAGCTGGGTTAATCCAAACCGCTAGAAAGAAACATTTTGGGGCCACGTGTAACTTGGCCACATTGACACGGCTGTTTTTTTTTAACCAAAAACAAATAAGAGTCATTACGAGAGCTTAATAGAAAGTTCATGCCTGGACTCTAACTTCGCGGCTGTAGTCACAAAGTTAAGATAATGCCAGGAGCTTGAGCAATGGGCTGGATCGCGAAACCTTCACCTCAGCCCTAGGATTCTATCTAGGGAAAAGGCAAAAAGTGTGAGAACAGTTTCCCCTTCAAGAAACGCAGCGAGCTACGTTCCTCGAAGAGGAGTGATATGTTCGGCATTGTTGGATCTCCTGCCTTAGCCGCAGCTCGCAAGGCATTCAGTTGCCCTACATATAAACTAGGCTTAATGTGAAAGACTTGAGACGAATAATACGGGGGGACTTGTTGCGGTTGTGGACAAAGGTTTGCAGCTACCTGAAGACCAAGTAGACCAGTTATTGAACGTAACCGGGAGCAGCGCCTAATGCTCGGATTCGTATTCCCATCAGGCTCGTTCAACTCGCTTGAACTCACGAATATATATATGATCTGTAAATTTTAGGCATATATGAATCAGCTCTGAATTTCTTGGCCTTTCTATAGTCAGTTGGTGGAGTTATTATTGGCATTCATCAAGCGAAGTTTGATTACGTATCTTTATACACAGTCAATCTCCCTCTACGGCCAATTCGAGAACTAGATGTTCTATCACTACTTGGGAGAGTTCGAAACCATCCCTTCCTCATTTAGTCTCCCTAAATACGGCTCTGTTAAGAGCTAGATTGTGTGAGAACAGGCCATTCTAGCCCACCTTTGTGCACTACTATTTTGCTCAGCACATCACAGTGACAGGAGCAAATGCAGTTCGCAGTGATACTTCTTCTGCCATGTGTTAGGCTGTATCTCGTCCTATCATAACATCGCGCTCTGATTTGCCTTTTATTATTGGCCAAATTGGTGGTAAGATACCTCCATGAATTCTCAACCCTACAGGGAGCTTTTACTTGGGAGCTCGCAGCCTGAGACTTGAAGGCTGTTAGTAAAATTATGTCGCTTTATCCTTGCTGATTGTACTCCACTGATTTTGAAGATCTTATTGAATAAACTTACTCAATCCAGTACTCAAATAAGCTCCCAATAGCTCATCGAAAGATGGATCGTCAAGCTTCCATTGGTGTTGTAACATGTTGGCGAGTTCGCTCGGATTGTGGGAAGCCGACTTGAAGGCAAATAAGAGCCCACTAATCAACTGGTGAGATGGCCGAGTTGGTTATGGCGTCAGGTTAAGGCTACCTTAGCATTCATTCCTGGTGGAGCAATCCTCCTGGGTTCGAGTCCCAGTCTCATCATGTGTTTAATTTTTGCTGCTCACAATGACAAGTGGGCCTTTTTTATACCTTGCCTTCATCGCTGACAGCAAACAGCTTTCATCATTCCAAATTTACTCACGATTAAAGACCTGCATTAGCTACCAATATTTTGACACAAGGCTCAACCAAGTCGGGGGCTATGGCAATACTACTTTGAGTCCACCCAATGAAGCGGAGCTGACCTCAAGGGCGGCAAGTGGGTGACATTGAAATTGAGACACTCAAACATTAAGCTGCTTATTTTCAAGTCTGCGACCGGTATATTCAGATTATTAAGTGCGAATAATGCATACTTCAGGGATAATACAGTATATATTGTTCTTTTATTTACATTTTATGCTACTAAATTTCTCTATTTATCGTAGAAAGTAGTCTGTATAAAACCATTCTTCCATTAGGTGTCTCATCTCTCCTGTCGCCCACTTGGGCGGGACTGGTCCCAACTCCCAAGCAGCCAATTACTGGTAGCCCAGAAGTCTGTCACATTCCCCGGACCTCCGCGTACCATTTAAATCCGGTGGTGGATATCACTGACTCAATCCTGCCACTTTCTGGGGGGCGTGACTTGTCCCTGGTGAAGTACTGCGGGGAGACTGCTTACAGCAGGAGACTCCGAGCCCAAGATAACGAAACCTTGTATGTTCGGAGCATTCCCTCGACGAGATTAGTTTCAAGCTATGCAACTCGGGGTCTCTAGCCTCTGGGTACGAGCAGGCACAAAGCTGTCATCAGCATCCTTTCCTCTTCCCCATCTCTGTCATGTATTATCCGAATTGGGCAGCCTAGCCTTCAACTTTCCATAGCCTTCGCTCGCACACCAATCGCTGTTGGTTCTTGGCATCGGAAGGGCATGGTGTTTGGAAGATATTTATATCCCATGATCTCCAATAGCTGGATTACACAAGAGCCAAACTTCGAGTGAAGCAACTGACAAATTTAAGAATCCACATAAGCTTGAAACAAAGACTTTTCAAGGATGGCTGCCACTGAGTTTCACAAGGTTGCGGTTCTTACTGTATGTCTACCCCATCCATACAACAACGATAATACTAATATCGGGATAACAGTCCCCTCAAACTCCTGACGCAAAACCGACGTTTGAGGTGAAAAATGTGCCGCGCCCAGTCCCAGGCCCCAACGAGGTTCTGGTTAGGCTGTCATTGACCAGCCTGTGTGGATCTGATCTTGGTATGGCACTCGGCCACATGGGTCCGATGCGAGACATTCTTGGCCACGAAGGTGTCGGCCGGATTGCCTCCCTGGGTTCTAATGTGTCTTCGCTCGACCCTACTGTGGAGGTTGGCCAAAGAGTTGGTGTAGCCTGGTTGAGAGACGTCTGTGGTACTTGCGACATGTGCGTGGACATCGTCCACGAGGGCGAGACTCGATGTGTCGAAGCCTTGCATTCCGGAAAGGCTTATGATGGGACCTTTGCTGAGTACACGCTCGTCCCGTTGAGATATCTTGCTCGTCTACCTGCCACCTACGATGAGATCCCCGATGAAGAGGTTGCGCCAATCCTCTGTGGCGGGGTTACAGCGTACAAAGCGATCAAGGGGTGTGATCTGACCCCCGGGCAATGGCTGGTCGTTTCTGGAGCGGGCGGCGGTGTTGGAGCTCTGGCGGTTGCCTACGCGAGTGCCATGGGCTATCGTGTGATTGCCGTTGACGCCGGAGAGTCCAAGGAGGCTTATTGTCTCTCGCAGGGCGCAGAGCATTACGTCAATGCCATTGGCAGCGAAGATGCTGGCCTGAGAGTGAAGTCTCTCACAGATGGCCGCGGTGCCAAGGCAGTGGTGGTCACCGCTACTGCCGCTGCCGCTTACCAGAAGGCGTTCGACATGCTTGGCCCATTTGGCACGCTCATGTGCGTCTCGATTCTTCCAGAAGAGGCTCAAGTAATCTTTCATCCCTTGATGTTCATTGACAACGGTTGGAAAGTGAAAGGATCCTCTGTGGGCACACGAGCTGATATTATCGAGGCCCTCGAATTTGTCAAGCGGAGGAAGGTAACGCCGGCCATTAAGTGGGCAAAGTTGGAGGACTTGGGAAATCTCATGGGACAGATGATTGAAAGAAAGGTACGTGTGATCGCATAATTCCTCTTGACGCGAGCTTCGCTGACATTCACAGCTGGAGGGAAAGTATGTTATCAAATTGTAGAGAGAATTATTTACGAATACACAAGTTGTTTGACTATTGTTGTTTAATTATTGTGATACAAAAAAACCTGCAACTTCTAGTAGCGGAATTAGAAAAGCGTTAATCCCTTTGCAAGCAGCTCACTCAGTGAAATCCATGCATTTGGCCGCCAAGAGGACCTGTGAATGTTTTACGAAGTCCCCCCCACCAGATCGCGGCAATGAACACAACCCCAACAGCCATGACAACGATGAGGTAATTCATCGATGATCCGGTAACAGGCATCTCTGGCGGAAAGGAGAAGGTGATGGAGAAGAAGATGACAGAAAGAGTTGCCAGGGCGTTGATAGCATATCCAAACTTGCCCAGTGAAAAGGCCCTCTCCGGGAGGCATCCACGCCCACAGAATAGAAGACAAGCCTGGGGCATGGCGACTGTAATGTTGAGGGCAAACAGTGTGAGGTTCACGAAACTGTTGTAGGCCGTGGTGGAGGCTACATATAGAACTCCAAGGACAATCTCCAAGACGAGCATGACGAAGGTCGCCCGCACGGGACTGGCCCACTGGAGATGGACGAAATATTTGGAGTACGGTACGCCCCCATCTCGTGAAAGAGACCAGAGGGTTCTTCCGCCGAAGATGAAAAGATTGAGCACAATTGTGTAAAACATGACAATGTAGTAGACCCCGAAAATGGTCACCGCGGCCTTGTTGTTGAGTGCCTGGCTGTACACCTCGAGGACAGCAACTTCTGACGAAATGAGAGCGTCGAGATCCGTAATCGAAAACATAATGGCGATATTCCAGGCAACTACTGTAATGATACCCAGCCCGAGACTCAAGAAGATGGCGATTGGGACTGTTCGGCTGGGGTTCTTAACCTCTTCTGCCACATGAGTGGCCGCATCGACACCGCTGTAGGCCCATAAACAGCCGGTGATGCCAAGAACAACAGACCAGCCATCGCTCCACCCGCTAACGTTTTGAAAGTCTTTGAAAACGAATGAGGAAGGTTGCTTCGTCTTGCTCACAGTAAGAATTGCCACCATGGAGGCAACGAAACCTATGAGTGATAGCCAAAAGACAGCAATGCCAATACGCCCGATGGCCCCGGGGAAGCGAGATGTGGCGAGGAAGGCGACGACGCACAATGCGATGTGAAGTAGGTAAGTGTGCCACGCTTGTATCTCGTAGCTAGACTCCCAAGTCGACACCAGATACATGATAGAGTTGGAGACAAATATGTTACAGGAAGCGAGAGCTGCTGCAATGTAGATGATGGATAGCCAACCAGCGAAGAATGCTGCGCCGCGTCGTAGGCTAGGAGGGAACACCATGTAGACAATATGGTACTGGCCGCCGGCCGAGGGGAAAGCCGAGGCCAACTCTGCAAACCCGATACCAATTATTGACATGATGATGCCGCCGGCGATAAGACCGTAGATGAGTGTTGGGCTGCCGCCGCAGATCAGGGGGGCGGCTAGAGTAGAGGAGAAGGCAACCCAGGAGTTGGTCGTTGTGAAGGCGAAAGCGATGACAGAGAGCGGGCTGTACCGCTTTGCGAGCTTCTCTTCGGGGATTTCAGGTTTCAATACATCGACCTCTCCCGCGGTGGAAGATGCTGGCCGCACATCTTCCGATTTCCCTTTGTTGGACATGTTGTGTCGAGATTGGTGTTCTAATAGGAGGTATACGGTCGTGGAGAAGGGTCGAGTGGCGGCTCTCAACTACTTCCTCGAACAAGTAGCCAGGGAGAAAAAGACCGTGGAGGATGTCTTGTGAGGAAACCGTGAGTTAAGAACGAAATGGCCCGTTGAACGATGGGGTGCTAAAGGAAGGTATTTATGTTTGATTTCGACTTCCCTGCCGTGTATTAGTAACCCCAATCAGGCGAGGCGAGGCGTGTCGGCGTATGAGCGCGCTATGTCCAGGAACTATGCGGGGAAAACTGGGAATAATAATGATAAGAGCAATGTGAGAGAAGAGATCTGATCAAGAAAATACATTTTACGTAAAAGCAGCGTGGAGAGCATGAGTCTGGGGATGGTTGGTGGTATGAGCAGGGTTGCCTTATAAAAAGGAAGTAGCTGTACTGCAGGAGTTTTCACTGAGCTCGGCTGAATGTTGCCGAGTGGTATTGTTCCTCTGATAGCTGATACATCCCTGGAACGCCGAGAGAAGCTAGCCTCGTGCCAATGGGATATCTCGGAGTCTCCTGCCTAATACACCAGGAAGCTCCCTGGAGACCTCAATTCACGTTCTCGGAGACTGTTGCCCAGCTATATAACGATGTTTCTAAGTAGGATACTGACCACGTGAAACTCCACGGTCGGTCTCCCTTTATCGCCTTTCAGAGATGGGCTGCAGACTCTACATGTGCGGCAATGTCGAGTATTTACTCTTTCGGGCTAGAGATTGGTAGATGCGAGCTTCTTTCAAGGGGTACCGAGCCAATCAAATGCTAATCTGTAGCCCAGATTACCCCAGTTGCTTTCTATTGGACCCCATATCCCAAGCGGATTTAGCAGCGAGTCGGTTGGAGGACAATGACACATGGGCAAACGCAGCTTGGTATATATGCCGCTTTCGTTGCCTCAACACTACATGTATTCTATTCACGATTCTCCATTTCACAACCACACCCTCCCTAGTCACAGTGATATCCAAAATTTGAAAGGGACGTCTCAACCTCATGTCATTGCGATCCACAAACCTATTGAGGAATATCCAAGCGGCGGGTTCTACCCTACTAAGAATGGCGTCCACCCAGCTTACCGCCCCAAATGGCACTTCATACACACAGCCCACAGGTCAGGATCCCTTCTGCATATTTAACGCCGTAGTATTGACACGTCAGTGGGCAGGTCTTTTTATCAACAATGAATTCGTCTCGGCTACCAGCGGAGAAAAGATCGAGTCAATCAATCCGTATGACGGGTCTGTGATCTGCGCTGTAGACGCAGCGTCCGAGGCAGACGTGGACAGCGCCGTGGCTGCCGCCCGAGCCGCGTTCAAGGCTGCAAGCTGGCGCAAACTCCCAGCTTCCGACCGCGGTTCATTGCTCTACAAGCTGGCTGAGCTGTGCGAGAGAGACAGCCACATACTAGCCACCATTGACGCCTGGGACAACGGCAAACCGTACCAAGCTGCTCTGGAGGAAGATGTTGCCGATATTGTCTCGGTCTTCAAGTACTATGCCGGCTGGGCGGACAAGACTCATGGCCAAGCTATTGAAACCTCCGACGCTAAGCTTGCTTATACGCGGCATGAACCGATTGGTATGTAACGTGACCTGGGTTCATCTTTCAAGTGATCAAGTGCTGATGTTTTCCAGGTGTCTGTGGTCAGATCATTCCCTGGAACTACCCCATCATGGTATAATATAACCTCCCCTATTCGTTTGTAAAGGTGACACAGGATACTCAACTCCTTTTCACAGATGGCAGGCTGGAAGCTTGCACCCGCCCTGGCTACTGGTAACACAATAGTTCTGAAGGCAGCAGAGCAAACACCCCTGTCGATCCTCTACCTTGCTGGTTTGATCCGAGAGGCAGGATTTCCCCCAGGTGTCGTGAACATCATCAATGGTTGGGGAAGGGTTGCAGGAGCAAGCCTAGCTGGCCACACCGGCGTTGATAAGATCGCTTTCACCGGAAGCACCACCACCGGGAAGGCTATTATGAGGGCCGCAGCCAACAACTTGAAGAACATTACCCTCGAGACTGGTGGCAAGAGCCCTCTAATCGTTTTTGCTGATGCTGACCTTGACCAAGCCGTGAAGTGGTCACACCTCGGTATCATGAGTACGTCCTTTTGTTTATATGCGTCGTGTTCTTAAGAGAGAATCTAACATCGCTATAGGCAACATGGGTCAGATTTGTACCTCGACGTCTAGACTTTACGTCCAGGAGGCTGTCTATGAGGAATTCCTGTCTCGGTTTGTGGAATACACCAAGGAGAATTCCATTGTAGGCAACCCATTCGATTCAAATGTCACCCATGGGCCCCAAGTGTCCAAACTGCAACAGGAAAAGATCCTCAGCTACGTCGAGACAACGAAGAAGGAAGGCGCCAGACTCCTCCATGGCGGAGATTCTCCCAGTGGCCAAGGCTACTTTGTCAACCCAACAATCTTTGCCGATGTGCGGGATGACATGACGGCCGTCCGCGAGGAGATTTTCGGTCCTTTCGTTGTAATCCAGTCATTCAAGACCGAAGAAGAAGTCGTGGAGAAGGCGAATGACTCCGAGTATGGTCTCGGCGCTGCCATTTTCACACAGGACATCACCAGGGGTCATACAATCTCAGCTGCAATTGAAGCGGGAATGGTTTGGGTGGGTGTTCTAGAAGTCACTCTGAGTGAATTATTGCTTACATCGTCAATAGATCAACAGCTCCCAAGACTGCCATTTTGGTATTCCATTTGGTGGCGTGAAGCAGAGCGGGATTGGTCGAGAGCTAGGCCAGTACGCTCTCTCAGCATATACGCAAGTCAAGGCCGTCCATGGTAAGTCTTGCCCTCATTCTAATCATATGATAATACAAATACTGATTGAGCTTAAAGTAAACCTTGGTTTAAAATTATAAATGTAGAATATTTGGTACCACTAGTTAATGTTCAAAACTCCTTTCCCTCATCTCTCGGCATATCATGCACGCATCACGAAAGAACTTTGTGAGCCACAAATTATTTTTCTATCATAAGAGTCTTGTAACAAGATCTCTCGTTAACTTCAACTTTCAATCGATGACGGAGTCTGTCTTCTCCATTTAACACCAGTGACGTGAATTCACGGCGCGACCCCTGTACGCTTCCTCAGAATAGGTCAAGTTGCTGACATGGCCAAGTGGTGAAACCCGGAAGATCCGCGCGGCAGCCTAAAGAGGGTTTTGATCAACTGCGTGGGTGGAGTGGCCTTTTCCCGCCATTTCCAACTTGACGTTGTCATCATCATCGCCTTCGGAAATCCGCAAACCTCATCAATGGGTGGCGCCGATGTTTATTGTGCCATATGTGGCGGACCTGTCAGTTTGCCCTGGTGGCCGGATGAGGATGAAGGCGAGACAGAGTACACCTACGATCCTACAGTCATACGGGAGGACAGGCTCGATCTGGACTGGCTCAAGGACGTCAGAGTCATTGGCGAAGATCCGGCAAGCACTGGATTGAGCAGGTAGGCGAACCAGCTGCTTGCATCCGCAATTAGACCTGCTAACTTGGGGGCGTTGGGTACGAATATAGAATCTGGGTATCCGGTCCTGCAAGCCATGAAGACCATGGCTACTTCAATCTGGAAGAAGGCGACCCCATAATGGAACAACTCGGTGAAGAATCTCTGAGAACGTAAGTATTGTGGTCCTTCTGTTGAGTCGTGTGCTGGGCATCCGCGCTAACTACCTCTTTCTTGCCTCAAGGTATGCCTACAAAGGCCATCACTCGTTTGCTGTGCCTTACCACCAGACATGCCGGACATTACTATCCAAATACCTCAGTATCGGAGGTGACGGCGTTGACAAGGACATGTTTTTCCAAATTTTGCGTCAATTGGCGGATACTTCAGAGTATGCACACGTCCTCAAGCTGGACTATGGGAGCGTGTCCAAGAACCAAGAGCAGTATTGGTGTGTGAGTCGCGGCGACGAACACTTCGTGCACTCGCCATTGGATATCCCGCAACTTGCAGAGTATTTGCTCAGCCTACCTGAGCTGGAGCCTGATCATCCGATGAATGATGCACCGCAAGGAAGATATGGTGCTGCATCGGATCCCATCTCCACGCTTCCAATAGAGCTCCGCTGGTCTATCCTTCTCCACGCCGACATCACGAGCGTGGTGAGGCTGCTGCGGACATCCAAGGCACTTTACGCCACAAAACAATCCAATTCATGGTGGAGGCGCAAGTTGTTGACAGACATGCCTTGGCTGTTCGAACTCTCCGCCGTTGAGGGCGCCGACAAGGTGGATTGGGCTCGGGTGTACAAAGATATGTGGCTGGGAAGCCGGTATCGACCCTCTGCTCACAGGATAACTGGTCTTGCGAACCGCCGCCGTATTTGGGAGGAACTTCTGCCTCAGATAGGCGGGCCGTACGAAAAGCTGCAGAAGGAAAATGATCAGGTGGACCTTCCAGACATTCTCAAAGGCGCGAGCTCCACGGGTTTACGAAGACTTATGAGTCCGGAGCCTGAAGTCAACTCTTCCTTCAGGTTCTATTTCGCACAGTCCATCGCAGGACTAAGGGATGCCTATATTGAGTTTCATGTGCATCTTGACCAAGAGCGATTCATCAGGGGCCTTCATTTTGCAGAACGGCAGCAGAGATCCGAGCAAAGCCATCTGACACAAGACGCTTTCGACTTTGCCACCTCTGTAGAGTCTGTCCAAGTACCAGTCAATGACTGCTTGACCGGCATCATCGTGACGAGCCGCGAGATTCCAGAGGGCGAAAGCTCTCGGAAGATTGTAGGCTTGGAGTTCCTGCTCGGAAGCTCTACATCTCAGCAAATCGGATCAATCGATGGTGACAGGCGCCTGATCCATGTTTCGAAAGATCACTTTGCTGTCGGGATCGAAACTTTCAGCTCACCAGAAGGCGGGCTCTCGAGAATCTCTTTAATCCAGCAACCCGCGTTCCTCGCTCGTGGCATTGACAGGTTCAGCTCGCGAGGCTCGACCCCGGACCGCGTAAACCTCGAGGCCACCAAGTATCTCTGGCGCAAGCAGATCCCCCCTCCAGGATTACAGGTTTCAGAACATCAAACAGGATATTGGACTTTTGCAATGGAGAAGGATCTGAGTCCTATGGAGCCACTTGTGTTTGGGACAACAGATGCAGAGCTCGCAGATATCACGGCTATTTCTGTCGATGTGTTGTTTGGGGGGATTGAGGTGCGGTATGGAAACCGCCCAAGCCGCTCAATCGGGCCTCGCAACCTCGCAATGAAGTCTCTGACCATTGATGGACAAGGCGGAGAGAGAGTGGTCGCCCTGAACTATGTCGTGACTTATATTCCCATGGGGATACGCATCGTCACGAATTATGGGCGGCAGCTTGTTGTTGGCCAGGCGGGTCGGAGGCCAACGGAACAAGTGCAATATCCTCCTCAAGACCCTGAAACAAAGCAATTTGCCCACCTCGCCGGGATGTACGGATGGTGGTCTAGTCGTGACACGCCAAAGTCTAGACTCGAGGCCGTCGGGTGCCTCTTCGCCGCGGAACTGGGCGGCAAGCACCAGGGTGTAAACGAGATGCCCGAACTTGCCTCTGGTCAAAGTCCTATATGGGAACCATCAGCTCCGTCTAGCGTGCGAGAGACAGGTCCAGTTCTCGGCGATTTCTTTGTGAAGGAAACCTTGGGGATAAATAGCCGGACTCTCGAGGTATTGGATCATTGCACGACCGTCTCCTGGATAGATTGCAGCCGACCTCTCTTGGAGGTGCGAGTGACACTCTGCCACAGCTTCAGAGAAAAGCAGGTCCCAGTATCTGCTATCACTTTCAAATACGCCGATGGTGCGAATGAAGAGTTAACCATTGGCCCGGAAATACATCCACAGTCTCCCATTGACACCCAAGGGGAAGCTGACAACGGCTGGTGCTGGTGCTTCCTCAGTGGAAGGAATACTCAAGATGAGTTGGGTGCCCATCCACACTATCAGCATCATGTATGGGAACTGGGAGGTAAGCGCCTTCAAAGCGTGCGAGCCATCCTCTCACCCATTGATGAAGCAGATGGGCGCGGTAGTCGGCTTGCAGGCATTCAATTTATTGCAGAGGATGGTTCTGAGTCTCCCAAATGGAGCCATTGGAATTCCTCCTCAGATGATGCCTATGTCATTGAGCACATAGCCTTTACAGATGAAAGGGTTGGTCTGAAACTCTTTATGGGCGAGACTCACCGTTCGGTTACCTACGAGGACACAATCGTCTACGCTCTACAGGCTATGGAGAGGCTGGTCTGATCCTTCACTTGCGGCCTGACGGGAAATGGCGATTTTTGGATAGGGGTTGAGATGGCTTTCTTTTCCAACCAAGCTAGCACGTTTAGAAAGAAACTCCTTGTCCAAATGGTTGGTCTCGGATAGACTGATGTTGCTATTGGGCCAACATGAACGGGCAGCAAACCCCTGCTATTTGCTCAGCCACGCGGATCTCGCACATTCCTACGATTGCCAAGACCGTTTCGCCGTTTCCTCGTATTCATAAATATGGCCATCTTGAAATCATACTGGAGGATGCAGACCCGTCTACTCAATCAGCTGTGAGATATTATGTATGATGAGTTTGACTCTAGGAAGTACATCAATAGGTCTAGGGGAACTGGCATTTGATCACACATCGTCAGACGTGTCTGAAGTCAAGGCCGTTTCCAGCAGATCAATAGATAGGAAATTGAGATGCAAAAAATTGCGATTGAGCTGGCAAGGATATTCTTTGCCCTACCACCGGGTCATTACTAGCCTAGTCCCGCCAAATAGGAGGAGGGTGAAGCTGTAAATGCCGTAGCTGATCCAATGGGAGTCGCTTCTGATCAAGGCTCATTTCGGACACCGATGCCAACTGACGCTAAACCCGGTAAAGAAAGCACTGCGCTCTGCCATTCATCATGGATTATCATGGGTGCATCTCGCCATGACGTTCTACTTGGATCAATCACGGCGTCCGTTTCTTATCATCGGGTTGGTCAAACACACCGAGTGAGTCAACCCCGATGGTGCTGAGGATACTTAATGGCCGGCAGCTGCTGATGCTCCGGTTCAACACATCCACCCATTGATGCCTTCATCAACATTCAACCTACCTCACCTGCAGGAAGCTATATCGCCCAACAATACCACAACATGACTGGCCACGGCACGTTCCAGTACATGAGGCTCCGCACCGCCGCCGCCATAATGCGCACCCTCGCGGCCGGGTTCCAGGGCCACCTCAGAGCCATCCCCGCCGACTCCAACAGCGAGAGCCTCCAGATCCCGTCGCGAGACGCCGGCAGGACCATCGAGGCTCGGCTCTACCGCCCCGGCGAGAAGGGCAGCCCGGAACCCGACGCGCCTCTGCCCGTCCTCATCAACTGGCACGGCGGCGGCTTCACCATGCCCAACCTGGGGCTGGACCACGAGTTCCTCACCCGCGTCGCCCAGGAGAACAGCATGCTCGTCCTGGACGCCGACTACCGCAAGGGACCCGAGTATCCCTTCCCCGCCGCCATCCACGACGCCGAGGACGTGATGCGGTACGTCGACGGCCGGCCGGAGCAGTTCGACGTCACCCGCGTCGCCCTGTCCGGCGGCAGCTCAGGCGGCGTCGTGGCCCTGGTGGCCGCCTCGTCGCTGCGAGCCCGCTTCGACACCCTCCACGTCCGCAGCGTCGTGCTCTTCTACCCGGGCACCGACCTGGCCGAGCCCCCCGAGGACAAGGTGGTCCCCCACCCGATCAAGGCCATGCCGCCCAAGCTGCTGCACATGTTCTACGACAACTACGTGCCCGACGCGGCGATGCGCAAGGACCCCCTCGTGTCGCCGCGGTTCGCCCACCCGGCGCTGTTCCCCGCGTCGGTCGTCATCTTCACCGCCTCGGGCGACGTCCTCGCGCCCGAGGGCAACGAGCTGGCCAGGGTGCTCGACGACGGCACGCGCAGGGTCACCCACATGGAGCTGGAGGACGCGCCGCACGGGTACGACAAGGGGCCTGCCGAGGGCTCGCACCTATGGGGGCTCAAGGAGCGGTCGTATGGCATTGCGGTCAAGGAGCTTGCCCGGGCGTTGTCGATTCAGCAGGAGTAGATTTTGTCATGGTGGCGCTCACAGCAAAAGTACAGTCTTGCAGGAATGAGATGGCAGGAGGGGTTACATCTCGCTTAACGACAGCAACCATTGGATTGAAGCTTAAATCCTGAAGGCTGCCATTGCGTTTGGAGATAGACAGATATGTGGCTAGGCTGCGGCTGTGCTGGGATGACACCAGACTGTCGGTGGATATGGCGCCGCACGGGGATCAACACTTTTTCCAGCCTCATCCGCCGGCACAGGATTTGCCGTTTCTCTGAACGGCTTGCCCACCAATTCTGCTCCGGCGCAGAGACTATCGTTGCACTTGAGACCCGGATAACACGTCTTGGGCGAGGGGTGATGGGGCACGGGGATGGACGACAGTTGCGACTGGAGGGAGGCGGATGAATATTGAATCTAGCTTGGATCTCGCTGCCGAACAGCCGAAATGTGCCATCGGCGCGAGCCGTCTAGAGCGAGAATAGCTACCGCTAGATAGTTTGCCCAATAAAAAGTACATCTCGTTAGCATTCCATAACGAGCGCCAGTCCAATGTGCCGTGTCGTGTGTGGGGATGGAAAGCCGCCAGCACAGCCACGAAGCAGTCTGACGGGATGACCAAATTAGCCGCCGAGGCAGAGGCAGAGGCAGAGGCAGAGGCAGAGGGCATGAGATGCCAAGCGGTCTGCCTGACGGGCCAGTGCACTCGCCACCACCGTCGCGATGTGACATTGATCCAACGAGGCGTAGTATTCAATAGGCAGCTTCGGGTTTGGATGACTGTAATGTAGGGAAAACATAAGTGGCAGGGGATCGGTCACCTTGTTATTGTGAAACAGTAGGGCTGAGGCCTCTTTACGAGCTCTACTTTGGTTGAAATCCAATTGAATTGATCAAATGATACCCACATGGAACGCCTCTCATGATGAGCCTCTACCCAATGCTATCTTATGTGTGAATGAATGAAGTGAAGTATGCAAACGTTGATGCCTTGAATCGGCCGTTACCCAAATATCCAAACGCCAAATTAAGTTCCCTGATCCTCATGTAAATCATCAAGTTACATGTCAATTTTCCCCCGTGCCAGGCTCTATCCTGCGTGGGAGCACAGATGAATTTTAGAATGTCGTTAATCGATGGTGATGCGGCTGTGTCGTGGGTTGCCCGTGCTGGTCATGTTGAACGCGTCCTTGCCGTTGCCCTCCTCATCGGACGTTGGCGTTTCGAAATAGTTCTTGAGGCCCTTGCCAAAGCCGGTGATGAGGATGATGGCGTTGACAATGGTGGCCAGGATCATCACGATTGTCAGGACGGCAAAGGTGATGAGCGGCTTCTTCATGTACAGGTACCACGTCTCCGCGTCAGAGCCGATTCGGTACGTCTTGTACGCAAAGTACGACAGGCCGCCAAAGTAGAGTATGATGGTGATGACCATGCCCCATATGTTTTCTCTCTTGGCGGAAAACGCAGCGAGGACGATGATGCCGATGGTGACGGGGATCGCTGCGATCGAGAGCGCGAACTCGACGTCGTTCGATGGTGTACTGGAGACGAGCTGAATGATGAAAGCCATCCAGAAGAAGAAATCGATTTTGAGAAGAGCGATGTAAATCTGATGTTTGGATCATGGTTAGCATAGGAAATCTAGGACCCGTTCAGAGAGTGGAAACCAACCTGGTGGTACATGTAGCGCTTCTTCATCTTGTAATCGGCGCCGACGACCTTGAGAGTATCCCACGCAAATACTTTGTAGAGCTGCCACGTACAGAGCGCGATGCCCATGGTACCGACGGTAAGAAGCACTGGTGTGGTAAACAAGAGGGCCCTGATGCTGGCAAACACAACCTCGTCATCGACTCCGTCAGCCAGCTCCCTATCCTTCTCGTCCTCCATATCTTTGAGAGAGGTGCGGGTCTGGTCGACTTGGACGGCGGTGTACACAACGAGCGCTAAGTTGGCAAAGCATACGCCGATGATCTGGATGGTGTTCTTGGCTCGCAGGGAATCCCAGACCAAGATATTTTGGTAGACGAAGCCAAAGTAGAAGAGCGGGAGGAAGGTCGGAATGACATTGATTTGTTTTTGGAAGTCGTTGCGGATGTCGCTCTTGAGGTTCGATTTGATTTTCAAGTAGATGTAGCTGGGGAATAAGGTCAGAGTCTTGCACCGGCAGCAAAGAATGCGAGGCAAACTTACGTCTCGAAGGTCAAGCAGATGACAGCCTGGAGAGCCACAATGCAGATGAAGGCCACGGCCCATTTCCTGCTCAAGATGTCACGCCAATTCATCTTGATCCTCAGAGCATTGGTGAGACGAAGGCGAAACCTGTTGGCGCTTGTGGCCGCTCCATCACCAGGCTTCTGGGGGCCTGCTGCAGGATTCATCACCTGGGTATAGCCAGGAAGGGTCGCAGCAGGTGCGAGGTGGCCTCCAGACTCCATGTCTCCTGTTGGTCCGTACATATCAGGGCCTTTGCCTGGAGCGTAACCAGGCGCGGGACCGGAAGGATGGCCAGGCGCGCCAGGAAAGCCGGGCGTGGGAGGGTAGTCGATGGGTGGTTGTGCGTAGAACTGGCCCCCCGCGTACGGATCGTGCTGGGAGGTGATGTCGCTGCCTGCTAACAGCCTGCGGGATTCGACGTCCTCGGCGGGCATAGGGCAGGATGCCGGCTCTGGACTGCGAGTCGGCGAAGGCGAGAGACGGGAGCCGAGGTGGAGGGACGGCGGAGGAGAAGAGGCTGGAGGTCGTGTACGCGTGGTGATATTGTGCGGTCGCGGGTCAGCTGCGGGAGGGTCGAGCGGGTGGAGCGAGGATATAGAAACGAGCGACAAGCTGGAAGCAGGGAGACGGGAGTCAATGGACAATGTATGGAGAGGGCAGTGGGCACGGTGAGGCGGTGGTGGTGGCGGTGGTCAATTGAAATGGGTTGAAGCTGGGCAAGAAGATGGCAGTGCTGGTGTTTGCATCGGCTGGGATGGGGCTGACGGGCTGGGCTCCACTGGCACGAGGGTGGGGATATTCATAGGCGAGCGACAATGGGCACACGTAGCTCCCTACCGTCAGCTAGCTGCTGTTTGCGGCGTCAGCTTTTCGGCGGCAGTCAGCTCTTCCTGCTGTGGCGCTCCCAGTCGCGAGCCTCCGTCAATCAAGACGCCGGAAAGCGACAAGCCTAGCGCGAGAGGGGACTTTAGTGCGTGTCTCGCCCCAGCCGCTGGACCAGGCCGCCTGCACTTGTCGCTATATTTAGACCGGCAAGGCTGAAGGGGTGAGTCAGTGGGGTGCTCGCCAGTCGCTAAATTAGTGCTTTGGCCAGGTGCCTGCCCGGGGGTCTTCCAGGGGGAGAGCCCCTGTTTTCTAGCGATCGTCCACACAATCTCATGTACGCGGTTTTTTCCTCAAGCAGCAGCATCTCCATAATTAAAAAGAAGGTAGCATTGTGAGGTCTTCATCCCTCGTTGTCTGTCGCCATTACGGCATTCTCTTTGCTATAATGGAACAGTTTTTCTCAATTGAAATGAAAGAGAGACGAGGTTTCATAGATCTCGGCTATCAATCGATCATCACTGGAACAGCCGCGACTAACAATTAGCGGCCAATCAGGGCGACTCCGAATTGAGCAGCCATGGGCTAACTGTCACCTCCTGTGCTCTTGTATCGCCGGGCTGCGGCTTTGCTCTTCTGACACACCATCAAACCATTCTCCAATTCGTGTCTCGAGCAAGCGCCACCTGCGCAAGGTAAAGACGGATATCCTCCTCATTGTCCCCAACAATCTCCCGAGCATTTGCCTCCAACTCATCAGGATGTGTGAACTCTGGACCGTCTACGTGGCAAACGTGGGTTCCCCAGTCGGGATCAATCTGGCTTGTTGGGGGGCGGCCGTCTAGAAATTCACGGATTGCCAGTGCCGCGCACTTCGATGGCATGCTTATGCTGGTGTGACCCCGATGGTCCACGATGACGAGCCACTCGTGGTTGTCAAGGCTGGAAAGGGCTGTTGTAAGACTATGGACCCCAACGTAGGGCTCACCGGCCGAAATAAACATGATAGGGTTGCCGGGTGCTTCTTTAAGTCGATCCTCCATGAACACGGCGTTGGTCAAAGGATTGCGCCGTAGCGTCACCTGCGACATGCGCTCGAATTCGAGGAGGTACTCTGGGAAATAATCCAAGGTAATTTTGAGAGGTCTCAGTTTCTCATCGTCAGTCAACTCCTCTCTATCATTGTATCCACTTGTGAAATCATTCAGGGAAAGAAGGTCGAAATAATCATTCACTTCAAGGTCATCAGAGGGCGGCTCGTGGCAAGTCCCATATGCCAAAAATGCTTCCTCGGCATCTCCACGCATGAGGCTTGCAAGCCGGTTGGCAAAATCGGGCCACTTGAGTGGACTTCCCAATACGGGTATTATACCTTTTGTCCAAAGATCCAGTCTTCCAATAAGACCATGGTGGGTGCTATTGAGCCGCACCTCGATTGGAGTCTTGAGAGTTTCAATTTTCCCAATAAGCGAACGCGCCTCGGTTTGAAGAGCGTTATGATCATCGGGAACCGGCTCGAACGGGCATGTCGCTCGGTTTGAGTGGCAACTCTTGATGAACGACGCAAAGTAGTCGCGAACTTTGGGATCAAGCTCATTGAAGTCGCGACGGCCGAACCACGTGTTGGGGCTGAGAGAGCCATCGAGGATCACACGTCCAACTCTATCAGGAAACAAGACGGAATATGTATAGCCAAGGACACCCCCGTAGCTAAGCCCCCAAAAGTTCAGCGTATCTTGGCCCAGGCCTTTGCGGATGGCTTCCATGTCAGCTGCAATTTGTGGCGAGTTGATGTATTTGCCGTGCTGGCCCATGTTGACTTCACAGGCCTTGACAAATTTCCGAGCCTTTTCGCAGATAACATGGACGTCTTCTTTTCTCTTGATGTACTTGTACCACAAGCCGAGATTCTTCTTTTGGTCCTTTTCCCTTCGAAAGCACTTGACTTGGGGCCATGACGAGTTCAAGCCCCGAGTGTCGAAGGAGACGATATGGTGCTCTTCTCCGATAATCGTGCTCAGATGGCCCCCATGCTTGTGCATGAAGCCCATACCGCTATCTCCAGGATTTCCAGGATGAATCAGGAGGTTCCGACCGTGCGCTGCATTGTGGCCTCGCAAACGGATGACAGAAATATCGAACCCAAACTTGCGTGCAGAGAATTTTGAGTTGAAATGATCCAGAGGCACCTCTATGGATCCGCATTCGAGTAGATGGCCGTCCACCTCTCCACATGGCGTCCACGGAATGGTTTCATTCTCGTAAACGACGCTTCCATTCAGTGGCCGCACCGGTCTCTCGCTTATGGAAAACCTATCCCGAGGATAGTTTTCTAAGAAATCCCAAAACACATAGGAGACAAAGGCTGGAAGGAGGATCCAAAGGATAATGGTTTGGGGCCAGTTCCGCTCATCAGGTTGTCGACTACCGGCTCGTTCACGCCACTTCCTGTCTGATGAACTAGGCATCTGATCACCAGTTTATTTGCGCCGCTGTGGGGTTATGTCGGCAGGTGTGAGCGTTTTCTTGTTCTTGACGATGGCAATTACTGAATTGAACAACACTACCCCAGGCAGTCGGAGCAGACGGTATCATCGATTCAAATCCCAGCTTGCTCTTACCATTCAACGTGATGGAAGGTCGAAAGAAAAGCGGAGCGACGGAATGCACCAAAGATTCATTTTACCAGGCTACGGGAGCGTCCAGATTTGGTGAATTTATTATTGCAACCAACGTCCCCTCTCCAGGCATCCACACACCCCTGCATGTTGGCAGTCACCAAAGTACCCAAGGTTAGCTGCAAATTACCGTCAAGTTGCTGGTGATTATTACGTGAGAGTTAGCGAGTTAAACAGATATCTTTGTAGCCCTGATCTCTCAACTGTCTACCTAAAATAATGTGCTCTCCTTAGGCCGAGATGGTCCACTATCTAAGCAATCTGAGAGCATGCCACTCCCTCGGATTCAACGCATTAGGTTAATGAATTGAGGCGAGTTTTCTATCAAGTCTGAAGATTTTTCTGGTACTTAAACATGGTTTGTCTAGCTACTGTTAGACTCAATAGGATGCTTCGCTGCATAATCACCCAATGAATTGAATCCTGCATCCACCATGCCGATGGCTCTTCTAGTCGCCTCGTCAAGATCTTCCTTGGGTAAACCAAGAATCTCATTATCGAGGGCCTGTGAGGCTTCATGATTGGCGCCACCATCAGGATAAAATATTCTGGCATATAAAGCTAGTGCAAACCCAAGTCGATTTCCGGCCTTGAGGAGATCCAGACCTCTCTGATAGCGCACTTTGGAAGGCTCTCGCTGAATCTGCCAGTCTGCGTCTGTCAACCCCTTAACACGGTTGACACTATCCAGAATGTCTCTTTGCGAGATCTGAAAGCTTGAAATGGTAAGAGCTCGATTACGCCATCGAGAAATAGAGGGAGATGCGTCCTCTTCATCGTCAGGTAGCTCCTTGAGACCGAGGAGACTGGCGATGGCACGGCCACACTGTTCCCATGTAGATGTGTTGATGAGTGTTTTTCCATCATCACACTGCTCAATCATCTTATTGGCAAAATCAATCCCGAACCACCAGGGGCCCATGGCCAATGAGAACTCATACCAAGTGCCACATGTCAGGGCAATCCAAGACGAAACGCCGCCATCCTCGACGGCCTTTATGCTTGACTTGATTCCTGGACCCAACATCGTATCTTTGCCCAGCGACTCGTTGTAGATATCAGAGCCGTAGGCGCTAGGCATGACCCATGGCACACCTGCCTTGGCAGCAGCAGCAATGATCTTCTCCTGGCTTCCGGGAGGAGCAGTAGCTGCCATAACAATGAGGAGAAATTGCTGGCCTCTCAAGGCCGCAATGACCGACTCCTCGTTCTCATAGTTTACTCGTGCAACGTTTACCCCGCTGGGAAGCTCACTTGCACTATCCTCTCGAGTGAGAACGGTGATAGTGTGTTTTCCTGATGCAACTAGGGCATCGGTGATGGGCTTTCCGATTTTCCCTCCTGCCTATAGGAAGATATATCGTTAGGAATCCGACCAGAAAATTTCGTCATGAATATGGATTACTTACTCCAACAATTGCAACTCGTTCGATGCGGTTGGTGAAGCCGGCAGGTTGATCTTTGGCGTACGTCGGAGTTGACATCTTGAAAGTTGTGTGAAATGACGGGCTGTTGTTCAATGTTATCGGTTTAAATGTTACTGACGAAGAACTTGCGATTCATAAAAACGAACGAAGGGGGAATTTGAGTACAATATATACTCTGCCTGGTCTTACAAACCGTAAACCACATTTTAGCATGGCCGTGTACGGACTTCGGACTTAGAGCTGGGGATGGGGCCGTAATTCCTCACCACCATGAAACCCGGCGTCAACTAGAGTGGAGTTTCGGCCTTAACCTCTAAGGCGGAGCTCACAGAAGAGGCACTTGACCAAACGCAAGTTCCTAGTAAAATAGAGAAACATAATGGGACTTTGGAAATGTCCGAACTGCGAGCATTCGGCCAGCTATCTGTAATTGGCATGTCACTGCCCCGTCTAACAATGCACGCGCAAAGGAAAATCATGCCAATCCGTCTGTATTTATCATCAAGGCCCGTGGAACCCTGGAACAATAGCTGGGTGACTTCAGCTCGATATTTTCTCCTCGCAAAATGCATCCACAAAGTTGGAATTCTTGCAAACTACAGAAAACAAAGTAGATATCTTGTAATCACGGACGACTATTATCGCAATTTCTCATAGCACAAGGGGATAGGTATTGAGCAGAAGGGGGATGTGTGGCGCAAGGGGAAATCAACAAAGGACATTGTGATAGGGCTCGAACCGAGTTCACCGTTCTAAAGAATTGGGGAGTTAATGATCAAAGTCATCAGCGCGAGTTACGGATCGTCATCGTCCCCAACACGCACACCGGCTTTATCCAACTGCTGCTTTAGACCAGCCAACTCTTTTCGAAGGAGGTCAACCTCACTCCCCAGCTCATCAATTCTACGCTCAGACTCCTCTGCCCGCTCCTGTTCGCCAACCCCGAGCTCTTCGATAATCTTGACAACTCTCCAAAGACGCAACACAACGATGAAGGAGGCAACCTCCTCAATGACACCGTGCAGCACAACATCAGTGATGAAGCCTGCCACAACAATAAAGGCGTCGAAGCAATGGAACCAAGAGGTGAAATATCTAGCCTTGTTAGCATGGATCTGTGTCACAAAAATTCGCCAAGTTGTGAGGGTTTTATCTGGACGGGCAGTGAAAAGGATATACCTGAAACCAAATGCCCATATTGAGGCAATTAACTCTAGCATGAAGAGGCATGAGAATCCTAGGCCGAGAGCGCCCAGAATGTTCAACGCAAGGTCCCAGTCGTACCCACTCTTGCCTTGCTCACATTGGAAGAGTCGAAGAACAAAATCTGGGGTGCGGTAATCATTTAGAACTTAGCCATTCAAAGAGCAGGACGGGACGGGGCACAGCATACCGGCAATCATGCCAAGAACATCAAGGGATACCAAGGTGAGCACAGAATAGTGGCCGGCCTTCGAAGAAAGAAATCGCTTGACCTTCTCTCTGGTGCTCTGAACGGCCCACCGCTCTGTGTCGATTGGGGAGGAGTACCAATGTTGTAGGTTCAAGGCATGAAACGGTGGCCTCCTCTGCCTAAGCAGCGGCTGTTCCTCGTCACCACTCCCACGCTCGATTCCAGTCGACGACATGGCGTCTTAGAGGATGGGTTGAAGATTTGACAGCTGATGCAATACTGATGCAGCTCATCGACTAGAATGCTGAGCTGAGGTGGTGGGGAGACGCGTCGTCACCACCTCGTCTTAGTCATCCAAGAGGATTGTCTCGCAAGCATACACAAGGCAAAAACCATAAATTGCAGGATATCACGATGACCCAATTATTATACGTGGTATTTGATATCAGATAAATTCTAAGCCCTGTGCTAAATTTCAAAGACCACAAGATGCCTCTGTCTTTGCTAAAATCCCGTCCCCATAGACTCCCAGTCGACGCAGCCAGTCGGGTGTGCTCTCGATACATCCGTGTCCTTTCCACCCTATATAAATTCGTAAAGTCCAGCTGAGTGTAGAGATTGTTGTATCTATCTTCAACTTAAAAGTAAGACAAAGAGAACAGCTAATTGTTAAGATGTATTACGGGACCACTTTCCTTCTTCTGGCTTTTTAGTGATGTTTTTTTTTGAGTCAAATAAAAGTGTAAGGAGGCTGATATATAGATTTTCTTTAGATATCCAGCAGGATAGAAGGATATATAATTACGAGACTAAATCGAGCTAGAGTCTTCATACGATGAATGAACGCTAAGGAAAGAGGGCAGAGACATGAAAATCAAGACATTGAGGCCAATAAAAAAAAATACATACACCACTTGTCGCTTCCATTGCTAGACCACATACCGGAGCCTGTGTTTCCAATTGCTTAAAACACCCCGACGTATGGCTACAACATTCATAAAGGCCTCGAAAAAACCCAAAGCGGTACTTATTAGAACCACTAATCCATCCTCTGGTCGTAATTAGATAGAGCTCGTAAGTTGGTGTTGTTAACGGGTGCATATGATGGTATCTCTTGAACAGCCTTGTAGTTGACAAGAATCCTCAAGTATTACAAGAAAAATTGTGTTCTAATTGACAAACATTCGATCACATTCACGACAAGGACCAGAGTCATGAGGTCAAAAAGCATCACATACACCACATGTATCTGTAACAATTAAACAAATTCAGCCAATCTCGATATACCCGACACATTCCAGGACGGGATTACATATTATCCTAATGTACAAGGGGTTTGGGTCACGAGATGGGCACAGTTTCACGTTGGCTGTTCCGGAAGGATTTTGGTTCGAGGAATATCTCGTAAGAGAATGAGGCATTGCAACCCCTTCACGCCGGGCTTGCATGCCAAGTCAACTATTTGCCGCATGAATTGACCAATAGCCTATATTTTCTTTCATTTTCTAGCCACTGGTTGAAACTTGGATGATACGCCAATTCTGGAACACGCGGGCCATACCCGAAACGGGGTCTCGTAACGCGGAGGATGGAACTACCGAGTTTCCATCTTCAACGTGGGATCCCCTCCGTTCCATAAACTCCATTCCAGTGTGCCTCAGATGCGAGACTTATATACCGCCAATTCCCGACTCTGGGCCGTCGGCAATAGATATGTGTTCAAGAATCTACTCGACTTAGTTTTCTCGCGGCTTATTATTCAACATGATGAATCTAAAATTGTTGCTGCTTCTGGCGACTCCCACATTTGGTCACTGTAAGATTGAAAACTCCCAGCCTACTCACTGATAAGCGAGCAAAACAACTTACACTTTCACCATTTCTCTTTATCCAGACTTCTTCCCCAACACTATCGTAAATGGGGTTAAATCAAGCGACTGGCAATACATCCGGGACACACAAAACAACCCTAACGCGTACCCTATTGAAGATGTCACCTCTAGCCTGATGGGTTGCTTTGAAAAAACCGGCCGTGCCGCATCTGCCGTCCAAACCGTCGCTGCAGGGTCCAAAGTTGGCTTCGTCTCGAGCAACAGCATGGGCCACCCAGGGCCCCTTATATTCTACATGGCTCGAGTCCCTGATGGCCAGGACGTCAACTCATGGACACACAGTGGAAATGTCTGGTTCAAGATAGACCAGTACGGGAATAAAGTCGGCTCCTATCCACCCTTTGAAACGGAGATGACTGAATTCTACACGACTGTTCCGTCCAAGCTGAAGCCTGGCAATTATCTCCTCCGCGCAGAGCACATCGGTCTGCATATCAATGGCGCTCCTCAATTTTATATTGCTTGCGCTCAGCTGCAAGTGACTGGAAGCGGAACAAGCACACCTACGAGCCTTGTAGCTTTCCCTGGTGCCTACTCTGCGAGTGATGCTGGTCTCAAATTCAACATCTACGCCGAGAATGGAGCGTACCCATACCCCGGACCGGCTGTGTGGACATAGGACTTTCTTGGCAAAAAACGTGTCAATTCAATTATGATTTTGCCTTAGGATAACAAAGCTTTTCAATGCAATTCTTGCTTCAGTGTTACATTGCATGCTGCGTTTTGCACCAGAATGGAATGCCCGCTTCCACTCCCTCTTACGCTTCTCGCTTCTTGACTTGCCCGGGGTGAGTATCATAACATTCTGTATTATCCATCGTTCGGGTAGTATCGAGAGTGTTCCACAATAACGTTGTTCTACCCACTCTATGCATAAAGCTCTTCTGGAGAAGCAAGTCATTTCGTTGTACATGGGTTTGCATATGCTCTCTTTCTAAAATCATGCGATATGGTTCCATGACAACGGTGTATTGAGCTGTTGGTGAAACACCAAGTAATTGCTTGATGCAGGTTATGCAACCATGTGCTCTCAGCACACCTATCAACGGTTGGCAGGTGTACGTACATTATGCATGTTCTAGCCATTCACCGGAATCGCATGAAAGTCTGAAAACCCCTCATTCAAGGGTCTTGCCATGGAAGAATTGGAAATTGTATGTAAGTCAAAATTTATATATCATCCTTTGGACTTACTCAATTATTGGCCGTCATAGCGTTGGCAAGTGTCCAAATCCTCCTACTCTTCTCATCATGTCTTCTGCAGAACAAATTAAACAGGACTACAATAAGTCCGCCAAGTCTTATAACGATGCTAGCCATGTACCATCGATCACGCTGGAGTCCCAGCTCATCAAGATGGCACTTGGTGATGCTTCAGGACTGATTGCGTTAGACTTGGGTGGCGGCGCGGGCCTTCATGCACGCGAAGCAATTGAGCTCGGTGCGGCCCGTGTGGATATAGTCGACTTATCCTCGGAAATGCTCAAAGTCGCTCAAGACGTGGAGGAATCAATTGGTCGCAAAGACCGCATCCGTTGCTACGAGGCCAATGTTGCCAAACCGATGGATCATCTTCCTCTCGATAAGGGATACGATATTGTCATGGCTAATTGGATTTTTGACCATGCTTCCGAGATTGAGATTCTTGAAGGGATGTGGCAGAATATCTCCAGATACCTAAAGCCTGGTGGCATCTTTGTTGGCGTACATGTTGCCGACTTACACGGGCCAGCCGCAAGCGATGAAAAGTACGGAGTCTCCATGCAAAACCCTAAGCCTGTCCCTGGAGGCTTCACATATACCACCATCGTCCACGCGGACGACCCTTGGGACTTCCAGGGCACATCATTAGATATAAGCCGCTTGGGTTCGTTTGAACTACATGAGAAATATGGCTTGGAGGACATTCGGATTATGCCACACGAGAAGGCTGAGGCCATGCAAAATGATCCGGGTTTCTGGGAGCTTTGGCGGCAGAGGCCGGTCTTTGCGGTAGTCCGTGGCACTAAGAGAGTTCAAGATTAGTTTGAGAGCCAGTTCTTTTGTATGTATCACGTAGCTACTATTATTAAGCACAATTTCGACTGGCCAAGTTGAGAAGTGCGTGCTTGTTTCCATATTCAACACAGTTTTGACCCACTCGCTGGTGAGTATATAGATCAATAACACACTTTCTACCATTAGTACTTGTTTAGCATGGAATGATTGTAGACGGAGGCAACGTTCCATCAACTGTTAAAGCAAACGGTATTCGTATGGAAACTTTTCGATTGGGCTTGAGCAATCTCTAAGTTACCCTGACACCTCTTTACAAGATTAAGTCCATTACATTCATCAAGGCCATCAAAAACTTTTAATATCCCAATTGCCTGGCGCTGGATAGCAGATGTTCGGGCCGGCAGTATGGATGCGTTTGCTACTCTATGAGTTTGCATATCTTTCCAAGATACGCCGCCTTAGTATCTCTCACAACTTCGATTATCAGTTTGAACTCGTTGATAAAGTCCTCTATACCAAAATCTTTGGCCAGCTCCCTGCACTGGAAAGACTTGACGTCTTAGTTTAAATCCAAGGAAAAGTCTGTCTTCTATACGCCCCTCAGGATAAGTCTAAGGACGTAATGACCATCTTCTACCTGCCAGCGATCACTCGCCTAGCTATCTCATTGAGGAACCCAGACAGATTCTATTTGCTAATGGGTAAGCCGCCTGCTCTCAATCTACTCACCTCGTTACACATAGATGGCTGGTCAGCGACTTTCATGCCTAAAACACTTGCCCTTGCGCGGAACCTAAAGGCACTTTCTTGGTCGTATTTTCCAGAACCCGCGAGTATTATACACCTTGATTTTGATGAACTCATAACGGCCCTGTCGTATGTCAGACATACGTTGGAAAGATTACAATTCAACCTGGCCATCTACAGTTACGGGGAGTCTAGATCAGTGATATCCTTCTCAGGTTCTTTTAGTGGCTTGAAGAATCTCATCAGTTAACCGACCTGGATCTGCCATTAGTGTCTCTGGCAGGCTTTCGGTCTTATCCTCTGCCCCTAAAGCGCCATATTCCCTATAACGTTGAAGTAATTTCTCTCTCAAGTGAATTGCTCCTTAAGAGAGCAGCCCTATGGATGGATGGGGATGGAAATTGGCGGGACAGACTCGATAAGAACGTTCTAAATATCCTTCGGTCTTTGTCGTAGACATATGCCGCCACCCTTCCGCGACTGCTTCGTATCAATATCATCGATGATAGGTAGATATTTGGGTAAAACGCTGCTGAACAGAGCTCTTGGCATATATGTCAAAGTCGTAGCTATTTAAGCCATGTATGAACTATGCTCTAACTCTAGTGTTGATCTTGCGAATGTGGTCTTCTTCAGCGTGATCTAGCCGCGGCGCTGGGAGTGAAAAAACTAGAGCCTAATGAGGAGTTATAGTAAGGAAAGAGTTGGGATCGCTGTTGTATCAATACTCTATTCTTAATCATGAATAGCTAAGTCTCAGCGAGTGCCGGGGGCAAAGGGCGTCTGACTATACAGGTAATTGAAATACAAGTAGCTAGCTAGAAAAGTGGTCTGCTTTTGCGGGCGAGCAGTCTCCCAAGAAGGCGTCAAACGCCACTAGGTGCCCAATTGGTCCATCTATTTAGATAATGGGCGCTTCTTTGTACTTAGATGTGTGCTCCGTTCGTTCAATGTAACTAGCGGGTGGATAATTGCAGCCCGTACGAACCTGCTGAAGGGAAACAATCCGCAAAAGGTGAACACGCGAATTCCTTCCGTATCTGGAATAGCTTATGACAGAAATAGAAGGACGCAGCTTGGAATATCGGGAGAGAGGGATGACTGAAGGATTGGAGGAGCATGACGCAGCTGTACTTATTCCCAAGGACCATATCCCCGGGCCCGATAGCCAACCGCTTGTAATATGGGGAGAAACATAATGATCCCGTAGAATATATAGCGCCGGGATTGCCTTAATCTCCAATTGCTCTTCGGGTATGAAATGCCACCGAGTAAGCCGAGGGAGAGAATGTGGAAAAGGGGATGGCGTTGTCCGGGTTTCCCCTGGCCCACTGCCACGCGGACTAGCTCACGAAGAATACGGGAAAGGGGAAGAATAAGCAGGCTAGCGGTCATGGAATTTCTTCGACCCATCTAGAGAAGCAGGTACCATGTTTACCTTGGTTTATCAACCGCGTCCATTCAATACAGGATTCCTGTGGGATCAAATGGCAGGTAAGTTGACCGACATGAGAGCCTCCTAACTCCCGAGACTTTGTACGCCCGCGTGCGGTAAGCTGGACCAGGCCAGTAACGAATCGGCATTTTGTCCCCCCAGTCTGTCATGGTTTTTCGTTGTCCCTGTTTCAAGTAAGCCTGGTCCGGTAGATATTTGCTCCACCGGCAAATAAGCATCCATCATTGCCGACATTCCCAATTAAGTTACGGCTCTTACTGACGTACTTCAGTTGATCAAACGGACATCCCCGTTCGAATCCATGAGCTGAGAACCAAGCCTAGCGATTACTCGTGGGGAACCGGCATACCATGAACCCACGAGTCAACCCATTTGCCCACGCGTCCAGGGGTAGGAGATGTGTGGGTAGGCTGAATTTTCCTCCATTCAGGCGGCTTCTTTGTCCAGCCAGTCCGTGAATGCATAACGAGAGGAGGCTTTCCGCACCGCTATGAAGCGTCACCTTAATATCTATTCAATGCAAGAACGACCTGTTCGCATTTACTCCCCCCACGCGGGAAACTCCACGTACATCCTATCGATGATAGAGCTCCCTAATTTCTTCTGCGACAAGTTGTCCCTTTCTTCCGTAAGCACTACAGGCGGAGGCGCAGAATCCTCCCCCATCGGGCAATTTTGTAGTTTGCAAAGTCGCCAAGTCAGCAGAATTTCCTGCTAGCCTGCGCAACTGTCCGTCAGCCAACCCTGCAAAAATCAGTTCGCCTGAAATAGTAACTTGATAGGGAGCTTGCTCCTCGGAACTCGCTCAAGATGAAGCCATCATGTCCGTCCGTCAATTGCCACAGGCTAGCGTCAAGCGACTGGGCTCCGGTCAAGTCATGACGATCCTCCAAAGAACCCTGCGTCCATAAGCAGTGGGGATTTGCCCAGCAGCCTTGACATGGAAACCCAAGAAGTGATAGGTTTTTAATTAGAACTGTTAAGTAAATCTGACAGGAACATTCAAGTATATAAGGAAGCAATCAACGGCAGGATAATTACATCTTCTCTCTCACCATTCTATTCTTATTCAGCCATTCTAACTCTATTCCGAATCCTACCTTCCGACTACTACACTTTTTAAGTTACTATTATCAACATGCATTTCACCAAGACCCTTGTTTCTCTCTTTGCCCTCGGCTCTTTTGCCTCCGCCTCTTTCTACGAGGCCGATGAGTCTGTGGAGCTCGCCGCTCGTGAGGCTGAGTTCCTCAGTGCCCGCGCCGAATACATCCAGGCTCGTGACAACTACATCATGAAGAAGCGCGGCAGCCTTCCCTCTAAGCCTACGAAGTACAAGGCAAGTCAATTCGCTTCGGAGTATCTTTCATGACACCTTTACTAACTTCAGGACTCCTTAGGCCCACCAAGGTGTTTGCTGGCAGAAGCAGTGCAAGGAGTCGTTCAACGGGAAATTCCGGGTTTGTGGCTCATGCAGCGGAAAGGATGGAAAGAGCTGCACTTGCACGTACTAAGTGAGTGCTTCACCACCACCCAGAGCAAGTTGGCTTTGCGTGTGTGAAGAGACGGGGGTGATATGTGGCAAGTGTCAGAGTGGCGTGGTGACGAGGGCCTGGTGCCTTTTTCCCGACTTGACATGGATAGCTTTAATACTCAATCTACTGAGAACACAAAATTTAGAAAGCCCTTGGGGATCAGATAGACAAATATACTTCAGTCGCCCATAATGTTGTTTTCCAAACTCCATAAAGTTTCAACGGATTGAAGTTGAGTTTGTAGTTGGTAGAGGTCTTGGGCAACCCTGCTCAAGGATCCCCTGAACATGCTCTTGTATCGCAGAAGGATTCTAGGCCAGCCATTCTCCTTTCCTTTTTTAACAGCATTATTCACGAATCCTTGCAGAAGATGATCGAGTTAAAGCTTAGGTGACGGCTGGTATATACGGCTACCCTTTTTGGAAGAGAGGGGTATCTATAAAGCGACTTCGAGTTTAATTGAGGAACTAGAGGCCTTCTATTCAAGTACATAGATGGTTTAGAGACCTGGGAAAGCGGAGGATATTTAATCACCATGTGATAGGCTGCACAGCTTTGTCTTTCTGTGACATGTAGTCATTACTGCTACCATTTTCTCTGAAATACATCACAGTATTTAATACATCTTTTTGAAACTCTTATGATTTACCTAGGAATCCTTTCCAACAGGATAGGAGGAAAATCTAAATAAAAACTAAGCAGAACGCAGGGAACGGAGTATAATATAACCAGCCCACCGCTCATCAATTCCATCATATATTTACCACTCTCCTTGCCCATTAACGATTAGATATTTAGATTTATGCATTCTAGGAAACGAAACACCTAATTAATCAGTGAGTTACTTGCGTCCTCCTTTCTTGTTGCTAGCATTAAGCCCAGCCTTTCTGCCACTGGGAGGAGGCGAAGGTCGTCGGCTGTTCATATGCCTCTCCGACACACTGCGTGTATATTAGCCTTGTTTTGAAATTTGTCAGGGGGGGTTGTGCTGGGTATCCATATACTGATGGGCCATTGATTGCGCGTTACCGTGAAGGGTCCTCCACCTGAAATAGGGGAATCCAAGGTCCCGTCTGAATAGAGAGGAAGACTCTTCTTCATCGCGCTCTGCGAGATCGGGCTTAAAGTATCGTGCAAACAGCCTCAGCTTGCTAATCATCGAGGCTCCTGAGCGCAAGGCGAAGGAGTTGCTTAACATAACGTGCTCAGAGTTCACCAACACTATTGCTGGAATGTGCTGATACGCCGGAAAGCGCACTCATGGCGCTGGTGGTGAGAATAACGGCGGAGAAACGCAAGTGACAGGAAGTAATAGGATTAAGTTCTGATCGAGAACGTGAAGTGGGAGAATAGTCAGCGCGATTTTGATATAGTGAATGGCAGGAAGTAGAAAGAGTAAGTAAATTGGAAGAAAGGGAAAGGAGTAATCAGTAACCAGCACTTCGTGACACACAACCTAGGGGTGGCAATCAGGAGCACACAACTTCGTCCTTATCTCCAATCGTCGGCTGGCTGAAGTCAGGAAGTGGAGTTTTGGAGAAGCCTCAACCAAGGGCTGAATCATCCGACCTACAAGGTCGAGAAGGTCGAGCGAACTCCCAGTATACCATCCGACTTCGACTCCAAATCCGGCCAGGTCGTCCCATCGGAGATGAATAACCTCCAAATCAGCAGGAGTGGATTCCTCTAGAGGTAGAGGCTCGGCTCCAAAACCTGCCAGGCATACCAGCGGTACGGAGAGAAATTTGAGGTGCTCGAACTCTCTAAGACCTCTAAAAGACCCCGAGAATTCCATATCGTCAATTATTCTTTCATAATCATCACCTCCAATTTCCATGGAAAAAACAAATGTCTCCAGTGAGTTACTAACAAATGATAGGATTTCAATAATCTCATCAAAGTCTAGAGTAGGTTCTTCCATGTCTTCGTTCGGGGACACATGATAGATCCACGACCAATGGAGTGATTTGAGGTTTCGCGTCTGGGCCAGTATTAGGGCCACATATGGCTCAATAGACCACCCTATGTTGAGCGATGTCAGGTGATTAAGATTAGGCTCCCCTGCTGGCCACTTGAAGGCTTCAGGGTTTGACATACTGACCATGATATCCGTGACTGTTGTAGGTAGATAGAAGAGAGAGATAGTATGTGGAAAGATTTCATTTCTCTCCCAAACCTTGCGATCTAATCTCTTAGTATAGGCCACCTTTTGAAGTCGTTGAAACGCAGGAAGCTGGCCAAAGATCTTGGATAGAAGGACTTTACTGAGGATATCATCGCCATTTATAAAATTGTGGGTGACATCGAGGTGAGTTATCTTGACGAGATTGGCGATTAAAAGACCAGTAAGTGCATCCATGCCGCCCGACCTCAGCCTATGAACCCAGGGACCCGTATAAGATACTTGGGTCTTATTGATGGCGTTGATAAATTCATCAAGTGGGATATTAGTGGTGTCCAGGGATGGCCGTTCTGGATCATCACGAAAGTAAGATCCACGTAGATGAACTTCATCTATGTAGATCAATAGCTCTGGTCTCCGGATAATAGTACGGAGAAGAGGAACGATCGGGGGGGTTGGGTGTTCGTAATCCCAGAATAGCTCAATGGTAGAATAGAGAAAGGGCTCAGCAGCTTGATGAAGGGATTTATTGACAAGACATAGGCTCGCAAGATCGGATCTTGGAATGAATTCCAAGATTTCGTCGATGATTTCAGTCGGGACGAGCGAGAATGGCGCCATTGTGTTTGGACTTGATGTATATTGCTTGTGAGGCCAAAGTGAGAGTACAGTAAGTGTTGGTGGGAGAAAAGAAGAGCGTTGAAAAAAAGAGGAGAAGTTTTAAGAGTACAGAGTGGAGGGGAAATACGTTAATAGATTGGACAAAGTCTCTATTCGTCTGTGGAGAGCGCTAGTATTAAACTCTAATAATCCGCTTGCCTTCTTTGCTTAGATTTATATAAGGAATTTCATTATTTTCATTAGATACTAATTAGGGGTGAAATCTATATTATTAACTAGAGCGTAGACTAATTAGGTAAGGTATATTATAGGTATATACCTAGAAAGTATAGTAAGCTTAATTAAGTACTACTTAAAGATTACCTAAAGCCTTTATAATATAATATCTTTTAGCTATAATAGAAAAAGAATAAAAGAGGTACTTTAGTTTAATAAGAAATATAATCTAAAGCTTTAAATTAACTATAAATATATATATTTAATTAAAGGAAATCTATTTATAAAAAGAGGTAATTTTTCTAGATTTAAATTAATAAACTAAAGTAATTTATAATAAATCTTTTATCCTTATTATTTTATACTTTATAATTAGATATTATACTTTTAGTATTAATAATTATAAGCCTAAATAATTAAGGCTTTTACTAATTAGTAACTTTTACTATAATTATCTAATTAATTATATCCTCTCTTTATTAAAAGCTTAAAGAGCTCTTCTTTACTTATTATAATAATTAATAATATCTTTACTTTTAATAAGGAAGGATTTATATCTACTTTACTTATTAACTTAAAGTATATTAACTCTTTATATTAATTTAAGTAGTTTATTACTCTTAAGAGTTATATAATTAATTAAGATATTTAGGATATTATTAACTTAAATTAAAAAGATTATTTAAGTAATTTATTAAAAGCTCTTAAAGTAATAATTATATAAGATATATACTTAAAGGTACTAAAGTTTATTATTAATAAAAATAAGCTTTTAAACCTTCTTACTATATAATTTATACTTATAATCCTTAAAGAGGAAGTATAATTAAATTATAATAAATACTAAAAGATTATATAAAAAGTTAAAGCTATTAATAATTAAATCTTTAAGATTATTAAAGCCTCTTAGTTTAATTATATAATTTAGGTAATAACTCTTATTAACTTTAAGCCTTTAAACTTAAAACTTAAAGAACTTAAAGTATTTAACTTTATACTTAAAAGCTTTAAGGATTCCTTTTTAAGCCTTAAGAGTTCTATATAAAAGGCTTTAACTATATAATACTTAACTTATTAACTTCTTAAAGAGATTTAAAGACTTATAGTACTATATAGTAAAGTTCTTAAAGAGATTATAAGATATTATTATTAAAGTACTTTAAAGTTTATTAAGTAATTATCCCTTATATTATATACTTAATATTATAAGTAATTAATAGCTTATAATTATATTAAGGTATATAATATCTTAAATATTATTAAAAGTTATAAATATATAGATTTCCTTAATATAATTAAAGTATATATAGTTTTAGCTTAAATAAAGTAATACTTAAATAAACTTAATATAATTATTTATAATAATACTATATATAAAGATCTTAAGTATTTTAATAACCTCTTTTTTATAGTACTTAGAGGGGGGGTGTAAGGATAGGTATATATTTATATATATTTATATATTTAAGAGAGATAAGTGGGCTTATATTTAACTAGCCTAGCTATCTATCTCCCTTCCTTCCTTCCTTCCTCCTCTCCTCCTTAGTTATATATAAGCAACCTTGGCAGCTGTCTTTGTAATAAGTAAGTCCACTCTATATAATATCTTTTATTAAATTCAAACTAAATATAGAGACTAATTTCTCAGCCTTCTAGTAGCTAGAG